ATGGAAGCTCCAACATCTAAAGGAATTTTGTGACTCAGCAGCTCAAGACTACTTTAACCATCTGTCACATTTATAGAAGAAAGACAGATGCATGACCTTTATGATTATATATTATGGTAAGCTTAACACCCTCTTTTGTATATTATTGGGCTAAAAAATGCTTTCGTTCCAGGTTAAATGAAACTTTCAAAGTCTGTTGAAATTCACCAGATGGTGTTACACATAAGATATCGTTTTTTCTTTTGTTCATGTAGATTTTAAGTTATCTGTTACAATAATAATATTAAGTTTAGTAGTAATATATCAAGTTGACTGAACAACACATTTTGTAAAAAATGTGCCTTTATATCTTTTGCATTTGTTTCTTGGCTATTTGCATTTAACCGTCACTACGATGATGCAGCAAAACATTATTAAATTATTTTTCACCTTTTATTTTCTCATAATAGATAAGCACCAGAGCGTCTAAGCCTTTAAAACAGTTTTTCTCAAAAGTCATTTTTTTGACATAACACCTTCTTTGCCTGTACCCTTCTTACATTCTCTTTGAGAACTCGTGTAGTGCCGTCATACTGGCTTAGTGCTTTTGATACCCCTATATTCACAAAGAGTGACAAAATAGCTGAAAGAATCGTATTAGATAAGCTCTTGACATTTGCTGATGTTCTCATCACTAACAACCAGCACGGATTTATCGCTGGACGATCGATAATCACCGATCTTCTCCAGTGCCTTAACGATTGGAACAGTCTCTGGACACGAACACTCCGGCTTACATAATATAACTAAACTTTCTAGGGCTTTCAATCACGTCTTGGAATTAAAGGTAAGTTGTTGCAGTGAATCGAGGCTTTCCTCGCCGAGAAAAATTTTTCTGTGAGCGTCAGTGATAGCCAGTCTTCCCTCCATCGTGTGACAAGCGGAGTTCCCCAAGTCAGACTTGGGTCAAATGCTTTTCCTTTTGTACACTAGTAACGTGCCCGCCTTGCTGTCCTCCACATATTCTGCTTATGCCGACGACACGAGGATTTGGAACACCGTTACAAACTCTGCTCTGCTTCAACGAGATCTTGACATTGTTCACCGATGATCAGACAGTTGGCTCCTACCCTCGAACCCATCAAGGTGTTGTGTCTTACACATCGGGAAAACCAATCCGTGGCTTGTACACAAGACCTCTGATCGCACCATCGTAGCGGTCTCTAGTCATACTGATCTTGGCGTTATAGTCATCGATCATTATCCTGGTCCACATAATGACCAAAGCCAAGAAGCTTCTATACAGGCTTTCAAAAGATCCGACGTCAACATTTACACCTTCATTTACAACATATTTGTCAGGCCAATTCTTGAATTTGCTGGCTCTATATGAGAAACTGTGCTTGTGCGTGACAGAAATCTCCTTGAAGCAGCTATGAAGATAACCTCGAGTTTTTCCACTTGATCACATTCTCCGACCGAAGAATTCAAAGCGGTCTCACAGTTACCTTTAGGATACTTCATGACTTGATTCGCGTCAACCTGAAGCACCAATACCAACTGTCGCGCAGCAATCTGCGCGGTAACAGCTTTTAACTACAAAAGGAGCCGTTTAGAACGACACTCCAAAATCGCATATTCAACACGTGAAACAGTTTACCAGTAAGTCTTGTTAATGCTACGTCAGTCAATAGCTTCAAAGTTTATTACGATAGGCGGAACAGTGAACAAAGTTTATAACTATGATGTTTTTATTTTATGTATTTTACGCTATTTCTCCGTAGACTACCTTTTCCTTTTGTACATAAGTACTACTTCAAAATCATAGCCAAATCTGAACAATATATTAATTATTGTTAGTTTTTTATAGTCCAACCCCGTTAACGATATACGCAAAAAGTATATGTATATAGTACCACCGAAATTATTGGTTTTATGAGACCGAATAGGTTCAGAAAACTGGACATTTTATTCAAGCACAGTTCAGCGTAAACACAATTTCCAGTACAACGATAAAGAATGCCATAGCAAACTCAAAAAACAGCAACTGTTTAATCAACCAAAACTTCAATAAAAGTAATTGCGTAGATTTGAGTTCTGTGCAGAAATCAAGTAGAAAGTTTTTAGCACTGCTCAAATCAATAGTCATGCAGCTTTATATGCTCGCTGGTAGATAAATACCTGCATGAACTGTATTTTTGGTAATTGTAAATAACAATAAGATCCATAGCATTTACGATCCTCAAATTAGTGTGTCTTCATGCATCCTATCAATTACGATAATTAAACAACTTACAACAACTCACTTTTGTTATTATAGATACTAAGTCTAGATGTATCTAGATATTGATAAAAAAATGAGCACGTGATCCTTAGCCATACGTATCTAGCACATACTCAGGAGCAAGAAGAATAGATACTACACGAGTGAGCAAATACTCATATTTGGTAGTACTAAGCTTTTGGTGGGAGAATGGAGCACCTGCTTCAAATTTCCAAGCAAATGCTCTGAATCACACCGTTTTTAGCATTTTAGTATTTTTGAGGAAATCCCTTAACAGTCATTGATACTGAACAGATGAACTGGGAATAAAGATAACTGAATCACACATATGGTAAAAGTTAGGTAATACGAAGACTAGCACAAAAGGAAGGATGTTAACAGAATAAACGGGTTATAAAAAAATTCAAATAAGAGGATGGAAGCGGGATTCGTTAATATGGAGGGTCTCTTTAAACTTTAGAAACTGTTTTGCACGAGCCATAGACATAAATTCCGAAATTCCGGAATTGCATTTGTTACTCATGCTTTAGTATATCTTAAGACTCATTGTTGAGTAGATACTATAGGTGCTTCTTTTTTGCACATCTTCCACATAGTTTTACTCATAAAAAGTTAGGGCTCAACCTTATTATTACTACTCAATGTCCTTTGTTCCCGCAAATTGATTTTAGAAACAGCAGCACGCAATCCGACAGACCTATGCAGACAACTCTCAGTACCTCAATAAAGAGTTTTGTTGTTAACAGAGATCTACATTTTTGTCCAGACATTTAAGTGCCATTGTTAATGCTCAGATTAACTGTTATGCAACTTTAGATGCTTACTGGTAGAAGAGTACCTGTGAGAAACGGTGTTTTGAGATTTAATAAAAGTTCTTAGTAGCAACGATCATCAAATTACTGTATGTTAATTTATCCGATCGATTGCATTAATTAGGCAACTTAGCACTGCTTTTGATATAACAAGACCACACTTGGCTAGATACTCAATACTTTCGAAAACCTTTAAATCTACTTAACATATTTAATATCCCCAGTACTCAAACTTTTGACATGCTTTCTTCAAACCACACGAAGTCTGTAAGTCAATTCAACTACCGAAACTCTTCTGATCACTGCCAATTTTCTTGACACATGAAAATTTTGCAAAAATCACGCGAATAAACATGCCAGCGAGAGTATACAACATAACAAACAGCTCCATGCGCACAGCTCCATTCAGTCAACTTATATCGTCAAGAGAAGTACCTGCACGAACTGATTTTTAGCATCTATGAATACCTATAAAAATCGTAGTATTTACGATTTACAAATTCAGTGTTTGTTCATACGTCCTATTACTTGCAACAATTAGACAATTTAGCATTATTTTTGTGACAATTAATAACAAATAAAATTAAAGTGTTCTAAATACTCACTTCTTAAGATTCTTGCAACAAACCATCAAAGCACACAAAGTTCATAACTCTATTTAACTATTAAAATGCGCCGATTCACTGCATGTTTTCGATGCACATAGAATTTTTGCAAAATTCACGCGAATAGAAATGTCTACGACAATAGTCGCTATGAGCTGGAAGCAAGCTACCCGACGAACGGCTCTATGCATACAACTCTAGTTCGAAACTGTGGCTCAGAACTGCCGGCGTTAGATAGGCGCGAGATGCGGGATTTATTTTTAACTTCTCCTCAGCCTCAGACGGTACACTTCGGAAGGTAGGATACTCTGTCGCAACTAATATTTTTTCCACAAATATATTTTTTCTAAAAATATCCGCGGTTGGAAGAAAGACGGCTGCCGAAAATCCACTCGATTTTTTCTTTCCTTTCTTTTACCGGCTACAAATTTGTTAACTTGTCGGAATGGGTGTTCTTAGATGTGTTGCCGAATTTTCGGCGGGCCAAACGATAAAAGCGGGAATGGTTCATAAAATTAAGTAGCACACTTGGTTTTTATGTTCTTCTTTGTTTGTAGTTACATAACAGATTCTTAGGATCTAGGCAGCTATCATATGTTTTCCAGTAGACCTTTGAAGTAACCGGAAAACCACAAGCCTTAATGGTAACCCAATTTCTATCCGTGTTGCAACTACGAGTACAGCATAATTCCAGCCGCACTTTTTCTATTTGAAGCTTTTAAGTCACAAGCGGTTTTTATTTTTGCTATTAGGGTATTGTTAGTGAATTCTGAATTCAAAATATGAGTTTATATAACTTCTTGATTAAAATTAAAAGCTAAAACTGTCAGTTTTTTTTATTTATTATTTGAATTCACCCCTCTAGTGTGTTTGACTGTATGTGAAATCAAGTCCAAGTGAAAATTATGCGGGGAATGGTGGCGGCTATTTCATCAGATGTGTTCTATGCCCGTCGATCAGTGGCGGATTTGCCAATAGGCCCTGTAGGCCCAGGCCTGGGGCGGCCAGATATTAGGGGCGGCCAATCGTAACAAAAAATTCACTGATGATATCAAGAAGTAACTGAGTACCTAAAGACTCGCCCTCATTATGGCGGGTCGCACTGCACTACATCATATAACAATAATATTACTAAATCGCTTTGTACATTTTATGTATAAAATATAGATATGTATATCAACGGTATAATGTAATGTATAATAAAATATGACGTATTTTCGTACATTCACGTGATTTAGGAAGAATATTCTTATACGCGCCAGCTCAAAAACACTAGTAGTGATAATCGCAACGCGACGTGTACGAGTATATACTGATTTATTAACAAGCAGGCAATACAACGGCCTACAAGATAAAATAAAGGAATTATCTCCTCTTGCCGAGTATGTTCCCTGTTCAGCATACTTACTCAATTTAGTAAATGAATGTGCAGCTGAAAGCAGCCAAGAGACTTCTTCGTTCTTTTCTCTATTCCAAGAGTTGTATAATTTCTTTGCAGCGTCAAATCAGCGTTGGTAGCTCCTCCAGGCCCATTTCACCGTCAAAAGTCGATCAATCAATCAACGACTCGTTGGTCAGCGCGTGCACATGCATGCAAAAGTTTAGGCGATTCGTGGAATGGAATCCATAAAGCGAAGTTTAGAGTTAGTTATATGCGAAGGAAGAGGTATTCGTGTGAAATTGGGATGTTTTGAAACGGCCATCATGACTGCGTTTTGGGGATGTTTACTGGATCGTATTAACGCCACAAGTAAAAAAACTTCAGAGTGTGCAAGTTGACATTACCATTGTCGTAGAATTGTATGAGGTACTAATACATTTTATTGGTGAAACACTAGATAACTTCGATGATTTGTACACTAATATGCTCGACGCAATCGTGAGCTACTTCATAGCGAGACTAATACAGGTGTCGAGATGCAACAAAAGAACGATCGCGAAAATTTCAGAATCAACACTTTTTTGGTAATAATTGATACATTGTCAGAAGAGCACAAAAAATGACGTGATGCTTATAGACTACTCTACAATAAATTTAATTTTATTACTAACTTGACGAAACTAAGCGGTTCTGAAATCGAAAAAAAGCCCAAAGCATTGCAAATGGTTTATTCTACTGACTTAGAAGACAACTTTTCAGAATAATGTCTCCATTTTCGTGCTCACTACAGTGTAAAAAATGCCGATCGAAAAAGTGTTATCAGTTTGTTGAAATGGTTACGAACCAAAGGTCTTAAAACCCAACCCAACCGTGGATATTGCTCTTCGTATGTGTGTGTGAACACCCGCCAGTAACTGTTCCTGAGAACGATGGTTTTCTTGTTTGCAACGAGTTAAGAATTATTTACGCACGGAGCAAAGGCTGAACGATCTTGCTTTGCTTAACATAAAATCAGATTTTTCAAGGAAATTGGATTGTGAACACTTAATGATTTTGCTTCGTTTAAGTCTAGACGAGTTTTGTAACATTGTGAAACACTTATTTTTTATTGTATGATAATGAACCTATAGTTCTATAGTATAACTAGTTGAATAAATAAACCCTAAAGTCGTTTTAGCTGTTTTATTTAAATGTTTAATTATCCTTGAACCCTTGGAAGGTATTACAAACCAGCAACTATCATCATCACTTGATTAAATTTCTGAATTAACTTCGATCAAAGTTGGCAATCGAGCTGAGTGAGTCCGCTTGCTGTCAGGTGTTTTTCAGTTCTTTGTTCTCTTCCACCAGACATGGCACGCACCACCTTGTTACGCACAAATAGGTAGTGGCACCACGCGCTGCAAAAACATCACCGTTGCAGCAGTCATCGACCACGCCAAAACTTTCAGCTAGTGTTTATGCAATATATGTTTTTGGGATATAACTAAGTAAATCGTTTGAGTGGACTGAGTGAAAAGTGAACTACTCGAGATTCCAGGACAAACGTTCAATTATAGGAATTGTGATATACAATATTTATTTCTCGAGTATCGGGATTCCTGATATAGAAGATAAATATGCTAATAATCTAAATTATTACAAAAAATGCCCTTTTTGGCAAGTCATGAGATAAGAAATTAATGTAATTTTAAATGTCCGTAATTTTAAATTTGTGTTTTGTAATTTTTCCAGACAATTTGTATTTTTCCGGGTCTCTGAACATCATATGGAATGTCGAGACAAACCCGACAAATTCCGTCCATCTGGTAAGTCTAGATGTAACCCACCGCATTTTATTTTACACGCTAGGCTTTAAATTTTCAGGATTTTTATTTTTAATGCTCATTAAACGTTAGGGTTTTACTTGTGATATAAAGAATGTAGAGGTTTAAGTGTATCACTTGATCGAACGTAACTTGGGCACTTTCGGTCTTAGTAAAACACCTTGTGATTAACTCCATTCTGTCGTATATCTGTTTCTAGGTATTGCAATACTATAGCACAGGCCACTTCATTTAGCTGATATAAGGGTTCCTCTGCCGCAAATGGTACACTCCGGGAGGCAGAATATTCTGTCGCAACTAATACTTTCTTTAAAAAGAAGAGTGACCGAAAAAAATGGTCGATTTTTTCTTTCGCTTACCATTTTACCGATTACAAAGTTAATTTATCGTAGTGGGTTTTCTTAAATAAATTTTCGGCGGGTCAAAAGTTAAAAACGGAAATAGAACAAACGAGGGACATTTCTAAAATAAGAGCGAAGCGCGTATCGTGTCCTCACATCATGTCACGTGTTGTCCGTTCAACCTCAGACACTCTTGTACTGTCTTTCACTATGCCATTACGTTTCGAGCCCCTTTTGGTGTTGCTTTTTTGATTATACTGCTTTGATTTTTAAATGAAAAAAAGTTCGTCCTGCAATAGATGTTGAGAGGATAGGCCTGCTCTCTTACGGCGTCATTCCGCTTCACGGCAACGCTCAGCCTCACGTCAGACTTTCATCTTTTTCCAAAACTTACGGAACGACTTAGTGGCGGATCTAGAAAATATTTCCAGGGAAGTCTATATGAATAATTACTGGGGAGTAGCTCAGAATTAATGTCAGGAGGATTTCCATCTCGAGGGGGGAGGGGGGAATAGCATATTGAAAAATAAAGAGCAAGAGGGGGGTGTCTCGGAAATTGAAAGACATGCAATTATTTTAACTCTGATATTTAGACAGGGGGGCCACCCCCTGAATCCACCACTGGTGACTGTGTTGAAAAATGACGAAATGGTCATATTTTAGTTTGTAAATAAAGTTCATAAATTTTCTCAGACCCCATTGCTAAACGGTTCTTACTTGAAAAATGGCCCTCGTAACATTAGGTAGCACATTTCTTCATAGCTTCATTTTTATGTTGATGTTTGTTTGAGATTACACTAGGTTTTAAGTCCTCAAAATCTAGTCAAAATTATAACTTTTTCATAAAAATATCAGGCTGTTGATTTCAAAATGGGCTTTAAATACTGAGACATTAAGGGGCAGTTGCGACAATGGTGAGAAAAAAGGCTGGTTTGGCTGCAGCTGCTGACAACCCAGTTGAAAAATGGCTCCATTGCTCTTATGGGGTTTAAATCCAAAGCGTGTGTCCAATGGCGACACTATTGAAAAATACCCTCATATGGTTGCAGGAACAACGCTGCATGTTCTATAGAGGTTTTATAAAAGTTGCGGGTTGTGATTTTTTTTCGACACCCACGAGATTGGCGGAGGGTTGCAAATAATCAAACCGCGACGGGGTTCTGGCATTACCCATAATTTTGCGGTCTAAATAGGGGATTCGGCACAAACATTCAGAGTTTAGAGCTATGTCTTTGGCGTTGAAGTTGAAAGTGAAATTCAATGTTATTTATTCACCAAAAACAACAAAGATCTAAATAAATATAGAATAATATCCCCAGTTGTCGTAGCCTGTGGGTGGATAATACCTGACCTCAGTAAGGTTTACATAGTCAGAATTCGCATAATACCGGGAATTAAGATAAATCACTTGAATAAGTAAATAGGTATATGAATAAATTAATATGCGCTAATTTTAGATATTCAAAAATCCATCCACACAATGTTCAATATAATTGCGTATAACCATTCACTCATTAGTAAAGATCCAATCCTTCAATTTTAAAGCACCTTATAGTTATCGACAAGCTTCAGACATGCCATAACATTCCGCCAAAATAATGTTGCATCGACAAAGAATTGCTGCCGCATTTTCTTTACTTCGAGTTTTACAATGAACAGGCTTTTGATTTTCAGTTTGGAAGATTGGATTTGTACTAGATTTTGAAGCTATTATTTTGGTATCATTATTTTACAAGGTTTCACAAAAATATAAGTTACGTACGTTTACCAGATTGAATAGCGAATATTATGATGCTGTTACGGAATATACAGAAGATGTAATATTTGATGACAAAAAAGTCGAAATAAGCATTGAAGTAGTAACTGAAGCTATCAATAACAGCAGCAAAGGCAAATTAGCAGGTCACGACATGACAACAGCAGAAATGCTGAAGGGCTTAGGCAATTTCGGCATCAAATGCTTGACAATCGCGTATGGAATGAGGGTAGGGCGCCGAAAGATTGAAGGACAGGAATTGTGTTACCGATACACAAGACAGGGGATTATAGAGAGTGTGGCAACTATAGAGTATCACGTTGCTTAGTCTCGCAGCCAATGCCTATGAAAGCATCCTAGAGAAAAAACTAAGGAGTACAGTGGAGCCAGATTTGGGGGAAGCACAGTGTGGATTTAGGAAAGGTAGAAGCACGCAGGATCAGCTTCATGTATTTACGATTAACCAACTGATCGAAGAGACTAAAGCGAGAAACACCGGAGCATACATGGCCTTTCTAGATCTAGGAAAGGCATTTGATAGAGCACCACCCAAGGTAGTGTGGAACAGTTTGGAAAAAAGAAATGTAAGCCCTAAACCTAAACTAATGAGAGGAATTAAAACACTTTATACGGATAACATCAATTACGTAAGAAACGAAAACGTAGTATCAAAACCTTTTAAAATAAAAGGGAGGCGTTTTAAGTCCTACACCATAAAAACAATAAATTGCTCTTGCTGTAGCCATTTGCGTCGAACGCAGTTTTCAGGTGTTCAAGTTCTGTCTGGAGGTTCTCCGGTTCGCAAATCTTTTGAGCTCGTTCTGTCAGGGTTCTGATGACTCCATAATTCTGACTTGGGTGATGATTGGACAAAGCCTGCAGGTATCTGTCTGTGTGCGTTGGTTTCCTGTACACTGTGTGACCCAGCTTGTTACCTCGCTTCCTGACTAATACGTCCAAGAAGGTCGGTTGTTGGTCACTCTCTATCTGCATGGTAAATTGTATGCTTGGATGCCGATCGTTGAGGTGCTGCAGAAACTCGTTTAGCTTGTCCGTACCATGGTTCCAAATCACGAAGGTGTCGTCCACGTACCGGAACCAAATTGCTGGTTTGTTCTCCGATGTCTCAACCGCCTTCTTCTCAAAGTGTTCCATAAAAGGTTGGCTATAACTGGGCTAAATGGACTTCCCATTGCCACTCCGTCTATCTGCTCATACTACGTGGACGACACCTTCGTGATTTGGAAACATGGCACGGACAGGCTAAACGAGTTTCTGCAGCAACTCAACCATCGGCATCCAAGCATACAATTTACCATGCAGATAGAGAGTGGCCAACAACAGGCTAAACGAGTTTCTGCAGCACCTCAACGATCTGCATCCAAGCATACAATTTACCATAGAGATAGAGAGTGACCAACAACTGGCCTTCTTGGACGTACTAGTCAGGAAGCGAGGTAACAAGCTGGGTCACACAGTGTACCCGAAACCAATGCACACACAGATACCTGCACGCTTTGTCCAATTCCTGCCACATATTTTACTCCAACTTCAAAATTCAACAAGCTTTTGATTTTTGAACTGCTTTATATTTTAAATCCCATGAGTTCTGGCATGCAGATGGAAAAGATTTGCACCATATTCAGAGCTATGCTTTTGGTATTTTCAATAGTTATAGCTTTAAATATTCCCTAACGTTTCACCATAATATCAATATTTGCCACACCAGCGGTGTATGTGAATACTGGTACTGCTATATACACACAAGCAGGTCAGAAAACATTATAAGCCGATGTATCGCAAAAGTATGAGGTTGTAGATGATAGAATCTCATTTTTGAATACTCTGCCGCAACTAACATTTTCCTCAAAAATATTTTTTATTAAAATATCCGCGATTCGAAGGAAGGCGGTTGCCGAAAATACATTCAATGTTTACTTTCCTAACTTTTGGCGGATACAAATTTGCAGGAATGGGTGTGCTTAGATATGTTGTCGAAAATTAAGTATTACAGTACAACTCAAAGTTTTCTTCAATGCTCTTACTTTAGAAGTTTTTAGAACTACTCGTTCCATATTTTAACAAGTTGCCTACTTCTTCGGGGCCATTTTTCAGGAAACCTGGAAATACAAACAAAACGGGGTCCGCGTCCTATGATAAATAATAATATAATACTTCTTTGCCCATCCAGATTGGCAAATTGTCCATAAAGATAAGAAATGCATCCAAATGCGGACCTTTTTGTCGCACTAACTTATGTATATACTCTCTATAAGTAAAAGCACAAAGATCCTATAATACATTTTTTGAAGAGGACAATCAATACATTTTGTACACGTTACTCATATTTTATTGTAACATAGTGGAAGTGTGTCGGCTTTGGCTGTGAAAACCCCAAATTGTGATAAATACGAGGACCACGCTATATATTTTGAAATACACAAAAACTAAAAACTATATTTCGAAAACTAGTTCATTTATGTTCAAAGTATTCTCCTCCAGCATCAATGCAAGTTTGTAGCCTGACCGTCCACAAATGAAATGCTTCTAACCAGTCAGTTTTGGAATTCCTTCAACATACAGATTAATTGCTTGATCAATTGCCTTTTTGGGCGAAAATGTTCGACCACGCAGATTTTTTTTCAAATTGTTGAAGAGTCAGAAGTCACACATTGCCAAATCTTGCGAATAAGGCGGATGTTCTAGCATGGCGTAACAAGTGTACAGTTAATTGGACAGTGTGGCTAGAGGCCTTGTCGTAATGCAGGATTGCACCTCTAACATTCACAGCTTCGAGAACTTCTGGCAAACGTCTGTTGACGTACCATTTTGCCGTAACTGTACGCTGTTCTTCCAGCTTAATTGCTCTTACATAGCCAGTGCTGTAAGAAAATCTGCCTCTTTACCATTGTTGGTGTAGGGTCATCTTCATGAATCCACACACGGCTTTCCTGACGTCTAGGAACGTCATAAAATGGTATATAGGTTTCATCGCCTGAAAATAGATGAAGAATAGAAGAATACGATGACCGCCATTGTTTAGCATTTCTAATGTTTCAGTAAACTGATGTGGCTCCCATCTCGCAACAACTTTTTTCAACTAAGACTATCATGCAAAATGGTGTGTGAGCACTGTTGCGGATCCTACCTCAAGAGTTGCCTCTATAGTCGCATATGTGCATTGATGTTCAGTTAAGCCGACTTTAAAGTCATACAAAATCATAGCGCGATAACCCTCTCGAGACAACTCCAAGTGTCGACTTAAATTTGTTTACACCACGTGCATTGTAAGACGCTTGGAAATGAACTGAATGCGGCGACTTACTAATACAGGACTGCTCTTTCTAATAGTGCACTGTTGCCGGTTTTAACAAGTATACTTAATACGCATCTCAAAATATACAGCGTGCCCCTCGAATCTTGCAAGATGTCCCGGAGAATGTGTACCATTAATTCAAATTCAGTTCGGCGGGTTTTGACTCAGCACGTGGATAGCACCGGCAACAAATTAAAGCCAAATATGAAAGAAAAACTGCCTAAAGCGACTGGATACGTCAAAACATAGAAGATCACAATATTTGCGCCTGCTAGACCTTGTAGATCGTCTCCTCCTCCAATGCCTTAGATGTAAGGTAACGATACCAAAATCTCATTTCGGTAAAAAAAGCAAAGGCATTTGTGTATCGGTAGTGTGTGGAAAATTTAAGAACAAAGGTATGTCAAACTGAAACACTTAGTTAGCATTTTTCATTTAGCTGTGAAATAAGCATATGCCTTATCTTCCCAAATCACTATGTATATTATTGAGATCCATTAAAATAAACTTGTAGTTTGTTATACACCAAAGCCTGTTGAGCAATATCAACAGATGCAGCAGTTTATAAAAAGAATCATCAAGTCTATTATAGACTATCGATATATCAACAGCGGTTGCATGGTGTGTTCTATTTTTTCATCATAGAAAGGAAGTACTAGTATTCTAGCCTCCAAGCCATAATATCTCATTACCCCGAATTTTACTGAGATATGAACGTTTTATTCGCAATTGACCTGTAACCAACACCATAACGTAACATTGGCGGCGAACAGAGTTGGAGCAAACACAGCTTGGGGCGTGTGATGTATGTGAAATAAAATTTTAGTAAATGGATACTTGGGTCAAATACTGAAATCTTTTATTTTAATATTGTATTTTAAATTATATTCGAATAGTCAAGATCGAAATTCAAAGGAAAAACGCATTCAAATACCGCTATTTTGATACCTGGATTCATATAAACATCTATACTTTATGAATATTCCAGCTAGAAGAAATATATGACATGATTCTTATTTATCTACTTTATCTGTTATCACATACAAATTATAACAGGTATTAAAATCTATTATAATATACAATAACAATGCTGCACAGGTCCATACGTTATCTAAACTCGTTCCTTAGGCGACGCGTCGGCATCAGAAGCAGCACCATCCACACAAACAAATAAATTTGCGTAACTATCTGTTTGTGCCATCCACAAACACCGCGAACGTGTTTTAACATGTTTAAGTTGCGAAAAGCGTAACACAATATTCATGAGGATAGCCAAACAGTATTCGAACACAAGATTTCAATATAGGGTTTAGATACAAAGTGGGTATTCGGATATTGGAATTTAGAAAGAGTATTCAGAATTTTCAGTCAGATACCAAATACCAAACACACAGATGTATTCGAATATCAATCAAATATATTCTGAATACGATTCAAAATACCGAGCATTCGAAGACTACCCAAATCTGAATAAATGAGGTTGGACATGTGTTGTGATATAACAGAGAAGTGTATTTTATTACGCAGAAGTGGAACATGGCAATTACACATATGCCACTTCTGGAGGTTGATACAGACCACATCCCTACAAAGCTTATCTTTGACCGACCCTATGCTATTTCAACAGCTTCTGAAAACCAGATCGAGAAAGGTGTCATTAACATCTTCTCTGACGGGACTAAGAAAAATGATGAGGCTGGTTGCGGAGTATACTCCCGAAGCCTCCGTATGAATTGCAAGTGGTCTGTGGATAAACATGCCAGCGTGTCTCAGGTCAAATTAGCTGGCATAACCTTAGTTGCAGGGAAAATTGTCCGCTGGAATGTTTCAAGCAAAAATATTAGGATCTGCAGGGATAGCAGGCGGGCAATACTGATTCTCAATTGTTTTCATTGTCAGCTTGGAAGCTAGGCTGCCATTTGGCACTTGTGTGTGCCTCCACCAGTAACAATATATCTGTTGCCTGGGTGGAGAGTCATTCAGAATCCAAGGTTAATATTATAGCTGATAGACTCTTTAAGAGGACTACTGACGAGTGAGCTAAAAAGCATACTGACAAAGTTTTCAAGAACATGTAAGGTGATACGTCGGACTGCTCATTCGTTAATTAGTTCCTCCTGAGGGAACGCCGGCCTTCTATAGCCAGTCCCATCACCATATTTTTCAACGGTCTGGGGTGGCTGACGACACAACAATGACCGATCCCTGGAAGAACGTACAAGGGGTCCAATAGGGCCTAAAGTGCTGTGATCTTCTCTGATCGCCCTTCCTCCTATACAGAATACAGGTACGCAGAACTACTGAACGTCTACGTCATTTGGTGACCATCCCAATGCTAGCTCCATAACATGTTATGATAGGATGTTCTATTACAGGTCGATCTTCGCCTTTAAGTATAGCTACCTTCTGAGTGAAACTATTGTGGAAAACACTCTTAATAGTCTGCATATTTGCTGGTGGAGACCATTATGAGTACTAATTATACATGAAATATTCCCGCATACTCTCGAATTGCAGACCATACTGCATAAACTCATACAAATACCTCGTTCCGCACAAAGATATTCGCAATCATCCTACCCTTAAAATAGACAAAATATTTTCACCTGGTGTTCGCCACGGCATTCTGAATTTTGTTTTCTGCTTTGGCTTGAGCCGTTGCTGCTAGTTTCACTTTTCTTGCCAAGCGTATGATATTAATATTTTCTGACTGGCTCTTGATCTAATTGGTTCTCCACGGTCCTTCGGTCTGTGAGAAATTGAGGGTTCGGTTTTTAGTTTCTGGAATTTACTCAGACATTTACTTAATTTCACATCTGAGAATATGCATTTTATCACTGTTCCATTCGTCCGAAGACCGGTGTGCACGTGTCGAGAATTATAAGGTATTACTGGAATTATGGGAATTTACGACGAATCATAGAAAAAGAAGGCGTCAAGTAGACTGATTTTATATGTCCTACGCCTTCGTTGGAGGTTTGAAGGAAAGGGGTTGAGCCAAATTGTTTAAAAAGGCGAAATCGTATCATGATTCGTTAGGTTCGCTTAGGTCCGACCAAACTATATAACGCAAATCGATTATATTTCTGCTTCCATGACAGAGGTAAGGAAAATATGTGTGACTTATTATGTCTAACAGCTGCATAGTATCACTGAAATCAGCAGCTTCTTAATAATAGAAGATATTTCACTGACACCAAATATGCAACAATTTAAATAGTTTACCGCATACAGCAACTTCCAACCTTCAATTTTCATCTCCTCCAAACAATGTCTGAAATGAGCAGGAATCTCTGAAACATTGTAACTCTATGTTGCAGCAATTTTATTTCCCTCGCCTTCAAAATCTACAACTACCTAAACGATAGAAATATTAAAGTCGCGATAATATTTGAACACACAAGTCTTCTGTTGCTTAACGATATCCGCATCACACAAGTCCGTGTTTCTCATTTATATAGGTTTGTCAGCCCGTATTTGTTGTATATCAATGCGTCATAAGTACTGAGTCAATCGACTTGACAAAATATTCAGAGAACGATCATCGACGGGATAACACAAGTTAAAGGTTTGACAAAGCGCACGGGTATTATGTAAAAAAACTATAAGATGTCATCTTGCAGACTAGGTAGCTTTTAGGATGCCAACTGTCATTCCACGTTTGCTCACTAGGGTCGTTGTGAGCCCGATCCAAAGCGTCCATCTATGGAGGAATGAATGAAGGATACGCCATGCTCGTCTCTTTGTATTGTTGGTTGCAGACAGCCATTCTGTTTGTATATTACAAACACAGTTGCAATGTTTAAAATATGAACGAAAGAAAGTTTGGTACTCAGCAAGACCGCATCTGGATGATTGTATTGGTCTGCATGTGTATAAAATCTGCGATATTTACTATGTGAGAAAATGATTACTGACTATGCTGCCATTGAAGTATATCTATCAGGTGTGCCAGACGGGTTATTTGTGTTGTTCTTTCTATAGAAAGGTTATGTTCAAAGTTATACATTACAATTTTTCTCGTTTTTTTTCTTTTGTGTTTTCAAAAACTTTGAGAATTACAAAATATCACCACCGCGCCCGCGTTGTGTGTAATTACGGTTAGCATGTGGGTGTATGACTTATAATTCGACAGTGTACAGTGAATATTACTATTTCTTATATCTCTCATTTTTGAAATTCAGCAAATTTGCATATGTAATTTTCAGAATGGATAAGAAAAAGTGGATGCGCAACAAATTTCTAGCCATGAATCGTATTTGAAGCAGGAATCCAATGGAATTATTATCAACACACATTATTAGCACGCAAAACCTCATTATGCCTTAGTTTAGACCTCCAGTAATGCAGATTTTACATCACATCAGAGCCAGACCACAGAGTACTACCTGAGGCGACACTCTGTCAAAGATCAGATACAATCATCGCCAACTTGATTCTATGCGTTTGGTGGGATTCCTATTGCTGTGACATTTAGGGGTTATTCATGAAATGTTTTGACACGTGTCCACAAAACAGTTTTATCTATACAAAAATCAATTATCTCGCCTAAATGCATTTGAGGAAATAATAAACACAAATTTCTTCATTCTGTAGCATGACATATGACATTCGTGACGGCAGGCTAATAACGCGTAACAACCCCTAGGAAAAAATCCTCGGGACGCCGGAAATGTGGTAAGCAGTTGGGGGGACACGAAGATCAAAGGGACCGACAGCAGGTGTCGCATCTGTATAATCTGTGGCCAAACATTGATAACTGAAGCCTCATGTCGTTTAGGCAACACGTACAACTACAAAACGAGTTCACAAAGTATCCATCAGCTAGTACACGTTAACATCTTGTAGAAAAACCTACATAATGTCAAAAAATCGGCATAATATCACTTTTCAAGATACGTAATACCCGTGTCGGTGGTACATTTAAGGATCATAAAATTCAGAGAAATATAATGTGTAGATCTGTAGACATAAAAATAGTTGAGTCATTTACAAACCCATAGCAGAACGCTAAAGTAATATAAAAATATTGCTAAGATATATAAATATTTTCCTGTAGCGGTATGTCAGTGACGACACCACTGCTGACCAGTTGGAGTGTGTTACCCATTGCACAGACGGCAGCGGCTTCCACGACGATGCAGAATCGCACCGTGCACCGAACGCCAAGGATTGGCAAGTTATTTCGAATTATGAGCACGTTATACATCGGACTTTTATCATTTAATTTTACTGTTGTTATCGGGAACAGAAGCCTCTTAGTCTTCGACTAATACTAAGAACGAAACATTTACAACCCTCTACCCCATCACAACCCCCAAGTCTCACCCCCTACGAAAAATGTTCCGAAAATGATCATGAGCCTCCAAAGCTTAAGCGGATTTCAATTTTTTTTTTTTCGTCTTTTTGCCCCTAACTCCGCCAGCGCTAGACCGATTTCCAAAAACCACAAATTCAAGCGGTACTTCTCAAGTTATAGACGGTTATAAAATTTAGCGGACCGACCGACAGACAGACCAACGGAAATGAGTGACATGTTTTTTCGTGATGTACATGAACATGTCATTAGTATACAGGGTTATCCAAATTAAGTGTCCACCATTAGTAACTTTGTTATTAGTGAAAATACAAAGTTGTTTGAATTAGCAAACTAGTAGCATTTTTAACGCTGGTAAAAATGAGAAATAAAAAAAACAATTGAGAGTCGTTATTTTGATTTTTTTCAGTAAAATAACATTTTTTTAAATGGAAACCCCTGTATATTATATTTTTTTCTGTTAAAGCATCAAATTTTAAACAAAAAAGCTTACAATAACTTTTCTCCTAGGTTACAAATTGTTGAAGTTATGGCCTCCAATCTGAAACAATTAAATTGTATCGACAAACTTTATTTTCAACATCAACTTATAATCTTACAAAATACAATAACAATTTTTTTTAAAGAAGATGCTCGAAAACACCACCTTGTTCTTCAATACATTTTTGGGCACGTTTTTCAACTGCTCGAACTGTCTTAAGTATGGTCCTACCATCTATCTGGGTTATCTTTTCCCTAACTGCAGTCTTTAACGCGTCAAGGTTATCGTACCTTCGCTTGTAAATTTGGTTCTTAAGTAACCCCACAAGAAGTAATCAAGTGGGTTTAGATCTGGTGATCTGGGAGGCCACTGTATTGGGCCATTTGTTCCTATCCACTGATCATTAAAAGTAGTACTTAGAAAATGATAAGTACCTCTGGAGTTGTGGGCAGGTGCGCCATCTTGCTGAAAATGCAGATGATGTCTACTTATAAGATCCAATTCGTCTAAGAAATTAGTCAGAATTTCTGACATAAATTCCACATATCTTTCACCAGTTAGGGTTCCCTCATAAAAGAACGGGCCAACAATTTTTGAACCAATTATACCGCACCAAATGTTGAAACTGAAACGGACTTGTGGGCCTCTTGGATGTACTAACAAAAGATTTTCTCTTGACCAATAATGGTGGTTTTTTCTATTAAACATTCCAGAATTTGAAAAATTTGATTCATCTGTCCATAAAGGTAACGAAAGTTATTTACATTTTGGCGACAGAAGCTAAGATACCAATGGCAAAAACAAGTCTTCTCTCTGGATCCCCTGCCAAAAGCGTTTGAACTGGTCGGTACTTATACGGAATAAATTTGTATTTTTTTAAAATCCTTTGAACAGTACCATAACTGAAATTAGAGTCCTTGAGAATATCTGCTATTGAATTCTCACGATAAGCTTCAAAATATCCAATAACTGCAATTTCCGTGGCCTCGCTTATTATGAATTCTTTTTTTGCCCTTGTTTTAGCAAAAACATTTTCGTTGCCCCTAAATTTTCGATAAAGTCTCAGAAAATATCGTTCACACGGTTGAATGCGAGCGGGATATAATTCACTGTAGTATTCTCTTGCTCTCAAGGAGGATTTTCTGCACACTAAATAGCATTCTAACATATCACACTTTTCTTCATGGGAGAACATTTTTCTTTAAATTAATGACACAATAAAGCTTATAAACAAGTATTTACACTAATGTTTGACATTATTTGATTTTATCATTGTTTTCCAAAGCCTTCTAGTTGCGAGTATGTCAAGTTTAACAATTTGTCGCTTATCTTAATGCTGACAAATCGCGAACGCCATGTTGTTTTCATAGCCGTCTTAATATTATAATACTGCAAATAATTAAAAATATTTATCGTTATTTTGACTTTATTTTTGACTTTAGCGGAAAAGTCATTATGAACTTTTTTGTTTAAAATTTGATGCTTTAACAGAAAAAAATATAATATACAGGGGTTTCTATTTAAAAAAATGTTATTTTACTGAAAAAAATCAAAATAACGACTCTCAATTGTTTTTTTTTATTTCTCATTTTTACCAGCGTTAAAAATGCTACTAGTTTGCTAATTCAAACAACTTTGTATTTTCACTAATAACAAAGTTACTAATGGTGGACACTTAATTTGGATAACCCTGTATATCTTTAAGTATTTTACAAGTAGAATCAACTTTTACGAAGATATTAATTTACGTGTGCTACTACTGCTTCGATAAAATAACTTTCAGGTAACAGATTGCGCTTTGTGCTTTCTTATTTTGATAGATCTGATACTCTGGATAAAGAATAGTTGCTCAACTTTCGTTTGTTGTCATACCGAAGATCAAGCTTATACCATGCTGAAGAGTTGGTAAATTGCCACGAAACCTATATTACTAGTTTAAGTCCGCGCCATCTAGCAACCACAGTGCTGACCTGGCTGACGATGCTAACTGGACAGCTTGCTATTTTCACTTGCGCAGTGGTAGATTCTAGAGACAGACGGCACTTTGTGCTGTCGTATTTCGAGAAGTTTCAGATGTTACAACTCTATTATCTAGATGTATCAGACTTCAAATAAGTGGTCGTACTGACGTCTTTGACAACCAACAATAACTTGACATAGGTATTCGTGGTTTGTTTGTTGGATCTGTCACGTCGAAGATCATAACTCTTTATTAAAAGCATCATCAGAAGCGTCATTGTGACGCTAACACTAGAAAACGATGCAGTAATATTGGCTATAATTAGATATATCATAACTAGTTCTGCACCAGGACTACTCCACGACGCTGCGGAAGTGAGTTTTAAAACTAAAACAACCTGTAGGTGGGATTGCATAGGTAGCATCATAGCGTAGTCGAAAAGACAAGCGTTAGTCTTTTCAAATTCCTATGACTTTCAATCCAAACTATTCAAGACATCTCACTACACTTTTGCATTTATTTAATATATGATTCAGAAATCTTTTAAATTTCCACAAACCTTTACATGAAAGCATTGACTTCACCTAGTATTTTGACATATCTTTTGACGTTTCACGCATGAAAATTTAACAGTCATTAATCTCAGCAAGAATCACAAAATTTTCGTATAGTGTGAAATAGAAAATGCAATGTAAGAAGAAATACCATCTAATCACATAATTTCATATATCATGGATCATACCATTCATTGGGCTACCGTAGCAAAATGCAGTCTCTGCGGAAATATTCCAGAGTGTGCACCATTATTTCAGTGTTCTTTACAACATCCTTACTGTTATGATTGTCTTGCCGATCTTAAGAAAAGATATAAAGGTATGAAATATGGTTATCTTTTAAAATAATATTTTCGGCTGGTACTTGTAGATAGAATTAAGTATAAAATTTTCCAACTTGTGAACAATTCAAAAATATTGACTACATAACAAGTTGAGTAACCTAACCCGGAATATTTGCTCAAAATAAATGCTCAAAGGAAGGAACTTCTGCAAACTACATTTTTTAACCCTAATCTCAGAGAATTTCCTAAATATCTAAATTTAAGAAATAGACATTAACAATAAGCCTAGGTCTTATAATGTCAAAGCAATTTTCTATTTTTTAGTGATAAAAGTGTTATTTGGGTATTGAGGGTGTAAAATGCTACTTTACTGCTCAAAAAATAAATTTGATGTAATCTTTTTTCTATAGTCTATAGTCTCAGCAATTTACTTTTCCTATTTGCCGAGTGCGACATTATAGCGGTACCTATCGGTTGTCGGACTGAATGATTTGTTTTTGTGGATATTAATGACTATTTCCCTCGTCTTTTCTACCAATCACAAACGCGGAATTTTGAATTACAAATGGTTTCTAGATGGAAAAATTGTATGACAGCACCGTTAGCAGTTTTTTCGAGTTCACCACGGCAAAACTTGACAAACAATGCAAAGCAATATTTTTTAACAAAAAGCATTCGTGCAGGTGCAAAAATCCTCGTCTTCGACTAGGATTTTTGTTGCCACCAACATTCGTGCTTCTTGTTAAAATATTATTTAGCAACGTGTTTATTCGATTTTTTTCCGGAAAATTTAGATGCCCTTATGATATTACTTATGAAAATAACATTTAGTGGATTCGAAGTTAGGGACTGACAACTCCATTTTGATCTGACAAATGATGACAACGCAATATTTGCAACTTCGCCAGACCTTAATTATTGACCCCACATGCCACAAATTCCGCCATTCGCTAATATTAGTCCAACCAGTGCGCGGCGATCGATTCAGTTCTCTCCACTGTGCCACATACATCATTGTATCATATTATATCTAGCAACGTGGAAATATTATTCGACCATTGCCAGTAGCGAGCGTTTTTACTACTTTTCTGCTCCAGAGCAGCAAACCTGTCATTTGCAATTGGAAAAAGTTAACTTTGCGCACCAACCTGAGAGCGATAACACATAATTTTTCGGTCACTTGTAGCGACATAAGTTTGTCATATCCATCCACTTATTCAAGTACCTAATTTCAAAACATAATCCATTTGTTTTTTTAAACTAGGTAACATACATTTTTCAAATCGCTGATCCCACTGAAATATTAGACAGTTGTGTTAAACTGGCCAGTAGGGTGTCCCAAAAAAGTTCTTTTTTTTCAAACGCATACCCTTTAATTTTGCTTGAGCAATGTCAAAACAATTGTAAATAAGGTTTTCTGCACCCAGAACCAGGGCAACCTGAGCCGAGTTGAGTTGGAGCATGTCATATTCAGCGCGCGCTAGCTAACGTACTCGTATTATAGTACTCGCTTGTTCTATTAGTAACGCACTGTTTTCGTTCAGTCAAAATGTCGAAGGAATAGCGCAATTTTAAAAAGGGGATATTTTTAATAAGGGACGTAAAGCATCAACTTCTCTCTAATGGGCACTTTTGTTTTATAATATCCGGGAAAGTTAAATTAAGTGTCAATGACAACGCCAACCTTACTATTCGTGAGTGCATTATTTACTGGGAAAAGGCACGTATACCAGCTAAATCTCTACCTGTGTTAAGAAACTTATACCAAGTTTGGACAGATTTGCAAAAAAATGCAAACAATAAACGAGAAGTGTTTGAGCAACGTCGACAAGAATTTGTTGAACTTGGACAATCTGTTTGATATTGCGCATGCCGATACCCTTCAATTGATGAAAATAAATGAAGATAGGATTTTTTGCATCGGCAGAAAGAGCCAGGTCGTCCTGGTCACTTAGCTGGTGTGGACAAGGAATTAGCCATAAAAGAAGAAAAGGCGCGTTTTACGACCACCGAGGAACAACCGCGGCGATCTAAATATGTTGCTTCCTTAACTCCTTCGATATCGTCTTACCAGTGCAAGAAAATTCATCTTCAGATTCCGAGATAGATTTACAAGAAACATTGCCCATCCCAACTCAGATCACACAACCTGATACTAATCAAACTCAAATAAGGAAAAGTTTCATAACTCCAAAATTAATGGCAGCATTAGATCGGTGTCAGTTAGGTATGGGAAATTGTGTTTTTATTATTGAAGTAACCATTGAGGTACTAGTACAAGTTTCCTACAAGCAAGTCCTCCATTCAAAGAATTCGTAACGAAAAGCGAAAGGAGCACAAAGAAGCTATAAAACTTGACTTCCAAAGTGAGTTACCGGATACTGTATCCACTGGGATGGCAAATTGTTGCCACCTATAAATGCTCGCAAGTCGTAAGAAGAACGTCCACCGACTACAAGCCCTGACAATTGTGGATCCCGAGAAAGTACGAGTACATATTTATACAGACAAGCTATCATGTCTGAATATTTTAGAAACTGACAAACTTGAATTGTATCGACATGAATTGACCAAAGAACTTGCTAAGGACGACTATCGAGAATTACTAGAACATTCAATAATATTCCTTGGCGGAGATACAAGCTAGATGGATATCCAGAGCAATCATTTCATTAAAACTAGCATTAGTAAGTTCCTAGCTCAAACTTTCTAATAAGGATAAGTCAACTCTGTTAGATATCTGCCAGTTCATCGTGACAACATACGTGAAACCATGGTTGCAATGTACTTTAGCGCTGAAAACACCTATCCAGGATTTATGCCTTTTAAAGACAACGGAGGCTTACGAAAGAATTGACAAAACCATTTCAAAAGCAGCTTTACAAAAGTTCTGCCAACATTTATATTTGACAGATGTGGTCTCTACCTTATCTCTGTTTGACGACGACGTAGATGAGAAAACTAAAGTAAAAATTGTTGCTAATTTAGCCAAAAAAAAGTCCACCACCACACGGTAAATGCTACATCCCATCGACAAGAACTTTCTGGCCCACTTAATGGAAAGTCTGGAGAATAAACTTTCCGTTGTCTTCGTTTAATGCTTCGATACAATATGCTAACTGTTAAAATACCTGTAAGCCAGCATAAACTACGATTCTGGCAATAGATTACACCTCATACTGCCTTGTTGTGATAGATCTTATTCCTAAGATAGGGGTTAGTTGCTATGCTTTTGTTTAGTGTTCTGATCTGAGTCCAAGCCTAGATGATGCTGACGAATTGATAAAAAGCATAAATCATCTGTCCATGGTTGACTGTCTGTGTACGGACGGACAAAAGCAATATATTTAGATGGTAGCTATTCTTCGTTCGTTTTTTCATTTCAGAGAAAAATATCGATGACTTTGATTCAATCAAAAGCAAATGCTCGTTCAGTCGACTCAAAATTGATTACAGTTTTCCCGACGAGTGTCCAACTCCATTGCCACATAATGATTCTTTTCAATATGCTGAAAATAAGGTGCAAACACTGAGAGCAGTTAACGATACGGCAGAAAGAGCAGTAAAGTTAACCCAAGACTTCTATGGCTTAAACAATTTTTATTACGTTGCATACTACAAGAACACATGCATGTATATCCTGACTGTAAAAAGAGAACTTTAAAAAGAATATTTAGTAAACAATGTTATTTTAATGATAAATATCTAAGAAATACAAGATACAGATAAAGCAGTACTATATTAAATTTGTCGAATAAGAATTAGGTTTTGAAATCCCTAAATGGTTTCCCTATTAACTTTTAAATTCAAAGTTTGACCGAAAGTCGGCTCGGGTTATTATCGTTCCCCGATTGCAATAATATTTATTCTTTGAGTTGTTAGAGTGAAATGGAAAATTTTAGAATGTATGCGGATCTCAATTTGGGAGCAATGAGGGCAAACAAACATTTGTTTGCACTCATAGGCTGGGACACCCTATTGGCCAAGCATGCACTAATATTTCCCGAAAATCAATCTCTGATAACAAACTGACCACCTTTAGGTATACGGTCAGCTTAGACTATGACATTCTAAGCGACAATGAATGTTCCCAGGAAGCTTCTGTAGAAAAAGCAAGTAAGATTGTCAATCAGGATTATTTAATATATTGCAGGCTCAATAAAAGGAGGTGCAACCTGTATCATTTGTAAACGATCAGGAGTGTTTCAACCAAGTCCAAACATAAACAATCATTTTTTAAAGAAAGTCAAAGCAAGACCTGGAATTGGAAGGCACTGCAGATACCACACCACACCCACTCCTGCTGTAAATGGTAGGTTAGTTGCTTAGTGATTTTATTTATTAGCCAACAGGAAGGACTGAAGTCGTTATTATTGTAATAAATAGGGTGATTAAAAAAACAGTCGTAATATTTCTAGAGCAAAGAAAGGAGGGTGTTCAACAGTGGCGAATCGTCCATATGACCATTGTTACCATTGGTAACAGTTTAAAATCTTAAAAATAAGTATTTTATGACTAAGTACTGTGAAATAATTTCATTTATTTGTTTACCAACAGCGGTATGTAATAGTAATTCAGTAAATAGCAAATTAGCCCCACAAAAATAATGCGCCCTATAGTGTCTAGGTTTTGGGAACATGATGAAGCTGAGTCACCTCGACTTGGTTGTCGGTTCGGTTGTTACCATTTTCATTTATGGATACACTTGGTAGTCCGTCGGGGACCGTCGGTGGCGGCTCGTGTCTGATCGCGATCGCCCGAGTGCGTGGGGCGCTGCGACTATTATCTGGGCTTGTTACCATTTTTTGATTTGGTTACTCACTTCTCACTCGTTAGTAGCCGTTTTGATTACTGGCTGTAGTGTGCGTGCAATTAAACATGGATGAGTGTCGCTGCGTAATCGATCAACTACTTGAAAAGTCATTCTCCTTGTATAATTTTTAAGAAAAAAAAAAGGATATTATTGAAAATGGAAGACCAACACCTACTTTAGATGATTTTAAAAAGGAATAACAAAACGTACTTTGATATTTTAAATTAAGTTGGTATATGGAAACTCTTGGTTATTTGGTTGCAAAAAAAACAGATTGTATTGTTGGCGATGTCTTCTGTTCTATACAGAAAAAAATGGGTGGACCAGCAGCGGAGTCAACGATTGAAATAGAAAAAGAGGAGACATGAAATTTCTCCGTTACATGTGAGATGTGTAGCTAATTTAATTCAGTTTGGCAAAACAAGAATCGAAAGTTGTCTTTAACAAGTTTTTATTCAGCACACTTCTAGATACCGTATGTTTTTTGGCAAAACAGGAATTACCGTTCATTTTGAAGGGGATGACTCTGACAATAGAGGAAATTACAGGGAATTGTTAACATTCATTGCCAAAAAAGATCAGAAACTTTCCGGACATCTAGAAACGTCGACTGTTGTTTCGGACGGCTTGGATTAGTCATAGCATAAAACGATTAGGTATATCAAATGCCCCAGACGCTGAGTCCAGGAATGTTTACCTCATTTTGAAAATAGTTTAAATAAAATACATAAAATAAGCAAAAAATCGTATTTGGGAGGTTCAAAATAAACTTTTTTTAATAAGATTTTTCACATCTGGTTTTGGTAACAGTCTAGGAAAAGTCACGCGTCGCCACTGGTATTCAAACCTTACTAAAATCAGTCCCCGGTGAATATTATTCAAACCTTGGGAATAAGCTTTCCAGAGCATCATGATCAAAAGTTTTCATGGGCTCTTAACAATCCTTTGAACCGTTTCCATGATATACAGGCCCCCAAGCATGCGAGAATGAAGTATTGCTCCTAAATAAAAATATATCAAAACTATCAGTCGGTTATCATACATGGTATCCGACGGCACATTTCTAAAATACCACAAATTATACAAAATTTCGCCCCACATCAAAAATATTATTTTTTTAATGGAAGGCTGTACATTTGCTTACACACTCGGATATGCCTTTTTAAGCGAAGAAGATTAATAAAACCTACTTATGGGTATTGATAATTAGTTATTGGGCTAGTGGGTGTTTTATCTAAAAAGACGCCAAAGTGTGACAACCTGAATACACTTATGCAACCTTTCAAAACAGCAGATATGCAGGTTGTCAAATGTTTTTTTTTTAGACAAAATACCCAGTAGCCCAATAACTATTCATTAAAACCCGTACGTAGGTTATATCAATCTTCGTCTCTTAAGGGGACACACCATGTATAATAACCCATAAATAGGTTTCTTTGACACTTTTTTTATGAGCAATAACCCATTCTTGCATGTTGGGACACCCTGTATATCACGGAAACGCTTCATAGAATTGTTAGGAGCAAATAGGAACTTTTGATCAGGATGCTCTAAAGAGCTTATTCTCAAAGTTTGAGTAGGATTCATCGGAGGCTGATTTCCGCATTGTTTGTGCCCCCTCCTTTGGAGTTTGAATAGGCTATAAACAAACTATTGGACTTATTTTAAATTTTATGCTATTGGTGGAATGATTGAATCTTGATACATTGACATTTAAAACTGGCCTAACAGTACTTGATCCAATTTTCTATTATTTTTCTGACTCTTTGGACGAAAATTCCTTCTCCAATTGCATGTTTCAAGCCCTGAATGGTTTATGGATAGCATAACATTATCTTCAGTTGCACTCTCGACAGAATATAGTCCAACGGGTTCAAATCGCGGCTGTGATGCAGCCAACTCGCAACAGAATTTATACTGATTATTCGGATTCCGAAAAAGGTGCCCAAAGTTCGATTGTTATGTTGTTGGTGCGGCAAGTTGCGTCGACCTTTTGAAGACAAATGTCATCCATGCGACCCTCTTCAACCAAAATCGAAAACTATACATTCGTGCAAAAATCCAATCTGTCGTCTATAAGAAAAAATGAAGTGGAAGGACAAGAGCAGAAATGTCATATTTAAATTCTAATTTGCCTTCTTGTAGAGAAGAAAACGTGGAAATGTTAATGTGCACTTTATTTTGAAATCCCACCACAAATAAAGTTGTGAAAAAATTAAAACGATTTTGGGAAAATCGTTTTTTTTTCTATGTCGGGAAGTACTTTGAATTTCGAAAGCCGCAGGTTGTTATAACATAAATAGCTAAAAGTTTCCGAGATCCCAGTGGTGAGGGTCGAATTTGAAATACCCCGTATACATCTGCAATGCTTTTACTTCCTATGCCACTGGGAATATATATTAGTCGCGAAAATTTTTGAAAATGGGATATATTTTTGGATGTTTTATGACATGTTCACGAAAAACTCATTTCAATCGGTCTGTCCGTCTGTCAGACTCTCCGGAAATTTTAGGAGTAAAAGATTATAAATTAGAAAGAGGGGTTTGTAACGGAGTAGGGGCGGGTCTATATCATTTTTTGGTGATATTATGTTTATGCGCACCTTCATAGGTGTGGTTGTCATTAGAACCATAATGATAGAAAAATATATTCCTTCTGCTCTCTGGGCTCACGCAAGTATCCGTCTGACGCGTCTGACGAGATGGGAAGAGACAACGTTGCCAGTTGGATGGTAACTACCGGTAAGATAAGGAAAGAATGTCTATGGACTTATGTGCCTGTTTGACTCACTTGGCTCATTTAATTCCTCTATTGTAAATGTTCGTAACTAATTTGTTACTCAGAGGGTTTGACTTGCGCAGAACTTAAGCCTTTATAAACTAATGGCGGCATTGCTTAGGAAGTGCAGAGTCAACTTACTTGACGCAATTTTTTGTAATGATCTTCAAATTCCATCAGGTAATTGTTACGTGGAGAGAGCAAGAGAGAAGAACACACATACAAACGAAGAAAACAAAGCAGTATCAGTCGAAAGCCTCTTCCATTTACCCCCTGAACAAATATCTAAGCTGATCTTCAAAAACGGATACGGAACGGGCAAAGGGCAGGAAGCAGTCAGTGAGCTTAGCAAACGCCTGGTGTTGACGCACAGCCTACATTCAGTCAAGTCGACGCAAATACGGGCGCCCATAGGATGTCCCCATAAACCATGCGGCAAGATGGTTAGTACTGTAAAGGTACAGATTTGTAACGGTTACCACAGATCGTTATTTTAAAGATCGCTTTACATACAGAGTGTCCCAAATCCAACATAAAGCCGGACACGGGTGATAGGCCATGTCATAATATACTAAGTGACATATAAATCCGAACACCCAGTTTAAATGGTTTTATTTTAATAAAATTTTGTATAAGTACTTAATGAAGCATAATAAGTAAATGATAAAAATTTCAAAATGATTGCACTGCTTTAAAGCCCTTTGACCTTTAATAATGTGTGGATGCACCCTGATGTGCTACGCATTCTCCAACGCGCCTAGGCATGCTTCTGATCAGGTGGTCAATGTCCTCCTGTAGTATCTCATTCCAGGCAACCACCAACTCCTCTCGAAGTGCTTCTAGAGTCTGAGGAGGACGTTTCAAATTGAGCAATCTCCTACCCATCATATCCCACACGTGCTCAATTGGGGATAAGTCGGGAGATCTTGGTGGCCATGGTAACAATGTGACATCATTATGTTGAAATAAGTCTATTGTGACTCTTGCAACATGTGGTCGGGCATTATCTTGTTGGATAGTTGGATCTGCCAGGGTGTCAGGATAGGGTAAAAGATGGGGTTCTAGAACTTCGTGGATATAACGCTGAGCGTTCATGTTACCTCTGATGAAGATTAAAGGTGACCTGGAACCATAAGCTATAGCACCCCAAACCATAACTCCAACAGTGTGATGAACATGTCTTTGAACAAAAAACTGTGGATTCCTCCTTTCACCACGACGCCTTCTAACCCTTACACCGACGTAATCGCCTTGAGTGGTGCAGACAACGGTCACTCTGGGATCAGGAATGGAACAGTATTGTCTTTAGTGACGAGTCTCGATTTTGTTTAGGCATGCACGATGGTCGTGCCAGGGTTAGAAGGCGACGTGGTGAAAGGAGGAATCCACAGTTTTTTGTTGAAAGACATGTTCATCACACTGTTGGAGTTATGGTTTGGGGTGCTATAGCTTATGGTTCCAGGTCACCTTTAATCTTCATCAAAGGTAACATGAACCCGCAGCGTTATATCCACGAAGTTCTAGAACCCCATTTGTTACCCTATCTTGACACCCTGGCAGATCCAACTTTCCAACAAGATAATGCCCGACCACATATTGCAAGAGTCACAATAGACTTCTTTCAACATAATGATGTCACGTTGTTATCATGACCACCAAGATCTCCCGACTTATCCCCAATTGAGCACGTGTAGGATATGATGGGTAGGAGATTGCTCAATTTGCAACGTCCTCCTCAGACTCTAGAAGCACTTCGAGAGGAGTTGGTGGTTGCCTGGAATGAGATACCACAGGAGGACATTGACCACCTGATCAGAAGCATGCCTAGGCGCGTTGGAGAATGCGTAGCAAATCAGGGTGCATCCACACATTATTAAAGGTCAAAGGGCTTTAAAGCAGTGCAATCATTTTGAATTTTTTATCATTTACTTATTATGCTTCATTAAGTACTTATACAAAATTTTATTAAAATTAAATCTTGACACCCTGTCAGATCCAACTTTCCAACAAGATAATGCCCGACCACATGTTGCAAGAGTCACAATAGACTCCTTTCAACATAATGATGTCACATTGTTACCATGGCCACCAAGATCTCCCGACTTATCCACAATTGAGCACGTGTGGGATATGATGGGTAGGAGATTGCTCAATTTGCAACGTCCTCCTCAGACTCTAGAAGCACTTCGAGAGGAGTTGGAGGTTGCCTGGAATGAGATACCACAGGAGGACATTGACCACCTGATCAGAAGCATGCCTAGGCGCGTTGGAGAATGCGTAGCACATCAGGGTGCATCCACACATTATTAAAGGTCAAAGGGCTTTAAAGCAGTGCAATCATTTTGAAATTTTTATCATTTACTTATTATGCTTCATTAAGTACTTATACAAAACTTTATTAAAATAAAACCATTTAAACTGGGTGTTCGGATTTATATGTCACTTAGTATAGTTATCAGGAAATTATAAAAAAGATCTAAGTTGTGTACTTTTCAAATTATAAGCTATAAAATACCGAAAATATCTTTTTTATTTCCCATTACTACAAATTTCAGTTTTTTCTGCGTAGTGACAGCAAGACAAATAGTAACGCCGCCGTTATTAATTCATGATTGCATAGTTCCAACATTTCTCTGTACACCATACAGGAATACGCCAACATTTTTTTCATTAAAACCAATAATTTGAAAAAAACCGACTTATTATATATACAATATTCGATTTTTTTTTTATTTTTCTGGTAGCTACTATGACTTAGCCTTGAAGTCGACTTCTGGGACACCCTGTATGAGCCATGCCCGGAGACAAGTTTTCATACAAACACAGCAACTCACATTTTCCTATAATTATTATACTTGTGAAATGAAAAATGTTCTCGCAACCCTTAACATTATTATGTTATGTCATAGCATCTGGCGATCTGGGAAAATAGAAACGTTCGATCGTCTGTCTGAGCGTAACTAAGAGCGAAAACAACTTTGTCTCATACCTATTAAAATGTAACTTATACTTATGTCCCAATATTATTACACTTTATTCTAACATGATACTACGTGGAAATGCTTAGTTCCAAGGTGTTTTTAGAAAATATTTACCTTTCGAGTCATCCCGTTTGGAAACTCGATAGATAATTTGAATAAACTGTACTTTTTTCAGAAAAGTATTTACTCAAATAAGTACAAGCATACTCGATCAGCATTTCTATAAAATATAGTAAGTGCCACAATAGATAGTTAAGATATTGATGTAGGGCATTCGTACGAGTGGTCTGATCTTTTTAGAAAAAGCATTAAGTACTTCTTCAAATATTTTCTCTGATTTGATCTAAGTCATATCATTTTCATCATGCTACGAATGTTTTGAAAATGATTGTTTTCATATTCATGTTAAAATATACTTATACCGTGATGTTCGTACCTCGGAACTCTTCAACCTACAAAATAATGATAGAAACATAAATTTCAGTTATTTTTCTCTAGTTTAATTTACTAAAATATTTCCATGGAAATCTATAAAGTTCTCCTATAATTTGTTTATAAGGTGAACTTAATGCGCAAATTAAGGGGTTTTCCATTAAGGACTTGACAACTTTCTTTTTAAATGAAACGAAAACCATTTGGGATATCTCGAAAATTTTATTATTGGATGGAATGAAGTATACTCAAAACATTTATGTATGGAATTCGACCTCGCTCATATGTCCACCACGGGCACGTTCGTAACGATCGATTCGTTAAAACCAATTTTCAATAACTCGCCCACACATTTCGACAGAAGCGGCCGCTATCTCTCGTTCAATATTGGCTATGAGCTCCTATAACGACGCCGGCTTGTTGGTATAGAAAAGTGATTCAATTCAGCCCCGCAAAAAAGTCTAGAGGTGTTAAATCACACGATCTAGGCGGCTATTCGACAGGACCATTCCTTAATATAACACGTTCACCGAATTTTGATTTCAATGTGTCGATTGTTTCACCCGCTGTGTGCCTTGTGGCACCGTCTTGTTGAAACCACGTATCATTGATGTCTAGCCCATCCAATTGACCAAAACAACAACTTTGCAACATGTCTCTGTAGTGATCTCCGTTGACTGTAACGTGACGGTCATTTTCATTAACTAAAAAAACAGCCCAATGACACTACCCGCATGAAAACCACATCATGCAGTTATTTTTCGTGGATGAAGTGCTGTTTCTTGACGCACATGAGGGGTTTCACCTGATCAATAATGCATACCTAATTCTGTTTGTTGACGAAGCCGTTTTACCAAAAATGGGCCTCATCGCTGAAGATGATTTTGCGATGAAATTGGTCATTTTTTTGCAACATTTCTAGAGACCAATTCGAGAACGTACGTTGGTTCATATGATCGAACGGCTTTCGTTCTTGAGTTAACTTGATCTTATAAGGGTGCAGGCCAATATCTCTTCGCTACATTCGCCTTACGTCAGAGCGACGCCCAATTCTTAGGAACGCCGTGGAATCGACGTGATCTATCTGTTTGCGACAGAAGCTTGAACGGCAGCCATATTTCCGGCACTTCGACCAACTCGCACGGGTATCTATTACGTATGTATCCTGCAAAGTGACATTATGTCGATTTTTTGACGTTGTTTTGGTTTTTTGTGACATTATGTAGGTTTTTCTACACGATGTTAACTTAGCACTTAGTTGTACGTGTTGCCTAAACGTCACGAGGCTTGTTGTCAATGTTTGGCTCGATGTGATGTGAAATCTGCTTCAGGTCTAAGCTGAGGCATAGTGAGGTTTTGTGTGCTAATAATGTGTGTTGATGATAATTCCATTGGATTCTCATATACACTTACTTGAGATTCATGACTAAACATTTGTTGCGCATCCACTTTTTCTTATCGATTAGATTTACAAATTTGCTGAATTTAGAAAATGAGAGAGATAAGAAATAATTATATTTACTGTAAACTGTCGAATTACAAGCCATATACATGCTGACAGTAATTACACACAACGCAGGCGCGGTATAAATTTGCCGTATAAATAACTCGTCATATTCAGCATATTCAGTAATGATTTTCTCACACAGCAAAGATCACTGATTTTATACACATGCAGACCAATACACATAATCATCCCGATGCAATCTTGCTATTCATCCAACTTTCTTATCAGAGATGAAAACTACAGATCACTCGGCTTCACAACACATATGCAACCAACAATGCTTGTAGTTTAGTTGAGTAATTCCTCCATAGATCGACACTCACAACGATGCTAGTGAGCAAACGTTTTATAGGTTTTACTAGACTATGAACTGCTTTTCTACTGTGACGATAATTACGACCAAAAATTGGTATTAATGCTCTTAAAGTTGCAGTCACCGACTCGGAATTTCGGTAGCAAATTTTAATTATTTATAAGCGTTGTTCGTTCGTATGATGAAAATGTTTTCTTTTCTGAATGTTTTGACATTGACAGTTCGATAATTGATTTAAAGGTGCGTTCACAGTGAAAGCACATATTATACAGATGCGACACCTGCTGTCGGTTCCTTTATCTTCGTGTCCCCAACTGCTTACCACATTTCCCGCTTATGTTCATTAGCGTCCGGAGGACTTAGGCCAGATAATTGATTTGTATTGATAAAACTGTTTTGTGGTCACGTGTCAAAACATTCCACGGATAACTCCTAAATGTCACAGCAACAGGAATCCCACCAAACGCATAGAACTCAAGTTGGCGTTGATAGAACCTGATTTTTGACAGTGTCGCCTCTGGTAGTACTCTGGTGAAATTTCATAGTTGTCAAGTCCCTATTGGAAAACCCGATACTTGCGTCGTCGCTGCTCTTGATATACGACGTGTTTGCAAAGCAAGTGGCAACAGTGCAATGGGTGTTTGGACTATTCTACGCGTGGCGAGCATCAAACGAGAGGATTCAAAACTAAGTTAGTTTCTGGCTGGAAATATATGAAATTCGTCGTGAAATTAGTTCCGTATACGAATGTAGTAGAGCTGTGTTGCTTCAGTATTATCCCATAATTCGAACACAGAATACCTGAAATCGCCAATTTTCAGCAGCATAGTAACTTAGTTTTGAATTCTCTTGATTGGTGCTCGCCAGTCTAAGACTACATTGTTCTCAAAATAGCGCTTCGTTCCAAAGAAACAGTCCCTTAGGGACGCCTCTAAAAGTCGGTTCTCCTAAATAATCTTTGAAGAATTATGCATAATTCCACTAAATTTTAACCCCACAGCAACTATCCTGACATACTGCTGCCTACTGAAAGCAATTGACTCATTTAGGCCGCCATCATCGCCATCATAGCTCAAAGGTTATTTTTTACAGAACGTCATCCTTTATCTGAAACAGGGTATTCTGGTTTAATTTCAATATAATGTATCCTACTTTGAAAAAATGGGCTAGTTTCAACAGCCCGTCTACCGATTTGTACTGCAGATGAGACAGTTTTTCTCTAAAACCGCTCTTTTTATTGAAATCAAACAAGAATAAATTTGTTTTCGTTAAAGGAGCAGGTTTTAAAATTCTACTTTTATGTCATTATTACGCAGCGTGTGAAATATGTTAGCAATACTGCGCGTCATCAAAATTTTATTGCTTTATACAGTGATGTTCAAAGGTTATACAAGAAGAACAAATTTCCACTAGTGTTTTTTTTTTGGACTAAATAGTGATAGAGTATCCCCCATGAATTATTACCCACATTTTAGAAACACCGTGTATAGCCAAACGTATTTAAGTATCACATGATAACCTATGTACTTCGAGCACGTGGTAATAACCAGTGGCGTAGCTACTAAGGGGCTAGGCGGGGCAGTACCCCGGGGCCCTCAAGCTCAGGGGGTCTTCGAATCCTTACCAGAAGGTACATTTTCATGGCAGAGCTTTTATCGCTGGCGATAAGGCCTAGGGACCCTAAAAAGCTGAATTCGTTTAGCTTTTTGGCGTGACTGTCGGTTTCTGATGTCGCGAAAAAAATTAAAATCAAATATATGTCGGACCAAAATGTAAGTATAGGGCCATAATAATTACTTATAAAATATCAAAAATCATTGAAATGAAAATTGTGAAATAAAAATCGGCATTTGCAGAATTAACTGCACGGATTTTTATCGATCTTTCGATTTTTTTGAAGTTTGCATATCTTTTGGAGACCTACCTGTATAGTAGATGATATTTGATGAACATGCGAGGTTGGAAAAATTGTTTTAAAAAAAGTTATTTATTGTTAAACTTGTAGGATACTTTTTTCGAGTGCAAATATCTTCCTAAAACTAATTTATTCGAGGTAATTTGCACTCGAAAAAAAAGTACCCTGAAAGCTTAACTATAACAATACATATTTTTTTTAAAACAATTTTTCCGACCTTGCAGGTACATCAAATATCATCTACTATCGGTCTCTAAAATAAGATATGTAAACTTCAAAAAAATCGAAAGACTTCGATAAAAATCCGTGCAGTTTAATTGTGGAAATGCCGAAATATACATATCATATTTAAATGGGACACCTCGCGCTACCACGCGTCAGATTTCGAAAAAAAATACTAGAACCAGCGTTTCAGCGACAGCATGAAAAGGCCGTAGAAAATCGAACTCCACTTTTGACAATTTCTCCCATTTTCAAAATAAATATGACAGGTGGCAACACGACTTTAGTCATGGCAACTCAGTTTCAGATAAATTCGAAAGTTATAAATAGGGAATTCCCCTAAATTATTTCTGATTGTTGACCCGGTTGACAGTGTTATCAATTTGACGGATATCAATATGCGCGTTTTATTATTTATCGATGTGCGTTTTTGTGATTCGGGATTGTGAACTCGAATCAAGTTTTTTTTTTCGAGAATGGTAAAAAAGTTAATGTTGTATCAGGAGTAAGTAGGTTTATGTAAATATTTTTTTTGTACTGATCTAAACAAAGGTTCAATTTTATTTGATTTTAGTACCACTCATATTGATGTCCGTTACGTAAATAAATCTATAGATTTCGCATACTCATTGTATAGCGCAAAATACCGTGAAAAATACAAGTCACCTGCAATAGGTATATTAGTGCATAGTAAGTACCTACTTAAGCACAATCTTATATAAATATTGCATAAATAAATTAGAAAACCAAAATTATGGATAAAAAGAGGAAACCCAGTGGTGCATTTAAACGCAAATAACGCCAAGAAAGAGAAGAAGGTAAACAAAAATTCCCCAAAATTGACAAGTTTTTTAGTCACGCTTCTGGAAGTACGTCTGGACAAAATATTTCTATTGATAGTGACTCAAATAATGTGGTAACTGCAGTGTTGGTTGAGAATCCTACTGAAGAAGATACAACAATTATTATTGCAGTTGAAGATACCTCCGCTACCGATCATGTGAACGTGGATGATGTTTGTATGGCACATAAGAATATAAAAACGGAGGATTTGGAGGAACAACAGACCTCTAAATTTTTCGAAAATGTGTACGATAAATCGTCTTATGACTTGGGAAACTTCACGAACAAAATACTAAATGATAATGAAAGACGTCAAATTCTTGATATGGGACCTTTACAGCCTTCAGGGTACCTTTTCCAACTGATATCAACCAGAATAATAGGTGTTTTTCAAAATCATATTGCGTTACAAGTTCAAAATATGGACCAGTTAATCGTTTTTGGTTGTGCTATTCCAAAATACTAGACGCTGCTATTATCAACACTGCTGGTTATTTGTTTCACAGAGGAATAATGTCTGATGTACGGGAATTCGTGATTGGAAAAATTTTTTTTCGTAGGAGATGTAGTATATGCATGTATGTATAATTGGAGTATTATTATATAATCATACGGTATATTATAATGTATTTAGAATTTAGAACGGTGGTAGGCATAAACAATTGTGGAATGCAAGTGTATCATTTTTTGGGTTGGAAAATATACTTACTTTTTAGCTGTTCGTAAAGTAAGACCTATTATTCCAATGATAAAATGGTGTATATTTATGTATATTTAATGATTTTACTTCATAGAACCTTACCAGTTTTGATAGCAGTGGAGCCCCATTTTTTTATTTGCCCCAGTGCCCTAGGTTACCTAGCTACGCCACTGGTAATAACGTTACAAGCTGATCATGAAATTAAGAGAATGACGTAAAAGGAACGTGAAAATGACTTCCTAAAGTCGAAATCGCGAAAGATGACGTTTACGTCATCATTTTAGTCTGCAGTAAAGACAAACGACAGCGATTTGTGAATATTTTAATGAAGGTTCAGATATGTTAGACAGAGACAAACATAATTTTATTGTCTAAACAAATTGTATTGCTAATTTGCATGTATCCAACAAAAATAGAGGATGTTTTCATGTTGCATGATCGGCCATATTTGAAATACGAATAGTTAGGTTATGTTAAAGCAGGTTAGGTTGTTTCCGAATAATACTTTGGTCTTTGGTGTTCCTCTCTCAAGATATTCTACTCATAACTGTTTTTCTTTTCAAAACAAAAACTCCCCACTTATTATTAAGGTATCACTCAAAACCATGAAATAAAATGAAAATAAAAATAATCAGTAAAATAACCTAACTTCGCAAAATCATAACATAAATTTGTTCTCATTGTTCCTGACATCGTGATTTTGTCATCGACGTACGTCCATTGATTACTTCAGTACAATTTATGGTATGACGTAATAGTCATCTTTCGTGATTTTGACTATAACGTCACATCCGATGGCGTCATATGCAGCAGACGTAAATAATACGTCACTTGCTGGACGTGTGATGACGTCTATATTTATAATGAATAACTAGTTTTGGTTTCTTTAATAACTCATATAGAATTACAATCACATTGAATAGCTAAAATGTGAGATGTATTTGTTTGTTTTGTATGTTACTTCTAAATGTTGTATCCAATAAGGTCATTTTTTATTCATTTTGTTCTCAGAGTTATTCTTAAGTATTATTAAATGTTATATATCGGAAGGATAGAAATATACAAGAGAGATAAAGCATTAGACGGTAACGTTTGGCGACACAATTTATCATTTCAGATAACGTTAAGTTTCTTTGAGTGAACGTCAATCAGGGACGGAATGAGATAATTTTTCTCTGCAAGATTCATTCTAAATTAACACAACCATCTTACATACAACAATATATATCCATATAATTCTAAATAGATATACCTCACAAACAGGTCATAAAAACTTCTTACAGTACACTTACCGAATTGGACACTGGGACACCGTATGGTCAGTCGTTCCTACAGCTGTAGGATGCCATTATGGCCACCTTGGTTTTCATAATATTTTCTCTTCCTCAGAAAGGCTATGGTATTTCTAGGTTTCTACTGTTCCGTATCAGCGTGAGCGCTCTCCTATTGTGAAGTTATGTTTTATTTTTGAATTATAGGGAATTTCAGGCCGATATAGCAGATTATATAAATCAAAAGCATGAACAATTTGATGCAAGTAGTTATTTGTAACATAACCTCAAAATAGAGCGCTGACACGGAACATTAGAAAACTATGAAAATCAAGGAGGCCATGAAGGCGTCCTACAATTATTGTACCGCCCTTAGTAGACGTCATTACGACGTCGAAGTTTAGAACACTCGCGCCAGTTCACGAGGTATCATCAAATTTCGACGTCATTATGACGTGCTTGAGCTAGCTGGGAAAGTAGCATTTTTCGTTCTTAATACACAAATAGTCAATGTTGATTGTTCAGCAGATGTGTTCATAAACTGAAATTGTGTTGCAGATCACGCCAACGTCATTCGTGTCTCACTTCAAGTACGAACATTCTTGCATTCCGAAATACAACATAGAGCGAGGTAAAGAACTGTGCATTCCTCTCGACGTCTCGATCATCGAATATGGAAGTAACGTCTGTTTGGCCATGGTCAACGCATACGAAATCAATCGAATAGACGTCAGGAAGTCACTGAGCACCCAGGCCGTCATAAAAACATGCAGCAAATTCAACCAACAAATCCCCATTGATTCATTCTGGTTAATGCTCAGCGGATCACAAAAATCTAGACCACATTACTCTTACGCTTACTGTTGGTTGTTCAACACGTCTGAAGAATGCTACCAATGTACAATTGAATTGTCTTCTGTATATGACTCGATGACGTTCTCCAGTTATTGTAACGTTAATACTTCGCCTCAAAATAGAAATTTCAGTGGTATTGATGAAAGCTTGAATTGTCTAATAGTGACTAGAGAATCACTAGGGGCGTTGCTGAGGGAGGGGGCAATGTTAAATTTAAGGGTAGTTGTACATTAGATTGTAGGTTTGTCAAATACTTTAACGTGTGCAAAATTGATGTCTAAAATGGAATATAATATACAGTTTTTACATGAATGAATCTCAATTATGTGCTAAGATATAATTTCAATGAATATAAACGAATTGAACATGAATTTGATAATGTCGTAATATTTCCATTTCAAGTCTGTATGTTTGGCTGTCTGCCAAATGAAAAGTATATATATTGGATCAAACATTTCGCCACCTCGGTGACCTTTTTCAAAGTACCTACAAATAAAAAAAACGACTGGTTGACAGTTCATTTGTTTTTTGCTGCTACTATTCGCTATGTGTGGGGCGGGTGGTGGTGACAGTCAAATCGGTCGCCCTAAGAATCCAGTTGGAAAATTTAGATATTTAGCATGATTCTGTGTACAATTATGATTCTTAGGATTTGGTCCTCTGGGAAAATTTGCTAACCCATGCTCGTCAAAAAGTTCTGGGGGCTGGTACACTTTCATAAAAAGTTATCTCTTGCCAATGATCGCCCTCCCTTCCTGGGAACAATTCGTGCAGACGCCGATGCGTCAGCTTTGAAAATCTGCAGATACAAAAAGTTTAAAAACTGATTTCATGTCAAACAAAATATTGACAATCGTGCTGACAACAGAATTAGTACTTCTTACAGCCACCGCCCAAGTGCAATGGTAAGTAACAATTACTTCCTACTTACTTACTTACTTACTTACTTACCACCCAACATGATCACTATAACAATATTCACATTATCTCTAAATCAAAGCAATAATCAAATCGATAAACTGTTCTCATTTACACTAGTTTGGTTGTTTATCCAGCATACTAGGCACAAACACTAATTTGTATTTCGACGCCTTTTACCATATTTACTATAAATACCTACTAACATCAAAATGATATTTACAGCAGTACAATGATATTTCATTTCCGAAATGGGCAATTTTATCATCTCTGTCATTGTTCATTACTACCCTGCACCACTTACTTCAAATTCACGCGCGAAGCGTGCGCGGCGGAAGCATCGATGTGAGGTAGCGATGACAGCTTATGTTATGTAACGTCATCACCCAGACTCACGCTCCAATAAGATAATTCTGCAAATAAGTAACTTCTGGGTAGGGTAACTTTTTCGTGTTTTAAGATATTCAGAAATATTTTTCAGCACTGTACTTCACTTAGACTATAATTTTGAGAATATTTCAAAATATAGGAAACACCCTTTATGGATATCACTGAATCCATCAAATAGGATTAATTCAAAAATATTATTCATGGAAGACATGAGAATCATAATGTAAAAATATATGAAACTAGTGTCATTTCATTATTCCTGTTTCGTGATAATAATTCAAATCAATAAACAGGGATGAAGGTTTCTGAGAACAGAACGAATAATAAAATCCTTGTACTATAAAAATAATAATGGATAAATGTCAACCCCATCTATTTACCAGAGTCGCTTTCCAGTGCCTCATTTGTTTTACTCGGAGTCTGCCGTTACAGTCTGCACACCACCTGTCAATACCGTGCCAGTGCTCTAGTGTCATGCAACCGAGCTACTCGTTTTTGAAATATGCGACTTCCTCATGCATCAGCTTTTTATCCGGTGTTATACGCTCCGAAATAGTGGAGTTGACGAAAATGACAATGTGTCAAGATTGATAGATTATTTTTTCATCATTTTTGTTCTATTTTGCATTAAACCGATGACAGACAATGAAGGATGGTAAAAAACTGATAACGTTATGACCCAGAGTCACAACGTACATTTGAGATTTTCCTTAATGATAAAGATTACAAGAGAGTGCAAGAATGCAGGTTCATAGCAGCTTGTAGACCATAGTTCACGAGTATCCATCACGGTAGAATGACAGCTGATTATCTAGTAATATCTCAAAATTCCCCATATCGGCACATGACATAATTCTGACGGATCCGTCAACGTCAGGTAGTCAGAGCCGTATTTGGTTTTGTTTTTTTGTACGCTACAGATTCATTTTGTAATTGCTAACAGCTATTTTATTTAAAAAATTTAATTTGCATCCAAAAAACAAAACGCCAGAAACAAAAGCTTGACTAGATTTACACCCGATTCATTATTGCCAACGTCGCAGACTAACATAAAAATGACACTTGCTGATCAGCCTGTCACCTCAGTAGACGTCAAAGTAAGATGGGTACTCGTGGAATAGGGTATAGTTGGCTTCATCTATAACTAGACTGTTTGAAAATAATTTTGAATGTCTACACTTAAAATATGAATTCGACCCGTTTATCTAAAAGCTTTACAATAAAAAAATCAGACCTCCAAAGTGTTGCGGTCTCATTCTAAAAGCATCATCAGGCATCAATTGGATAGTTGCAGTGTAATACAAATGATCAACGTCAAAGCAAAACATCAAAAAACAGATTAAGTTTTTATCGTCGCGTTCCCGTGCACATTTCCTAAAGCAGTTCGAGAGCGTCACACCCGGATGCATACAAATCTCAATTCAAAAGCACTGGAAAGCGGCTCAGGTTGACATCAAGACTTCACATATGACACATGTCACATGCCATGCCACTGACGTTGACACGACGGTCAGAGATGTTTTCAGTTTTGTTTTTGTGGTTTTGTTTTGTACCTGCCCAATGTAGTTATTAGTCGAGTTCTATTGTTATCAAAATATTTTATTAAATATTTGTTTATTTAAGCTTCTTATCAGCAAAATGTGTATGATAGATAAGACTGATATTTGCCTGCTGCTGCTCATACATTTTTTAATAGGAGTAACAGGTAATAAAGATGAGTAAGCATTTTGGGCGGGGCATGAGCATCAAAACAGTTTTAAATGTTTAAACATCATCCATTTAAATTCTAAAGCTATACAACGTTCAGCTTAATATTATGGTCAAATAGAGTTCTTTCTATTTCCATTATCGAATATTATTCAGTTCAAATTGTTTGCAAGTTTATAATATTTATACAGAATGATTCATAAATAGCATGCCTTTAAATATTTTTTATTACAATGTATAAGGGCTTTTCAAATTTTAATGTATCATTTCTGATAATGGCCATATTGTATTAATGCAAGCATTTGCATGATACCTTCCTTGAAGTTATTGAACAATGTTGATCAAATCAAGTAGCAATTAATTACTACATGGTAATGCCTTATTACTAGAACTAAGGCTCACACCCAGTTTCAGTTGAAATGCTTAGACAAATGTCACACAATCAGTATTTGCTGTGGTCCTTACCATCAGTAATTACTGATGTCCAGACTACATGGTCAGTAAATATCACAGTTCATAATAAATACTGATTGATAAGATTCAAAATGTTACCAATGTGATAATAGATGTTTTAACTTCTCAGTACTCACATGGTCGTAATTTTTTTTATTGATGATTCAGAATGGTTCTGCAAGATTTATTGATATATCAGATATTATAGTAATGGTGTATCTTTTAGAGTCTTTGCTTGACTCTCTGTAAAATAATTGTTCACATTGTTGATTTTGGATTTTATATAAATGCTAAATGTATTGTAAATGTGCTTATAGCTTTGTATCAAAACTCTATGCAAGGATTTGAAGATGTCAGTTTTAAACATGCTTACTTTATAGGCCAAAATTTTTGGAAAACTTATTCAGTTGAACACAGGCCTAGGAGACCAGAAACAATAGTGACATGGTGCACAATAAGTGACGATGAGCAAAGAAAATGCCATAGTTTCTCTATGGCTAATGAAAGAGACCAAATTAAAGTTGGATATGAAACTGTCAATATTACTTGTAAACAAGCAACTAACAAAGAGGAATGCATGGAGCTGCTTGACCAAGAATCTGCCACAATGGTTACTTTAGGTATTACCATCTTTGTTTGCTGAATCAATACAAAAATATAAAAGGAATGAGATGCTTGTCAATTTAAAGTCCAAAATCAAGTTTACATAAATCTCAAATCAGTTTTTCAATCACATTTTTAAATATACATTGCAAATTACATTGAGTTAGACAAAATTGTGTCCAATAAATTGATAAAAAATGCTCTTGTTTTTACATTTAGGGCTTGTACATACAGTAGTCTGTAACTGTGTCTGGGATCCTGTAGTATGAATTCTGTCTATAATAATGTAGCAGAGAGAAGGGACTTTGTGTGGCAGGATCTTGGACATGGTCACTAACAGGTTGGCAGCTTCTGTATGAACAGGGCTTATGTTGTTTCCCAAGCTATAAGTTCAATAAGAATGGATTGATTAATGACAGATATTGACTGAATGTATACATCTGAAAAAATTATTTTTTATTAATATTTCTAGATGCTGGTTCTGTCTTTGTGGGAGGAAGATACCACAGCTTAGTGCCTATAGCAGAAGAGGTCTTAGATGGAGGTCATAATTATTATTTCTCAGTTGCTGTAATAAAAAAGGGATCATTGGATGATGTAGTATCACTACACCAACTTAGAGGCAAAAAAGCATGTTTCCCTGGAGTAGAAACATTTGCTGGATGGGTTGTTCCAATAAACACAGTAAGTGTATTTTATTCTCCTTTATCTTTACACTTTCAGTATATCCCAATAACTGAATTGTACTTTTACATCCCAACACCTCTGGAAACTGCTACATTTAGTTGAAAAAGAAACAATTGACATTTTGGTCTATCTGTGCGGTGATGTCATACAAATGTGTATGAACTGCATTCTGCCAATGTATTTAAAAAATGATGCCCTCATAAATAATTGAGGTCAGCACAAGTTAAACCCTGTGAAAAAAGAATTACTTATGAACATGTATAGTAGAGAAACTAAATTGATCAAGTCAGTTAAACAGACCCATTAGTCACTATACATTCTCTCCCTGCTCTACTGATAGTTTTCATATTGTCAGATGTGGCAGCACGCACTGAAGCACTGCTGCAGTACCAGCAGAACAATCAAGCAGCCCATTTCATCTATCTATCATACTAAGTTTTAAAGGCAAATGTATTAGGAAACCTATAACATGAGAATTATGGCTAATCAGTGCACCAAATTAGCAGGGTTAAGAGAGTATAAACATACTAAAAATAGTTGAAATTATTATGAATTACATTTTGCTAGCAGACATCCCCATTATAAAGTTTGCTTCAAGGTATATGGTACTGTACTAATTAAATGTTTTTTAGTTAATGAAAGAAGGTGGGATGGAAATAGTTGACTGCAACAACCACATAAAATCAGCCACAAATTACTTTGGTCCATCATGCTCAGTAAACTGCCTATCTGACAAGTATAACCCAATAGGTGATAACTCGGACAAACTGTGCCAACTGTGTATAGGAAAAATACCAGGTGGTAGATGTACTGATGCTGATCCATATGCTGGATATGAAGGAGCTTTCAAGTGCCTTTTAGAAGCTGGAGAAATTGCATTTCTGAAACATAACTCAGTACCAGAGATTATTGAGAAATTAGGATTCAGTAAGTTTTTATTTTCTATAATGGTGTAAAAACTATTATCCAGTTATTGTGATAATGTTGCACTGTTGTTATTAAATATGCTAAAGAAAATGTATAGCAAATATTAGTAAATTAATATTTTGACCTTAACAGGCCATCACTCATAATAAACTCTTGTAGTTTCCAATTAATTATGCTTCATAATAAATGCGGGTATAGTTTTCCCCAGTAACAAATTCTCTTATGTAAACATCTATAAACAACATAGGAAGCCACAAATATATTATAACGACCAACTATAATTTGAGATATTTGTTATTGTATATCAAAAGCAATGCAAAGGTGTGTAAACTTCAAAATTAAACCAAAGTATAACTATGCAGGGTGTTTGGTACATGAACCAAAAAAATTGTTTTGGCGAATGATTTTTGATGGAAACCGCAATGCTCTAAGGGCTACGGTTACCGAGATATGATCGTTTTTCGTTTTTTTGCATGAATATCGTTTGATATATGAGTCTGTTCTGTAATGTATACACAGATCAGATAGACAGTTCATGCAAATATTCTCAAATAAATGACTTCCAAAATCGTACAATCACGTGTATATATATATATATAATATGTAACCTTATATACCCATAGGTGTACGGCATAACAAATTGTTTACACTGTCTTTTCATTGTTTTAAAAGGTTGTGCATCAATTTTGCTCAAGTCATTTTGTCCCTGGCCTGTTGAACAGCTTCTGCCCAGCTGAGTCCTCTGTTCTTCAGTGTTAATGCAATTCGGTCATTCCACGTCTTTTTTGGTCTCCCTCTAGTTCCTTTGTTCATAATTTTAGCCTCCCATATTCTTTTAGTTTCTTCCATATGGATTAGATGCCCAAACCATTTCAACTGGTTTTCCTCAATTTTTTCCAAGACAGATCTAACCCCTAACTCACTTCGTATAATCTCGTTCCTAATTTTGTCTCTCCTGGTCAATCCTTTTACTGCTCTCAAGTATTTCATGTCTATTGCTTGTATTTTGCTTCTTTGTCGGTTTTTCAATACCCAGCTTTCGCTTCCAAGTCAGGATAGGTCTGAAAATCGTTTTATATACCGTCATTTTGATCTTTCTGCTTATTTCTTTTTTCGATATGAACAATATTTTGATGCTATGATAGAGGTTCGATGCTTTTAGTAATCTTTCTTTTATTTCTTCATCCATTGTTCCGTCTTCCTGTATTTGTATTCCCAAGTATTTGAAAGCCTGTATTTGATCTATATATCTTCCTCCCGAGATTCTTTCCCATGCCTAGTAGTCAGGACTTTTGTTTTAGAAATGTTAATATTCATATTTCTCTTTAATAGCTCTTCACTCCAGATGTTAAGGTTATCTTGTAAATATTTTGGGTTGCTGACACCTAATAGCAAATCATCCGCAAAGGCACACTCTGCTATACTTACAGTTCTCATTCTATAAAACCCTACATGAACTTTTCTTGTTTTACTCTTTATGATCTTGATTACATTGTCCATGACTATGATAAATAGTGTAGGGCTAAGCACGCCTCCTTGCTTCAGTCCGCCGCTTATTCTGAATTTTGCGGAGATCATGTTATCCTTTCGGACGTAACAACTGTTTTGTTCATGCACGCTTTAAATACAATCTATTAGGTGGCTATCTATGTTTCTTTTGTGCAGGCTTTCCCAAACAACGCCGCTTGGCACGCTATCGAATGCTTTTTCGAGATCTAAAAACAAAAATATAGTTTGGTGTTCTTCACCCTGCTTTTCTCAATGAGCTGTTTAATAGTAAATATGTGGTCCTGAATACTGTGACCCTTTCTAAAACCACTTTGAGCCTCGTCTAGATTGTCTTCAATATACTCTCTCGGCTTTCTGTCTAGTATTCTTTCACACACTTTACATGGAATGCTCAGTAGTGTAATACCCAGTAATTGTTGCAGTCTGTGGTGTCACCTTTCTTAAATATTGGGATTATTATTCCCACCCTCCAGTCATCAGGTACCTGCTTTTCTTCCCATGCTCATTAAGTAATGTTGAGAACATTTCCATACATTCAGCATTCATATTTTGTAGCATCTCCACTGTAATTCCATCATGCCATGCTCATTTTCCCCTTTTCAGCATGTTAACACTTTTTTTAACCTCTTCAATATCTATTTTACTATGCTCTTTTCTGCTTCCTAGTTTTCTGTATGTGCATAAGACTTCCGTTGTTGATACTGTTGGACCTGACTATATTCAGTAACTCCTGGAAGTGTTCTTTCCATCTTTCGATGATTTTTTCCCTCTGAAATTAGCTCATTATTTTTGTTTTTTATGTGCTTCGGGCTATACTGTCTAGGGTTTCTTAGTACCCGATAAAAGAATTTATGATTGCCTTTACTATCTTGCTCCATCTGATTCCCGAATTCCTCCCATGACCGCTTTTTTGCTGCAATCACCATTTCTTTTGTCTTTATTCGTGCTTTTTTATATTCCTCATAATTTTCCTCCATTCTATTCCCCAAATAGGTTTTCCATCTATCTTTCTTTATCTTTACTTGTCTCTTGATGTTTTCATCCCACCAGCTAGTTTGTCTTTTGCTTTTGTTTATAAACGTCACTCCACATGTACTTTCAGCAGCTGATATTATGATATCCTTAAATAGGCCCCACAGATGGTGTACAACCAGCTGTCTCCAGTCATCTTGTACCTGTCTAAGTTCTGCGTCGGTTGCTTCTCTATATTTGTCTGCTACTCCTTTGTTCAGCAGCCTATATGTTTTAATTTTCCTCATGTACCTTGAGTCTTGGTCTCTATTTGTTGTGTTTGACTTATCTTACCTTTTCAGTCTTACTTCAGCTACCAACATATAGTGGTCACTGCCTATTTCCGGTCCTGTTTCTACTCCCACATCTAGTATTTCTTTCCTAAATGCTCTGTTAATCAATACTCAATAGTCTGTGATAGATTTTTCATTCCTGCTTTTAACTTCTCTAGTAAATGTATGTATATCCTTATGCTCATAGAAGGTGTTAGCTACTATAAAATTATTTTCTATACAGAAGTCGATTAGCCTTGTACCGTTATTGTTTCTGTGTTCTTCCCCATGTTTTCTTATAACATCCTTTTCATTGCATGACTTTCCTACTCTGCTATTTAAATCTCCCAGCACTATTACCCTGTGTGGGCACAATGATATCATAGAAATAATGTTGTGCAGTCAGAAGAAGAGAACAGTTGATTAGGTTCAGGAACAAAGAATTTCTTGTTTAGGTTTTTCATATTTTTATATCATGAGAACAGGTTACAGCATATTTTCGAAATGACTGTCTCCATTTCTAAGATATGCGCTATATCTGGTTCGTATTTAAGCGGCTGTAGTCCGAAGCCGCAACTCTTCTTTCATCAGTTGATATGCGGCTTCTCTTCTATCCTTGGATTAACACCTCTCTGTTAGGCACCTCTGTTGCATACACTAATTCCTTGGCTCGCCCCCAGACGTAAAAGTCCAAAGGTGACAGATCTGATGACTGTGGAGGCCAAGGAGGAGGAGGACCACACCTACCAATCCACGCGGTTGGAAATGAATTGTCCAAAAACTGTCGGTTGGGTTGTACATAATGTGTAGGGCAGCGGGTACAATTGCTAACAGCAAATCAGTCTGCAGGAGTTCCAGATAATTCTCTCCAATTAACCGGTTCGGCAAAAAATACGGTCCTATCAATGTTTGTTTATAACGCCCGCCCACAGGTTGTTGCTAAATTGTTTTGAAGTCTGCCTTTTCTTGTGTGGGTTCTGGCCGCGGTCTGCTCAATAATGGAGGCAGTGTAGATTTACGATTCCGTCGTGGCTGAAGTTGGACTCATTCGTACACAAGATTCTCTTCAAAAAATCTCCGTCCTCCACATCGGTATGAAGAATGAATCGGCAGATCTCCGGCCTTCTCGCGATATCATTATCTTCCAGACCTATAACAAATGCCAACGTTTAGTATAAAAACTGCACAAATATCAAACTTACCTGAATAAAATACACCAAATAACAAAATTAATTTACCTTTAACAGGACAATAATGAAATGGATGCTTCCTGTGTCCCTGTAAAACAGACCAGACTTTATACGCAGACACAGCAAGTCTTTCGGCAACAACCCGAATACTTATGGGAGGGTCCGCATTAAATGCTCTTAGGATTTGATCATCTACAGTTACGCTGTATTGTCGACCACTCACTCTAGGCTCTTGAAAGTTTAAGTTTCCAGTCTCTCTCAGCCGCCGATACGTTGTTGCGAAGGTCTCGTGATATGGTAACTGCCGTTCAGGATATCGCTTCTGGTAATGTATTTGGGCTTTACGTGAATTGTAGGTAGCACTGCCATAATCCAGCAACATATCATATCCATCGTTAGTGAAGTTCGGCATTATGACCGGAATGAGTCAGACACAACCACAACAGTTCAAACTTACAATAAAACGTGAAAACACTAACAACAAAAACCGAAGTAACAAACAACATCAAACGAAAATACACTTCTGATAATAATAATGCACTCTTTTATCTATGATGTGGTAGTAATTTGAAAGCAATTAAGAGGTAGATCGGCTATGCCCCTCATCAAAGTTCATTTGAAGATAATGACTTCCAGTACATGGATTAGGTACCTATCAGGTTTATGACAATTGGCATTCATGGTAGGGGCCTATGAAAACTTGCAACAATTATTTTTAAATCACTCCTCAGTAAAATTGTTTACTTTGTGCATGAAAATAGTACAATAATTGTTGTAAACCTTTGACATTAATACTTAATGCGTTTAGATGTAGTTAATCGAGGTATCGGATGTCATTAGATTCGAATCACTTTGCATAAGAGATATTCCTAACCTGATCTTTTTACTGCTTTGCACTCGCTGACATTATTGAGCTCATCAAATGGAAGTAGGCATTTCGACTGGTAACTGATTCAAATTGAATACAAACTGGAAAAATCGTACAAAAAGATCAATAACCTGACCGTTTTCTCTTTTTTTGACCACACAATACATTATTTCTATGATGTGTAGCATATTGTTGGAAAGGTAATAAATCACATAAGTTTGAAATTATTTATACCCTTCACGTGATTGCACGACTTTGAGAAGATTTGCACGAACTGTTTATCTGATCTGATTGAGTATACATTACGGAACAGACACACGCTAATTTTGTGTCAAAATTGACAATTTTATTCTTTGAATTGAATTCAAGCTTTTATAAAATGGTAAAATATTGATAAACCCATTTGATACTTTTCCAGCTGGCCTTTCAATCGACAGTTTCGAACTCCTCTGCAAAGATGGCTCTCGACGCCCCATCAGCGACTATTTAGCATGTAACTGGGGCAAAGTTCCCTCTGATGCTGTGGTGGTGTCATCTGCTACTTCTTTTGAGATCCGTACAAAACTCCAAAAATTCTTAGAGAAGTTCTCCAAGAAATATCCAAAAGCCCACAGCAATATCACTTACACGAGTACCACTCCCAGCAATTTTCCATATGGCGGCAACCAGTATAACCAGCAACAGTATGACCAATTTGGAAATAGGATAAATCGGTATGTAGTCTGTACATATTTGTTTATTTATTGGGCCTTATACTCGTATGTACGTTGGTTAAACCTATATTGAAGGATTTTAAATACATTTTGGTGTATACTTGTTCTGTTTGGTCACCTTACTAAAATATGCATATAAATGCACTAGAGCGCGTTGCAGAAGAAGTTTTTAAGGCACATAGTCTATAAACTGAAAATACCTGCAAAACAGATTGATTATGATGACTTGACTTCTCTGGAAAATCGCAGGATTTATTCTGATAATTGCACTTTGTATAAGTTGTGTCATGGACTGATATGTTCCCCAGACCTTTTATCTAAAATGAACTTCCATGTACCAGCCAAGCAAATGAGGCAAAACCAGTTGTTCTGTGTGTTAATCATTTTAAGGATTTTAAAACTGGAAGACAGTTTTAAGTGAATGTATGAAGATTATATATATATATATATATATATATATATATATATATAACAAAAATAGTAAAATAATGGGCAAAATCCGCAAAAAGTGGATTTGAGCAGAATAGGATAGGTAACCCGAGCGATACGTATTTCTGCTGGTTGGCTTCATCAGGTCCGTGTGTCTTTTTTTTTCCTCTCCATCTTTGTTTCCTCAGGTTACACCCGTATCCGGATGTATGGGCATGTGTCTCTACTTTTGTAGTTGCATATGTGCATTCATTTCGGGCCTGATGAAGCCAACCAGCAGAAATACGTATCGCTCGGGTTACCTATCCTATTCTGCTCAAATCCACTTTTTGCGAATTTTGCCCATTATTTTCCTATTTTTGTTATATACCTTTCTCCGCATGATAATTTACTCTTTATATATATATATATATAACAAAAAAATAGGAAAATAATTGCAAAATCCGCAAAAAGGAGGACAGTGGATTCGAACAGAAAATAGGATAGGTAACCCGAGCGATACGTATTTCTGCTGGTTGACTTTATCAGGCCCGAAATGAATGCACATATGCAACTACAAAAGTAGATACACATGCTCATACATCCGCATACGGGTGTAACCTGAGGAAATAAAGATGGATGGGAAAAAATCACACACGAAGTCCACAACAAGAGCCAACCTACACATTGTAGTATAAAATAGCTAGAAGACCTCGAATTTTCAAGGCGACATCTAACCACAACCACGCGGCCGGTTATAGCCACTTGCTGTGGTGCTTCAAGCCCAAAGGATCTACAAAGAGAAAATAATCATGCGGAGAAATGTATATAACAAAAAAATAGGAAAATAATTGGCAAAATCCGCAAAAAGGAGGAAAGTGGATTGATGATTGATGATGATTTTTTCCCATCCATCTTTATTTACCTCAGGTTACACCCGTATCCGGATGTATGAGCATGTGTATCTACTTTTGTAGTTGCATATGTGCATTCATTTCGGGCCTGATGAAGCCAACCTGCAGAAATACGTATCGCTCGGGTTACCTATCCTATTTTCTGCTCGAATCCACTTTCCTCCTTTTTGCGGATTTTGCTAATTATTTTCCTATTTTTTTGTTATATACATTTCTCCGCATGATTATTTTCTCTTTATATATATATATATTTGTGAAATGGCTGATCCATAAATATATTATTATTATTAATATCAAAAGCATACAATGGTCAAGTTTATCATATTGAGCATTCTCTTACTACTCACTGAATGCTCAGCTCTGCTGAATGGAGGCAATATCAGCTTAATCTGGAAAAATTATTTTACTAATATTAAATTCGTAATTGTAATTATTTAGTTGTTTGAATGAAATGTCGTCAGTTTTCTACATTTAGTTTACGGAAATACACCACCTTATGAGAAAATTTCAAACCTTGTCAGAAAATAATTTAGTCATCTTGTTGTATGCTGAAACAGTACTTCGGTTATTCTTTCAATCTGGGATATGATAAAACCTATGTTACCAAAATATCACGATAATGGTTTTACGACATACAAGTGCTTTGAAGTGAATACTTGGTATCCTACTGCAACACTGTGGGAATGCAGTAGTCAGATATTCTGTATTCCTTACTCGTCGGCATCCATAGATGTTGACCTGACATTTGGAGGTATAAAAATAAATGTATTTCATTAAAATGCTTGCTTAGCATTTCTTTACTAACTGGAAGAAACGCTTTTTCATCCCATTCAGTGAAAATGACGTAATTTGGTATGAAAATTTTGTTGTTTAAAAACAACTCACCCCAATAGCACAAATTTTAATTACTTCAGTTTCAAAATATTCTAATGTCTGAAATGAATGTAAGAAATATCCAATGCACCTAATAAAAAAATATTTACTTAAAGAAGTGTCTAAACTTGTTTTATTACAGTTTCAAAAGACAAGACTATGGAACTAACTATGGTAGAGATGAATCTACCCCTGATCCATTCGCAAGAGATCCCTACGTTTTGAACCCAAACCAGTATGGCGTGAATATCGATCCATATGACAGGGATGTCAAATACAACACCGGCGATGCTAACAGAGATCCGTATGACCCATACAACAGAGACCCTTACTATGATGGCAGGGATAGTAACGAGTACGGTGGTAACAATAGAACAAATGGAACATTCTACGAAAATTTTAGTTTATTCGAATCGGTGCCTCGATACGGGGATAGGTCGAACTTATTGTTCCAGGTAAGATTGATCATTTCATCTAGGCTAAAGTTATTTGATGCTATTTAAAAAACAGAGTCTTCCTTGAACACACTGTAGTCTTGTATGTCATTTATACTATCACATTTATACAGGGTGGCCAATATATAACTGACAGATTTAAAATGTGATCCATTTTTGATATACGCATTTCAGTAGGTGGCGCCGTAGTAGTTGTTTAAAGCACATGTGTCCAATTCATCATACGATCCCTCAACGCGTCCGTGTTGATAAAACGTTTTACTTTAATAATGAATCGATTGGTGCAACGATTCGGAAGCTACGACAAGATTTCGGTCGAAATAATGTGCCCAGTGTCAACACCATTCGTCAGTTGATGCGAAAATTTGAACAAACAGGTGAAGAAGAGGTCGGACCGTGTTCGATCTGTTCGTACTCCGGAAACTATCGAGATAGTTCGTGAAAGTGTAGTGGAGCTCCCTGAGTCGTCTACCAGACATCGTTCTCAAAAACTGGGTATTCGTCGCACGTCATTATGCACTATTTTAAAAAAGACTTCCATTTGCGGCCATACAAAATTCAGTTAACCCAAGAACTTCAGCCTAGTGGCCATTAAAGTCGCCGACAATACAGTCATGCAATATTGCAGCTTAATACCCAAAATAACGGTTTTTACCGACAACTGATAATGAGGGATGAAGCCCACTTCCATATGAACGGATTTGTTAATAAGCAGAATTATCGTATCTTGTCATTAGAGAACCCTCTTGGAAGACACTGCAAGTAATTCTCTTACTGTCACTGGCGAGCGCTACCGTGATATGGTGCAAAACTCTCTGGCTCCTCAAATCTAACAACTTAACCTGCAAAACATGTGGTTCCAGCAGAATGGAGCAACTTGTCACACAGCTAGGGAAACAATGAATCTTTTACAAATAATATTTCCGGGACGTTTAATTTCTCGATTTGGTGATATCAACTGGCCACCAAGGTCACCGCATTTAACGGTTCCTGACTTTTTTATGGGGATTTTTGCCTGAGTTTTTATTTTGGCATTTTGCTTTTCTCGTTATTTTCAATCGCATTTTCCTCAGTATCGGATTAGATAAGAGTTTATGTTCTATGGTTCCACATCCCTTATATTATTGTTAATTCTAGGATGCAGCTAGACACATAGCTCCACTGCCCGAGAATTTGCAAACGTTTTCTTCGTTTTTGGGGCCAGCTTTAGATACAATTATGGGCGTCAGGGACTGTCCAGTAAACAGAATGATTTTGTGTGTAACATCTGATGCTGAAAAGAATAAATGCGTCAAAATGAGGGTGAGTTATAATAAAAAATAAATTTTTATTTATTTTATTTCATGGTAGAAACCTTCTGTCAGTCTTACATAATGATTCCATTAACATAAATTGTACTAATAAATTAGAAAATAATTGAAAGGATTTCAGACTTATTGTATTACTATACTAGTGAATTATTAAATATTGGAAAGAACTTCAGACTTTTACTTCCCACGCAACGCTGGCGAGGAAGTTTGTAATCGAGAAAAACCATGTCACTTATTTCCGTCGGTCTGCCTATTGGTCTCTCTATCTGTCCACTAATCATTGAACAGGTTATAAATTGGAAAGTACCACTCGGATTTTGAAGAAATTAATTTTCACACAGTGTTGTAAACGTAATTTTTTGATGGAATTATATTAATATTCTTCCAACCCCGGTAATTCTGCGCACCTATTAGGCATATTTCACACACCACGCACCCCGGACATTTGCCCTTAAAACTTCATAAATATTTTCAGCCTATCGATCGCATAATTATTATGTCGTACACCACGGGGTTATTTTTAAATATTGCATTTTTGGAACTCGATCCCAGCAGGCAAGCAGCGTGGCGAGATACGAGGTCGGAGCGATATCATCTATACGATAACTATCTAAAACTGTAATGACTCATCGATGTTCACATGAACATCACTCAGCCACCGGTAGTCGGGTTGTCAGTGGCGGGGTATGAATTTTCATGTCGGTGAATTTGATTTCTTTTATAAATATGTTTAATAAAAAAAGAAATGGTTTGAAAGACGTTATAGTTCAGAAATTTGGAGATTACCTTTGTCTGTTTTTTTTCTTCTGATTATCCATGAGCTAATTGAGTCTGCCTCTCTTCATTCGTCGTCGGTTCCACTTCCGTCTGAAAGTAATAAGCTGTCGCTATCACTTTCTTCGCCAAGATTGACTATAACTGGCTCCATGATGTTGTGTTCAAGCTGCCACATTTTTGTATCTTCCTTCACACCATTACGGACAGCATTCTGCCACGCTTCAGAATGTGTGGAATTCTCTAGCCAAGCCTTGACGTCTGGTAATTAAAAAGTTGTGTTATACACTTGAGCCCAGATGAGCTCTATTGGGGTCAGTTCACAATGGCAGGGCGGTAAACGCATCATAGTGACACCACCATGACGAGCCATCTCATCAATCACATAACTAATGTTGGCAGGTTTGTGATGTTTAATTATTTCGTACAGTTCTGCTTTCACACATGAGTCGTCAAACGGAATGCCCTTTTCATACAACCATTGCTGCATCTCACTTTTTCGCCATCCCATATTTGGTACACGTTCGGCTCGACGACTGTGGTTGGGAGCATTATCCATGACGATCATAGTTCGGTACAACTTGCTAAAGCACCCCTTGAATCCAGCCCTCGAAGAGCTGGAATTCATTTCGTCATGGCAATCACCTCCTTTCTTAGAGACGAAAGTCAAGTTGCATCCTTCTAAAAAGCCACTATCGCTGCCAATATGTGTAATGATCAATCTTTGAACTTTCCCTTACGGTGCACGAAGGCCTGTTGACAAACCTTCAATGCTTGCTTGTCAGTTACTTAGTACATTTTTGTCTAAATAATATATTTTTCTGCTCTGTCGTCTATATTCAGTTATTGCGCGTAGGTATTTTCGACGTCACGCGACCATTTCAGGTTTCTCTATCAATCCTGACTTCCTATTACGAAATTGAGTTCATGCAGGGTTTTCCTTAATACTTCGACGCTCTCTGGGAGTATAATGTCATTACTCTTGATCTTTGCATGTATAGCCATAAAGGTTGGTATCTCATTCCTAAAAAAGAATGAATGTATGGTTCGTCTCAACGCCATTTTGCTGTCGCCATTTAGTTAAATAGCCTTTCGTCCCTTCAAATGGAACTTTGGATCAGCAGTAGCTCCAGTTTTCTTCTGTTCATGCACCACCCTGCGAATAGTCCACTCTGGGACGCCTAACATGCTTTCACAATGCGTAAGTGCATCCGGCTGCGACATAGAGTCTTGTTCAAATAATTAAACAAGTTGTGCACTATTTTTTTCGCGTCTTTCTTCAGTGCCTTACGAGGCTTTCTACTTGCTCCCTGACTTCCAATACTTCAACTCCCAGTCCCACCCTCCATGGTTTAGAAAATATACGTATAACCCGAACAATAACAACAGAAATAACCAAACAACAAGTCTTCTAGCGGTAACTATACCCTATTTCACGAGTATCCATCACGCTTTGACGTGTACTGAGATGAACAGCTGATCAGCAAGTGACATTTTTGTATAAGTCTGCAACGTTTTCAATAGTGGATCAGGTATAAATCCAGTAAAACTTGATTATGATGTTTTGTTTTTTGCGTGCAAATGAACATTTCTAAATAAAAGAGCTGTTAGAAAGTACAAAATAAATCTGTAGCATACAGAAAACAAAAACAAAATTCGGCTCTGTCTACTTGGCGATATGAGGAATTTTGAGATATTACTAGATAATTAGCTGTCATTCAACCGTGACGGATACTAGTGAAATAGGATGTAGACTCTCAACGAAACCAGTTCCAAGCACTACTAGTCCACGTGAATGTATCGGCCTTGTAACGTGGAAGGGTTGAGGCGTCATCTTATCTCAGGACCGGAATCAGTTTACATTCTTCCTTTCAGTTTAGTAATGCTAATGTTCATGCGCGTTCCTTACTCTTTGCATGTTTGTTGATTTTGACTAGTTTTAATGTTTTATTACAAGTAGACGAGCTCATCAGTGGAAAAACTAAAATACGTTATGATTTTTAAGGCGACAAATCATCTTGAATTGCAAAAAAATGTGGAATATAAAATATTAATGCAAATGAGATATTTCCCAATAATGCAAACTTCTTACTTACTAGAAGAATAAGCCCACGGCTTCGCCGGCATGATAGTCAATAGCGGTACAGGCAAACAGGATGCCGCGCGGCATCAGCTATTCGCTCATTGTTCAACAGCTGAGACGTAGTGCAAAATCCACATTGAGTTAGCAAATAAAGCCGACTTCAATTTTCCCGGGATAATATTGGCGAATTTTCATGGGATTTAGTGTCTCATGGCGATCCGACAGACTTACTTGAAGCAAAAAAAATGAAAATCACCCGAGCGGGGTGGAATGAAAGGCCAAAGCTGAACCGCTTGAGCAAACCAAGCAATTTGACATCCATTCCGAAACAGGCAAGGACCTAATAAGGCAACCAGAAGACGAATGGAAAGCGTTATTTTGGCTTGTTTATAAGAGATCGCTATATGCTTCCGCGGATTTTTTTAGTTCATTTGAAGACCCTTATTTTCGTAGTAGTAGCATTTATGTATGATCCACCATTTAGGCAGCGTACGCAGTTAAAATAGCTTTTTCCTTAAAACAAGTCCAAAAATTCATAAGTCGTTTTACTCAAAATTATTATAACAAATGAATGAGAACTTTTGAGTAATATACAAAAATTGAAGTTGTAATACAGAAATGAATCAAAGCGGTAGGCCCATAGTTTCCCAATTTTTGTTTATTAACATATAATATCTAAAAGTTTGTCAAGATCATTGTGGGACATAATGTTACCCGAATAAAATGTGTATTATGTAGAATGTGTAAATCGGACAGTGTTCTAGCCTGACGTCTCTCGACAGCCGTTCCGTCGTACAGCGGCAGTGATGCCACCGGCCAGTAAAGGAATTTTGGTACGATGTTGCCAGAATTATCAATTTTTCTTCAAAATTATGTTACAAATAGTGTTCCTTTAAGACAAAAAATACACATAATTAATATAGGTTCTTTAATGTAAAAATCTCATAAAAAAAATGAAACATTTGGGAAAATCAAACTCTCGAAAAATACTACAAGATATACCTAACTCGAAAACATAAAAATCATTATTCAGGTTCAAAATGAATATCAACAGTTTCATTTTCATCTTGAGCGACATGTTTATAGGACGTTATTCTATTAATCATATTTTGAGTAACATTAAATTTATAACATTCACGATTTACACTTTGAGATGCCAATAAAAGTGAATTTACTGTATCACTGTACAAGCGATTTCGGACATCTGTTTTGATTAAATTTACTTTTGAAAACATTCTTTCGCATGCGGCATTTGAATGAGGAATTACTAATAAATCTAATACAAAATTTCCCAATTCTTTAAATACGTAAACATCAGACGTGATGATGTCGTGAATTTGGGAGATTTTGTACCAGTATTTATCGATTGATGTTTCATCCTTTATTTCATCACTGAAATTTGGTTCTGACTGGCAATACATCCGCCACTGATCATCAATTTTTTGTATTTGTTCAATATCTTGAGGATCTAAAATTCTGGGTAGTAACTTAATTAATGGAAAAAGCGATGCTGGTTTTGGTTTAGAATACCCTTTTTCAAATACTGGTATTTTTGACAAAATATTTTCATTAAAATCAAACCGTTTTTTCATTTCATTTGCAGAAGTTATTAAAAATTGACGGCACCGCATGTAGAAATCTTCTTTTCCCTTTTGACTTAATTTATCAATGTTCTGAAGTACGCGAACACCAAGGTATATCTGTTTCAAGTCAATGAACTGACTAGCATTGTTGGGATCGATTTTACCTATTTCGGTTTTATGAATATAATTTGGTTGTAAATAGCTTAAACAAATTTCTTTATAAGTTTCACAAACTACATCATAAACGTGTGCAATTATGACATGCTCACTTTGAAAGTATTCATTTATTTTTACAAATTTTGGTAAAATCCAATGAAGAAAAAAGAAAAAAAGTTTTGTTTCCATATCATTAAGTCTATTGGCAACAACTTCTGAAGCTTGCAGTCTATGTTCGGTCCATTCTTTAACAAAATATAATTGTAGGGGATTCCATTGCTCAATTATCCTTTCCACTACCATAAGTAATGGAAGCCACCTAGTTTGTGAAGGACGTAAAATTTTGTGAGGCTCCACATTACAAAATGTCTGAAATTCTGTAAAATGTGCTTGCCGTTTGGAGCTATTTTTAAAGTAACCAAAAATATTCCTGGCTAAATCTTCACAATGACGGGGCAAAACTGTACAAGCCTCACTGGCACAAAGATGTAAAGAGTGGCAGATGCATTTTTGAACTATAATGCCAGGAAGATTTAGTTTTAACCTACTTACTACTGAGTTATTGGCACCAAACATAGTGTTACAACCATCAGAACCAAATCCTATAATATTTTGGAAAGGTATAATGTTAGACTCAAATAAATCCATAATTTTTTTATAAAGAACTTCTGCAGTCGCCCCTGTATTTGCTTCATCTGGATTTTGATTTGAAAAACATTGAACCAAATTTAAAAATTTTTTAGTTACCTCATTTGTTTTTTCACTAAAGTACCTAACACATACACATATATTTTTTACTACACCTATGTCTGTAGATTCATCTACTAAAATGCTAAACTTTTTTGCTTTTAGTTCATCGATTAGTTCTTCAAAATGAGATTTGGCTAAAACATGTTTTATAACACCTGTTGCTTTGGTTCTTCCCATCTGCATTCCTTGGGCAATTTTCGAGTCAGGAAATATGTCTTTTAATAAAGGAATCAGATGATCACACAGCTTGATGAGTAGATTATGCTCTGATATTAATGCAGCAATTTTTATTTCTGCCCTACTCACTTGACCACTAGCTTCGTTTTTATTAGAAAACATAGTAGAAATTTTTGGTTGATTTTTCACAATCACCTTTACATTTTTTAAATGTTTAGCTCCCTTACTGTGATTTTTCAATACAGTTAAATCTGCTTGAATTTCACTATCACAAGCAATACATTTTGCTCGAGTGGGTTTTTCTAAAAACAAAAATGCATATCATTAAAAGTATAAAATGGTTTTATGTTATTTTTTCTACCTTTAACAGCTTTCAACCATCCTTTGAAATGAGGATTGCTTTCCCATTCACATCTATATTTTTGTGGTCTATTTTCTCGTCTGTTTACGTTTTTAAACTTTAATCTTTTTGCCTCCCTTTCTGAATCCGAAGAATCGGAGTAATCATGATGATCCCCTTTGCTGGTACTGGCCATTTTATTTCACTATTTGATCACATCAACACACATTAATAAGGACTCATTCGATCAACTACTCTTGCTCGTATTGAAAAAGAAACAATGAGGATTAGGGTATTCCCCTGCGTAGGCTCAAATTCACCGTGACTCGAGTTCCGTAATATTTACATAGATGGCGGTAGGCTTGATTTTTATTCTAATTCCATAATAACCATGCTATTAACTGAAAGAGGTCAGCACTAATAATTATTATCCTTTTTGTTACGTTGCATTGGTTGCATACAATTAGAACCAATAATTTTGAAAACATAGTTATAGGCTGGGAGATGGAAAAATGTTACAATTATCGATTATGTTACATCTTTTTATTTACTGTATACATATTTCAGTAGAAAATATGGTACAATTTGATAATTATGTTACAAGTGGCAACACTGTACAGCGGCGATAATCATCTGATCACGCGTATGAGCCATTACAGTTTTAGTTAGTTATGGTATATACAGGGTTGTCCAAAATAAGGATCCTATGCATGGGGATTTCAATACCTGTGGGAGCTACAGCTTAGGTTAAATTATGAAGAAGCTGCGTTCTTTGGGACTCTCTCCAACATCGTTCTCTCAACTTGGGCGACTTCCACGCGAAGTGCCTCCTTCAAATTGTCCAGAGTTCGGGGCTTGTGGTAACGATTGTGGTCGTATACACGAGCCTTGAGGTGTCCCAATAGGAAATAATCGCAGATGGATTACTCTGGGGACCGAGGAGGAAATGAACATTACCAAACATGGAAATAATGCGACCAGGGAAGAGAGGGCGAATAACGTTCATCGTTGCTCTGGCTGTGTGGACCGTCGCCCCATACTGTTGGAACCCCACACGTCAGAATGGAACACTTCCTCATCGTAATTCAGATGAAGAGAAGTTGGCGATCATTTCGACATAGCGCTCTGAGTTCACAGTAACAGCATTGCCGTTACCGTCTTCGAAGAAGTAAGTTTGCGATTCAGCACACCAAACCCTCAGTGGTCTTTCATGTAACTGTCGCGGATTTGCATTAGCCCAGTGACGGCAATTTTGCTGGATAACCATGCCATTAAGATGAAAGAGAGTTTCATCTCTCATGAACAAAATGAGGTTCTCATTTTGCTCGATAAGTGCTTCCATCTCACGTACGAAGTTCATTCGTTGTGCGTAATCTGCAGCCTGTAGCTTTTGCGCAATGGCCAATTTGTAGGGATGAAGGTGGAGTTCCATATGCAAAATACGCCTTACGGAACGATCACTGAGACGAAGTTCAGCAGCATGTTACTGAGCAGATCGATCTGGACTGCCGATGTGATTGAACCCAACGAATGATGGTGTTCCGAGAAGGAACAGCTGGATTCCGATGAATATTGAAGTGGCGACGAAACGCGCTGTACAGCCGTGATAGGCTCACTATGTCGGACAAAACTGTCGTACGCGAAAATGTATGTGATTGAATTAATAATTCCTTCTTTCATGTCACAATGATTTCTCCTACCGAGTTCAGGAAGTAATAGAAGTGATGACATTCCGATCACATTGATCAATTCATAAGAATACAATGAATGACAGCCGTTCAGTTTTTAATCTTTTCAATCATAACATGTGACGATATACATTCTTTTAGACTGCATTGAAATCTCAACTACTCAAACCAGAAATGGAGTGCTACAAAGGTCACTCCCAAATACATTGCATGCAAGCAATCAGATCGGGGACTGCCGACGTTGCCGTTTTCGATGCAGGCGACATCTACACAGCAGGCTTAAACTTTGAACTGGTACCTTTTATCAGCGAAGTTTACAATTTGGACGAGCCAGAGTACTATGTGGTTGCCGTGGCCAAGGAATCCGATCCTAGTACAGAGTTAACATATCTCAAAAGTAAGTAATGGTTTTCAGTTTTTCCCCATTAATTTCTCGACAAACTCACGCTGTTTATTCTTTTCATGTTTTTCTTCCTATACCAAAACTGGCGGGCAAGTATTGTAAACGCGAAAAATTTTGAAATTGAGATATGTTTTTTGGATGTTATCATATATGGCATGTAGATCACGAAAAACCATGTCACTCATTTCTGTCGGTCTGTCCGCTAATTTTATAACTTGAGAAGTACCGCTCGGATTTTGATAAAATTTTTACACAAGGTTACTAGTATAAGAGGCTGAACAAGCTTTGTAGTTTTTGTAAATCGGTCTAGGGGTGGCAGAACTAGAAACACGAAAAAAATCACATAAACTACCTTTTTGACGTTTTATAACGAGAACATTAAATAATAGAAGTAGGATGATCATAAGTCGAAATAACTTGGCAATCCTTGGCGTTGCGTGCCCGGTGCGATGCTGCATCGTCGTGGAGACCACTGCCGACTGTGCAATAAGTAACAAACTACAACTGGTCTGTGGTGGTCACTGACACACCGCTACAAGAGAAATATTTAGAATCTTAGCAATATTTGGATATTATCGTAGTACGCAGCGTTCTGCAATGCTTTTGTAAACGATGACTTAACTGGTTTCATATCTACACATATTTTTTCTGAATTTTATGATCCTTAAATGTACCACCCATTTCGTCTAACCTTCAATTTGTGTTAATCCGTCTTTGATAGTTATCTAAATGTTGCAAGAAGATTTACTGAGTACGCATGACGCATTGATATACAACAGACACGGACTGACAAACAGTCATAAATGAGAAACACGGACTTGTGTGATGAAGATACCTGTCAGCAAAAGAAAACTTGTGAACCGAAGTTCCAATATTATCGCGTGTTCAATACTACCATCGTTTAGATAGTCGTAGATTTTGAAAATTGATTCAGATGCGTCTGTTGGTGTTTTTGGTTATTCTCCCATTTGGATACATCATTTTCCAATGCACTTCGAATCGTAACTATGCTTTTATCTCGTCTATGTTACAAATGAAATGGCAGAAAATACCAAATAATGTCATTATTTCCAGACAAAAATACATGTCACGGTGGAATCAACACAGCAGCTGGTTGGGTGTATCCATTAGCATTCCTTATAAGTAATGGCTGGATTCGACCATATGGTTGTAATAGTATCAGAGCAGCTGCAGAGTACTTTGCTAAAAGTTGTGTTCCTGGAGCTATCAGTACAGAGTATAACACAGGGGTGCCATATGACAACATGTGTGATTTGTGTCATGGGGCAAGTTTCAGGTTAGTAAATTTTGTAATTTTGGTTTTAAGAGATAAAGAAATAACGACTACAGACATTAACAGAGAATAACTGATTATTTAGAGGAATGTCCCATCATAACAATTGAGATACACTGACGGTTTATGCAACTTGCAATAGTTACATGTAACACGCTTTTATTTGAAAACTTGAGACAAAGGAGCTTCACTATAGTTTAAAGGTTAAGAAGTTTGAAACGGCATATTTCCCATCGGAAAAAAATATTTCTAAATTTCTAGTTTGTTTTAACAGTTTAATCAAAGCTTGTATATAAAAACGTATTTTTTATTTTGTTTAATAACTTTGTTAATAACTAAGTCCCTTATTTCAAGGTACAAGTTTAGGGAGACGGATAGGAATCCAAAAGAATCGATAGTATGCCAGGGGTATCTGGTACTACAAGTCATGGTTTTATTTTCCAAGGTTGTGAGTACATTTTAAATTGTGGTAATTTCCAGATACTGCCGACGCGACGCCTCCGAAGACTACTATGGTCACACTGGAGCGTTCAGGTGCTTAGTGGAAGGAGGAGGACATGTAGCATTCGTAAAGCACACCACAGTTACAGAGAACACTGGAGGAAAGAAACGAGAGTGGTGGGCCAGAGACAACTTGAACGACGACTACGAGTTGCTTTGTCCAGACGGAACCAGAGCGGAAATCCACGAGTACAAGCGGTGCAATTTGGGCAAGGTGAAGGCTAATGCCATTATAGCTAGAGGAGGATATGGGTACAATGAGACCCACATCAACGCTTATATCAATCTGTTCATGTACGCACAGACACTGTTTGGGAAGAAGAGTACGGACGAATTTAGGTAACAATCGATTGGATTTTTCTAAAAATAACAGTTTTTTATGTAGGAATATTTCTTTCACTTTCAAAGAGATAGGCAATGATAAAATTTGAAATACTTAGGTAACAAAACAATGCATTTGCCAATCTTTCTCATGACCCTATGCTCTAATTTGAGCTATGCAAGAGAGCTTAGATCCCGACATTTTGCACAATTCTACAAAAATAAAGTTTTTTCAATGAAATTCGAATTAATAATGGAGTGAGTATTTCCCAGTACTCTGTCCTAACTCCTTGGGACAACCATTGGGAGACTGTAGTTTTTTCAAGGCTGTATGAAATATTTTAATCAATGGCTAGTGAGATTTTTAGAGAATAGAAAATGGATGTTACTGTTGCGGATAAAAAGTCGGAGGGATTTAATTTAGATTGGGGCAGACCTCAGTACAGCGTCCTTGGACCACTTATTTTCTCGATTTTCATAAATGACTTGTTTACACACTTATCCTACGGAAAATTACTTTTGTATGACACAAAATTTATTTTAGATGACTCATCGTAAGAGCGTCTTCAAAGAAAGTTAATGAATCTGTCAATGAATTCAATCAATGGTGCTTTAAAGACAGACTAATAATAAATACAACAGCAGTTGAATATTTTATAAAACCAATAATTCCCTTAAATTTTGTATTTCACTCTTCAATTCATTAATAATACTGTTTTTAGGAGTAAGCTTTGATTGCAATTTAAAATGGAAAGAGCAATTTAATCCAATATGTAAGAAGCTTGGAAAGCTCTGGTGCGTGTGTACACTGTCATTTCATATGTCATTACTACATGGGGCCAGGCTATTGAAATCTCTAGAGCGAATGTTTTACAAAAAATAATCATTCGCATTATCTAGATCCTCTTGCCGTGAGATATTTGTTAAACACCAAACACTCACAGTGACATGTATATATCTGTACAATCTTTTTAAATACATTTTTCAGCACTAAATAGTTATCTTAGGCATAGCGACCTCCATGACTCCATCGCTCGTAATGAAAATAATATAGTTAAGCACATGTGTCTTATCATGCAATTCATTCAAAATCTTCCATAACAGCAGGGATATACCACCAGAGACTAAAAACATAAACTCCATACAGCATTCAAAATACGTTTGCGGAACAGGCTATCGGATTTTATGACTTGGTTGAATTTGTCACATACCACAATGCTTCTGGTAGATCTTAATAAGCAAATTCCCATGTATGTATGTATGTATGACATTTTTTATGTTACCATTGTTGTTTGTATTCTACTTCATTTCATCTATAGTTTAATCTGTATATACCGACAGATCCAATGTCTAAGAAAGAGCAATTTAATCCAATATGTAAGAAGCTTGGAAAGCTCTGGTGCGTGTGTACACTGTCATTTCATGGGGCCAGGCTATTGAAATCTCTAGAGCGAATGTTTTACAAAAAATAATCATTCGCATTATCTAGATCCTCTTGCCGTGAGATATTTGTTAAACACCAAACACTCACAGTGACATGTATATATCTGTACAATCTTTTTAAATACATTTTTCAGCACTAAATAGTTATCTTAGACAGAGCGACCTCCATGACTCCATCACTCGTAATGAAAATAATATAGTTAAGCACATGTGTCTTATCATGCAATTCATTTAAAATCTTCCATAACAGCAGGGATATACCACCAGAGACTAAAAACATAAACTCCATAGAGCATTCAAAATACGTTTGCGGAACAGGCTATCGGATTTTATGACTTGGTTGAATTTGTCACATACCACAATGCTTCTGGTAGATCTTATTAAGCAAATTGCCATGTATGTATGTATGTATGATATTTTTTATGTTACCATTGTTGTTTGTATTCTACTTCATTTCATCTATATTTTAATCTGTATATACCGACAGATCCAATGTCTACACAATGTAGATTTAACTGGTCCAATAAGTACCGGTTCCAGCCCTATGAAAAATCAGCTCCTTTGCTGGCACACTCTTCAGCTGCACACGTGTTCCAACACGTGTCCAACTGTTCCGATTTAAATATTAATAAATGAAGAGGACGTTGCACCATCTTAATTTTATTTTAGAATGTTTAGCCAACATAAAGCAGTCCAGCGGTACAGCGCTTTCACAGTAACGTGGAATAGCTTTGACAGTTCGTAAGATTTATTCAACAAGTGATCAAATCAACATCCAAGTGAACACTGCTGTTAAACTGACATGGCTGTTTCGTGGATACTGCTATCCATCATAAAAGCGCTGCACCGCTGAACCACTTTAAGTTGGCTGATCACTCTTTGAAATTGGAATCTATGATGATTCTACAGATTTCTCAAGCCTTCTGCAACTAGCACACTAAAGTGAAACATTGTTACAGTTTCAGCATGTATTCATCACCCGCACCATACTCGGACCTGATATTCCAAGACGCCACTACGCAACTGAAGATGATAGAGCCTTACAAAAGACATTATGCAGAGTACTTAGGAAGTGATTTCTTACGAGCGAAACGCGTCGTTGATTGTCATGCGGGTAGCATAGGAATAAGCCTATCTGTAACGACGTTTATTATTTGCCTAGTGACGTTTTTACTTTGAGTACAAATTAGGAAAACACCGTTGAGTGCAACACTGTACTTTGCTTTACGAGTTGTATTTTTAAAGACTCAATTTGTCTAGGCAGTTAAACACATTGTTGTACCTCATTGTGAACACGTTTTTTGTTGTATAGTGTGTTAGGAACAAAGTACGAGAGATCTGAAAACTTTATATGTATTAGCAGGTATTACTTCATTATACCGCGTGTTTCAAATTCGACCCTCTCCATTGGGATCTTGGAAACAGTAAGGGATACGAAGAAAAAACGAAGTAACTGAATAAAACGATATAACTGTGCTATCACAAGATATCTTGAGACACCTCATGTCAAAATTCAACAAGTCGTTTAAGATCTATAGCCAGTGCCACTCCCACTATCAAGACAAATCCAATGACGCCTCTTATGCCAAAATCCTTCAAGCCATTTGGCATGTAGCCCGTAAAATAAATTTTTTTGGAAACATACCCACGCGTGATGAACATGTCCCTCCTTCTGAGGCAGTCCAGTAGAAGTAATTAAAATGATTGTTAAAAAATTCTGCTTTTTCCGTCTCTCTTTAAAAGCTCTAAATTGGGTAAGTTTCTAAGTGCCAATTTCTCAATTAACTAAATGGGCAATTTTGCACATATTTAATCGACTTCGTATCTTTAACCGTTTCGGAGATCCCAATGGTGCAAGTCGAATTTGAAAGATCCGGTATATTTTGTACGTACGCGCTGCAAGGCTTACATTCCTTTTTATACTTCCGTCACTCACCGGTCGACCAATAACTGGTTGTAGCCGATATAGATGATTTCTATAAAGAGATAATGTCGGAAATGGAAGGATGTATCATCATGATCAACTCATTTATTCCCATTGATATGGAAAAGCTAGGCTAAATCTGGATCAATTCAAATTATTATTAAGCATACTGCTAGAACCCCACTTCAGAAACCATCAAGTACAATTTCTTCGAACATTCAATTTGCAAATACCAAATTCAACAAAAGTACATTGATAATAGGTATTGAGTTGGAAAGTATTTCTGATAAATCTGCTCCAGAATATATGAGAAAAGCCTTAAGGACCTGATTTTGATAATACATACTATTATTGACATTTTCGACGTGTGTATGAAGCAAAGGTTGTAAAGTATCACATAGGAATGTGGTATATAAACGTTTACCTATTTTTATCATAAAATGTATAATTCTGAATTTGTGTTATGCATGTGATCTAGGATCCGTCCAAGAAACTTTTGTACATTTTTTATGTATTTTTTTGATACTCTGAAATAAATCTCATTTTTATTATTGATCTGTATTTTGCGGCCATCCAAAACACACCAGTGAATTGTCATGCAATCTTCGACTAAAATGTCGCAAATGCATTATTAATTGATCTAGAATGCGAGAAATAGTTCTTCGACATTTAAAAGATAGCAAAAAAATATACAAATTTTTCGTTGATTTTGGCAGGCTGAATTTCTGTGAAATATAGTCGTATCGAGTCTTTAAAAAAGCATTTTATAACTCGAAGATTCTAGTTTTCTGGTTTTTTAGGCGAAACATTTTGGGAGCAAGGGTTCTCATGCAATTCTAACAGAAGTACTGCAAGAAAAACTTGTGCAAAATGTTTGACTTCTTTTCTTTGTTTTCTGTTAGTTGTCAGAAATTTTACTTCGCCATCCCAAGGCCAAGCTGTTGTGCCTTATATTCTCACAGGACAAACTATTCGAAAAAATTAAGGGAGCATGAAAAAAATCCGAATTTTCGGTGACTTTTAGCAAAAATGTTTCCCTTCTTTTTAGTCCACGAGCTTGATTTTTTTTTCTGTTAGGCCATCATATGGATAGGAAAACCTGTTTATTCAGCTGCAATATTCTGCTTTTAAAATCTCGATAGCGATTAGTTGGGGCGGAGATGTCTGACTGGATGAAAAAATATCCTTTTGTCATCGACCACTGATGATATCTGGGTAACCAGTGATCACACAGAGAAGGTGAGGGTATTTTCAAAAACTGGAATAAACCTCCAATAAAATTTGATTGCAAGTTTTTTGTATATTGCTTACTTATTCATTTATAAAGTCAAAAAAGTTATTTTGGAAAATCTACCGCATTTTTGGAACTGGTAATGAGAAGGATAATATTTTTAGGTTTTTTATGCCTCAATGTAGCCCTAATGACCATGCATGATGGCAGATCGATCCATTGTACGGTTAGTCCGGACCTATTGGTCAAAATTTGAAAGAAATCAAAGGTGCAAAATTTTTGTATCAAAACAGGTAATCTGGATGAAAATTGAAAAATGAGTTTTCTTCTTTTGCTGTTACTATTGGATATCTTCAATTTAAAAAAAAAGCAAGTGAAAAAATTAAGGTTTTATTCCAGTTTTCGGCAATACCCCTACATTCTATAAATGATTACTGGTTACCGAGATATCAGGAGTCGATGATAAAAGGATCCTTTTTCATACAAAGTCAGATATCTCCACGCCAAATGGTCGTATCGAGATTTAATAATATTGAAACTGGGCCGTCGACAAAAAAAAGGCAAACATTTTGGTAAAAAATTTTCTTGCGCTATCTGTAAAAATTGCGCCTAATATTTTTCTGGTAAGAAGCCTGTAAACTAGAATCTTACAGCTTCAAAATGCCTTTTTTAACGTCTAGAGTCGACCATTTTCACCGGAATACAGCCTCTCAAGTCACCGCAAAATTTGGATTTTTTTCATGATTCCTTAATTTTGTCGTGTAGGCTATGATATTTGTCCTGTGAGAATATAAGACACAATCGGTATTTATTGAAGATTTCGTCAATGTCATGTCATGTCATCAATAATTACTGAGATCAAGGCTACACAGACAATAAATATCACATCCCATGGTAACTACTGACTGATCACAGTAAATACTGATCGGGTGACAGTCGCCAGGGACTACATTGAGGAGAGAAAATGAGACAACGCAGCGACAAAAAAATGATCTATTCTGATTTTCGATAAGGTCTATAAACAGGATTAATGAAAAGACTAGTTAAATAAACTTTGCAAGTTTATTAGGCATATGCAAACGTGTGGACAGCGACTACTTATCTTCAAGGTGTTTGCCAAATAAACTTGCAAAGTTGGTTTCTCCAGACTATATCCTTAAATGCGTTCAACAACATGGGCGACTCGTGTTCTGTTTGCCGAATAAACTTTGCAAAGTTCATTTCACATGACTCGTGTTCGAGATGTTTGCCTATTAAACGTGCAAACTTAATTTCACCAGCTTATATTCTAACAGGTGAGTCAAGGACCCGCGGTGCAGGGGGCGACGTCATCAACCATAGGCCCTCCTGCAGGGGTATTACGTAACTTGGAAGTGTGACGTGTGTTTCTTGACTAGCTATCGTTCACTTCATGCTGATTTTCAGCAGGCGCGCAATGAACTATTTGCATACTCACATCTACCTAGTCAACAAGTTAACATTTTATTGGTTTTTTGACATTATACAGGGTGTTTCAAGTTCGACCCTCACCACTGGGGTCTCGGAAACTGTAAGAGATACGAAGTCGCTCATATGGAGGTAAAGTTGCGTACTTAGATAATCTACAAAATGCCTCTTAGAAATTTTCTTAGTTCAAAATAATTCCGGAGGCGGAAAAACGAATTTTCCAAAAATCGTTTCAATTTTTCCCTTACTTTATTTGTAGTGGGATTTCAAAATGAATTAATTGCACATTAACATTGTCACCTTTTCTCCTCTAGAAGAAGGCATTCTTACGAACGCAATATTAGATTTTTGCACAGAATTATAGTTTTTTATTCTGAGTCCAAAAATGTACTTGTATAATAATACATTAAACACTGCCGTTGTCAAACCTTAGCTATTTCAAAAAAAGCAGAATTACCTAGGTAGGCCTTGAAATTATCATATAGTCGTTTGTTTCGCATACCAGATTTATCCCAAAATCACTTTTTGGATGGGATTTCAAAATATGTTGCATGGTTTCAATGTTACTAATTCTCCTCTAGAAGATGGCGTAGTTAAATTTTCAGTCCGACATTTCTTCTATCGACTTCCACCACCTACTTTGTTTTTCATATTGATGCAATACCACAGGCTATTTCGAACATTGAAATGTCTTATATTCAGTGATTTCTTTCCTTAATTGGCCAAGACTGTGTTGTTCGAAGAGAATTATAAGGAAATAAGGTAAGGTGAAACCTGAACTCAACATGAAAATTCATTTATGGTAATAATAATCATAAATAAGCAGGGGTAAACCATAGATGTTCAAAATTAGAGAATAAGTAACAATGACAATATGCAATTTATTTTGAAAGCCCATCCCACATAAAGTCAGGAATAAATAAAAGTGATTTTGTTGCAAATCCTGTATGCGAGACAAATGGCAATCTGATAATTTCAAGGCTTACCTAGGAAATTCTGCGTTTTTTGAATTAACTAAGGTTTGGCAATGTCAATGTATGACATATACATTTTTGAAATCAAAATTAAAAACTCTATTCATCTGCTCAAAAATCCAATATGGCGCCATAAAAAGAAATAAAGTTAATGCTGGAGGACAAGAGACGAAACGTTATATTGGAATTCTACTTATGCTATCTTGCAGAGGAGAAAAATTGACAATATTAACATGCAATTTATTTTGGAATCGCATCTCAAATGATGTCGCGAAAGAATAAAAGTGATTTTGGGATAAATCTGGTAGGCGAAACAAATGAGAAATGACTGTGTGATAATTGCAGGCCTACCTAACAAATTCTGCTTTTTTAAATAATCTAGGTTTCACAACAGCAATGTATGACATATACATTTTTGGAATCAGAATTAAACATTCAGTTCAGCTATGCAAGAACCAATAAGGCGTCTACCAGAAAAAATAAAGTTGACGCTGGAGGACGAACGTCATATTCAAATTTACTTTTTCTCCTCTACAAGATGGCATAATTAGAATAAAGTCAGAAAAACATAAAAGTGATTTTGGGATATATCTGGTATGCGAAACAAATGAATATCTGATAATTTCAAGGCCTACCTAGGTAATTCTGCTTTTTTTGAAGTAACTAAGGTTTGACAACGTAAGTGTATAAAACAACTTTTCTTCTGTGCAAAAATCCTATATTGCGTTCGTAAGAATGCCTTCTTGTAGAGGAGAAATGGTGACAATGTTTATGAGCAATTGGTTTTGAAATCCCAATACAAATAAAGTCAGGAAAAAATTTTGTTTTTCCCTTCTCTTTCCGGAAGTATTTTGAATTTCAAAACTCCATTTTGTTTATTACCTAAATGCGCCCCCCATTTAAGCGGCTTCGTATGTCTTACAGTTTCCGATATCTCAAAGGTGAGGGTCGAATTTGAAACATCCTGTATAGGCTTTTTATGTGATAGTCCTGCTGCTCTTCAGCTGTTATGCTGCTCACTCACATACGGATATTAAAGGGATCGGGGATTACGGCAATGCTGCTCGTGCTGTAAAAACGACACCGAAATTTGATGCCTGCAGTACTAGTAGTGCCTTGACAGAACTGCCATATTAGGGGATTTTTCCTTGGGGGAAAACAATGTTCTTGGGGAAATCACACGTTTCGCGGAGAGAAAGCATCCCCCGCTGTTTGAACCAAACCTACCTCTTTCCATTAGTTAACCGTAATTTGGAAGATTTTTTTCTAAGTAGCAATTCTGATGGATTTTTGTGCCTGTTCTGTAAAAATTCTGTCCGACCCATCTGGCAACGCTGTGCTTTGGCAGATCCGCCATATGAACACTTTCTTGATAGCGTACGATCCAGCCGCATAAATCTGCATGTATGTTTTTATGCCTAAAGGTTGATTCTCACTATACATTCCGTAACCGTTCTGTAAATTATTGAAATTGACTATTCGCCTTCGCGCAAGGCATGCTATTGAATGTGTATGCACATTATCCGTAATATGTGTATACAATCAAATTGTACGGAACGTTTACGAAACTGACATGGAATAGAAACGGAATGTATAGTGAGAAACAACCTTTACACAGGCAACTCTGCTGTAATCTATTCTACTTTTATTTATCATTCATAAAAGTTAAGTTTTATCTTCTTCTATTAAAGGATTCCTCTTTAATACTTTAATCCATAAATCTCGTTGCTCTTTGGATAAAAGATGAGTTTTTCACCAGCACTTTGGAGAACTTGCAGGAGTACATGTCTCTGTTTCCCCTCATTAAACAATTTACCGCCACAGAAAGGAGGGCATTTCAATAATTGTTCTTCACAAATAACTAAATAACAGTAACAGGTTCCCGACTAGTTAGTAATTCAGATTGAACTAAATGACGGTCATTTTGTATTCATCCTCCATCCAATAGGAAGACAAGAACGCGAGGAAAAATAGAAATGGATCGTCACTACACACCCGTGGACTGTCGCCTGCCATATCGGAGTAACCGCGGCCTTATCGATCTACGCAACTGCCTGTGTGCCACACATGGCCACAACACCCGCGTGTGAGCGGTGACTCTGACATTTACGTAATGGCTTGTCAGTTCCCGGGCGAATATGGGTGGACAGCATTACGGGCAAAACAGTAGCAAAGCGGTGCAAGCAGCAAGTGTTTTGGGTATTGAGACTTGACAATGTAGCGAATATCAATATACACGGTCATACATCAAAGTTATGTTGCGATTTTCGTATAAGGTGAAGATGAATTGTCAGTCCCCGGTCGTAAATAGGTGGGCAGCATTACGGGCAAAAAAGTAGCAAAGCAGTACAAGCAGCAAGTGTTTTGGATGTTGAAACTTAACAATGTAGCGAATATCAATATACGCAGTGCTACTATCAAAGTTATGTTGCGATTTTCGTATAAGATGAAGATGGCAACATCTCCACTATCACCTGTCCTTAAAGAATCTCATCGAGGGTATGGAGTAATAGAAACAATATTTTAAATTAGGCAATTACGCAATGAGAATTTCAAATATATTAAATTTTCACAATATTAATAGAAACAATCGAAAATTTACTTTGGTAGCTTCTCGACAGACGGAAACATGACCAAACCACTTCTAAAATCTTCCACATCTTTTATAAAGTACTCTTTATCCTTCTTCTCTTTCTTGCACAAAGACTCATTTCCTAATACAGTAACTCTGAACTTTCTACCTAGGACTGCATCTGGAACAAATATGAATTGTCATATAGTAAAAAAATCATATTTATCAGTATTACAAATAACCTGGCAACAATAATATTTATATTTTAAGTAATACCTACCTTCTTTATCATTACCTAAAACGTCCACATCAGCATCTTTTACGTCTTTCTCTGATTTATTGTGTCCAACAACCTGTAAAGAATTCAAATGTCAGATAAGTACTATTCGACTTTCATGATCATTATTTCGTTCCAACTCTTAAATGGTCAACATAACGTAAATAATATATTTAAACCTTCAATGGCCATTAAGACAGGGTCGCAAGTGATGTAGACGGCGTCCCGCTATAAATTGACCACCCTCTAAGTTGTTTTATATGACCATTTAGAGATAAATATTAAATGCAATAGTTGTATGGTCTAATATAAGGCTTTACGTGAAATATTTATTGACCGAGTATATCAGAAGTGCTATGTAATCTGGTATCGGGCTGGATACAGATGATTAAATAACATAATAGTAAGGGTCCTATGCATGGGCATCTCAATACCTGTGGGAGATAGAGCCTAGCTTAAATTAGGAAAAAATTGCGTGGCTTAGACTAAAATTTGTCCAAAGCATTTTTATTTTTTCCTACATTATCTTAATATAGATCAAGAAACCAATGACACTCTTTAGGAACTACATGATGGTGTTTTTAAACTTTGTGCGCGTCGGTTCGTTTTTAAGAAACCATCATCAACTTGATTTTTATGTTGTCCGAAAAATGTTTTTTTTGTATTTTTTTCAAGTAGGCGTTGCAAACAAATGCTTGACTTGACGTAAATACCTGACACCGATAGTTGTTATTATTATGTATTGTAAATATTGCTTTATTATCGTTTACCAGGCGATCATTTTAGTAATGAACAGTCCGACATGCTGACGTGCTACATTGTGTTACAAAAATACTAAAAACACTGCAGAAATGTATCTTGATAAATTTCCCGAACGAAGGCAGCCAAGAAGTACAATTTCTTGGAATTGGCTCGAAATATAAATGAATATGTTTTATTCAAAAAGCCTGTTACGTATGTATCAACTAGGCCAATTGAAAAAAGAATTAGGGGTAGCCAAATCCTCGGCCCAATTTATTTTGCGTAAAAATAGATATCGCCCCTATAAATTCAGGATTTGCCAAGGACTTAGGCCAGCATTTTTGTGAGTGGTACACACAAACGTGTCAAGATTTTAACTTCCTTACAAAAATAATATGGTCCGACGAGACTATGGTCTCTAATACTGGTATTTTAAATCGCCGCAACACTCATTACTGGGCTCAAGAAAATGGGTTTTGGGTTTAATATGTGGTGTGGAATTCTAGGGATCAAAATAGGTGTATAAGGTCCATTTATTTACCAAAACTCATTAATTGCAATTGTTGCAACATGATCTAGAAACCTGCCTGGATAATTTAACGTTGGCACAGGTTAATAGCTGTTGATTTCAACAAGACGGTGCTCCTGCACATTACTCTAGGACAGTTCGAACGTACCTTTCTCAACGATTTCCCGGAAGGTGGATTGGAACCTCCAGTGAAGTATATAATAAACCATAATATTTACAAAAATATACAAATATACCTTATTGGATAGAACTTTTCTGACATACCCTGAAAACTACTGTAGTATACGCTACAACTTTTGTATATAATTTTTTCCCCTAAAAAGCTATGCAAAAAAGTTAAGGGGGTCAATTTATAACGGAAAACTTTAGTATAACTTGTCATGTGCTTTTTTAGAATTTTGAAGAAGATATTAAAAAACTGTCTCTTTGCTCCTAAATACTGGCGACTATATTTTGCCACTTTCCTCCGTAAACATGCACATAAAGTTAGATATTTTCACCTCATAGATTGAAAAAAATTGAAAAAATGCATGGATCTTTCCAGACTTTTTGATATGGTTGGCGTTAAAAAATATTACAAAAATATGCAATTCACCCGTTTAAGAGCTTACAAATAGCGTCAGCGCACTTTTCCCGAGAAAAAGTACGTGATAATTTTAAAACACATAATATAAAATAAGAAATAAGAGTGCAACACCAAATGCCGCATATTCAATTTTAGATTTAAATATATAAGAATAAGACAAAACTATTTGTGATTTTAAATTTTTACCATTTTCTATCAAGGAATAATGTGAAACACCATCTTGAACTTGCCTGCACTGTTAATTTCCTGAAGTTTTCTTTATCTCCAAACTTATTATGCGTCTTCCACCATTGCCTCACCTCTTTGAGGGTCACATCCTTAATAGCAGCAATTTCTTGCTTCAACCTGTCAAATATGTAATCGTCAGAAATAATTTCAGACCAATTCGTATCAACTTCTTCTTTCAAATCGGTATGCGCACATTGTTTAGTTTTTATCAAATCTTCTTTAATTTGATTCAGCTCTTTCTCTGGTGTGCTTTCCAGGATCTTGTCGGTATGCTTCAAGAACTCCTCTATTCTATTGTCTACATGATTAGTTGTATGCTTTGTAGCTTGAGCATTTACAGTTATTGTATAGCCTAAAACTCCAAACGTGTCCCTCAAGGAGCAGTATACGTTGTAGCCAAGCTGTTCTTTAGTTCTTAGGACGTCAAAGAGAGGCTCTTCGATGATTAACTAAATAGAGTAACTCAGTATTAGCTCCAAAATCTACCGCGAAGTAGTAAAGGTTATAGAATAGAATAGGATTTATTAGCCACATGATGTAATGATAAATATCAGCTTTGACAGGTTAAAATGTGTTCCATCAATACTCACAAATAACACGACAATAACGTTTGAAGAAAAAAGGAGCAGGAGAAACGAAACATGGACAAAAACGATAAAATGTTACAAAAAACGTGTGATTAAGATATATAGTATATGAAAACATTCATAAACCAAGAGTATTTACATCTAAGAGGTTATAAAACCATTTCTGGACTAGAATATTTTTTAAGCTTTTCTTAAATATTAGCAATGAATCCGAGTATTTTAGTGTATCTTGTAATAGGTTAAAATAGTGAATATATAAGATAATCTTTGTCACAATGAAGTATGCATATCCCAGATTATACGGGGTACAAACATGCACTAAGTTATTTATTCAAAAGACTATATAACATTTCAAGTTTAGAATCGGCCCAACAAAATGACTATCATAGAGACAAAGTGGCTACTTATTGTGATAATTTTAGATGACTCCATTGGTTACCTAAAAATATCAAACTTACCATAATTATTTCTATTATGACACTACTCCTGATCGTAAATGGAGCAGCTTGGTAATAATTAGTTATGATTGAATTGGTATCTTGCTTATTGAAGCTTTCTATCCTGAAACACTTTTCTCCTTTCGGTATCTGTACAACTTTATACTGAAACAAAGATCGTCAGAATTATCGTAATACAAAAATATGATGGTATATACGATTTTCCATAAGATCATCTGTGAATTGTTGATATTAGAAAATGTAGAATTCCTGATTAAGTGCTTACTTTTGGACGGATGTCTGCAGGCAACTCAGTAAAGTGTACTGTATCTACGAATTTTTTAACAGTAGCACTGGCTTCTAGTGCTGTTACATTACCCTGGACTAGAGACTTAAGATACAGAGTTTTTATAAATTCTTTACAATAGTCCTTCAACTCATCTAATGTAACAGTTTGCAATTCCATGTGCTTTTCCATCGTTGTATATACATTATTTACTAGTAAAATTAATCGCATGTCTCTAAAAAATAAGTATCACCTTAGAGGATGTCCATAAGTCCAAGCACTTACGCTATATTCGTGCGTCCAAAAAATTATGAGAGATAAAATGATACACCGTAGCGTATTTACTATTTATACTTTCAAAAGATAGTATCTCATAGATGGCGTCGTGGCCACTCATATGCCTTTATATGCTCATATAGTCAGCACAATCTATGAGACACTAACTTTTCAAAGGTATACGTATATAGTCAGTAGAGAAACAACTAACAAATTCTCATAGATGATCCTACTGTAACTTATTTTATCAAATTTTTTAGACGTGGGAATATAGCATTATTTTGGCGATTTTCAGGTAGAATACGTTAATCAATTGTCCAGGTAAGGGTAAACACAAGGAGGATTTTCATAAGAAACAAATAGGGAAGCGGGAAATTCTTAAATCTGAAATATTGTACACTTCTACAGAACTCAACAAAATAATGATCCTCAATGCAGGAAAAGGTATGACATACTTATAACAAGTAATGCTGTACTGAAAATAATTCCATTTGTATTTACTCACTTAGCTAAGGAAGACGGTTTTATAGCTTTATTATGATAGCTTTTGATTAATTTATCTTTCACTGCTTCAAATACTGCCAAGGATATTTCATCACCAAACGTAATCAATTTACTTGAAATAAGATCCAACAAAACCTACAAGAAGAATATACTGTATTATTCATGTTTTTGTGGCAATATTAAATTTTGTTTTAGTACATCAATAAAGCTCCAGTATTCAATCCACGACAGTCTAGGTTAAGAAACATGAAGTCCGTACTGGTAATAACCTCAAATCATCTGATTGTATGTATACGTATTGTGTGGTGACAATTTAAAACGAAACAATATTTTTTAATAGCCTCTTTCACATCAAGTGGACTATGCTCAATAAATGTAAATTTATTTTACACTATCAGAAGCATATTCCATGGAATGGAATGTAAAGCATCTGAATAAATGTGTCGAATTGATATTTTAGTCTAAACATCCAAAATTATTTTCAAAGTGTCTAGTTATAGATGAACCCAACACAAGCGGCTATGAACCTGCATTCTTGCACTCTCTTGTGATCTTTATTATTCAGGAACATCTCAAATGTGCGTTGTGACTCTGGGTCATAACATTATCAGTTTTTTACCATCCTCCATTGTCTGGTATCAGTTTAATGTGAGTTTAATGAAAAAAAAAACAAAAACTATGAAAAAAACTAACAATCTTGACACATTGTCATTTTCGTTATCCCCACTATTTCGGAGCTTATAACACCGAATAAAAAGCTGGTGGAAGAGGAGGCAGGTGATTTTAAAAATGATTAGCTCAGGTGCATGACACTCTAGAGCAGGAGTTCCCAACCAGGGTGGCGCGCCTCCCAATGGGGCATAGAGAAATGTCAAGGGGGGCGGAAAGCGTTTGCATTTTAGAAAGAAAAAAATAAACAAACAACATTAACAAATAACATTACAATGTAATGTTTAATTTACACGCATAAAATTATAAATTAAATATCATATTCACTTATTCTGTCAACCGCAACATGAAATCCGTGCGCACGCCCGCAGCGCTCCGCTTAACATTCATCACTTAGAAAACAATTGTGTACCAACCAGACGCGGATGAGCATCTGTGTCATTCATTCCCACAAACTTGCGAAAAATTTGACGTTTCGATGTACATGTTTTGTTGAGAAATCTGCTTGAGTGTGTCAAATTATTGTGTCTCACTGTTAAAAGGTAAGTCTGTGTATTTACAAACTTCAGTTAGCATTTTTATTTAATTTACTAAATTGTTGATTCGAGTAGAGACGCGTTCATAGATCGGCCATTGGGTCTTTTTTACATCACAATCAAACCAACGTGGAGAAATAATTTTGAAACGACGAACTTTAAGTACCTAACATTAATTACAAATGTATTTAAAATTACTATTATAACGTCAACCTGCCTACAAAAATATAAATCCCCGGTGGCCAATATACTGTTGAATACATTACGTTATCAACATAAAATAATGGGCATATAATTAGTAATTACATGTAGGTATTTTCTTTATTTATTTATTACTTGTTTCTTTTATTGTTATAGGTACAAAATGGCAACGACAAAAAGAAAGTTTTCCGAATATTACGTGAAGTTTGGATTTACCGTCATAGAAAAACACGAGTTACAATTGCCTCAGTGTGATATGTATGAAAGTTTTAAGTAATGATAGCATGAGGCCCAATCCCCTGGAAAGGCATTTGAAGCAACAATATCCAACTCTGGTTTTGAAGACGAAAGAGTTTTTTTCTTCTAAAGCAGAATCACTCAAGCGGATGAGACTGGATAAATCGGGAATCAAAGTTTCATTTGAAATAGCTTTTATCATAGCAAAGCAAAAGAAACTTCATACTATCGGTGAAGAATTAATAAAACCATGTGTCCTAAAAGCCACGCAGCTAATTTTGAGAAGATGCAGAGCAAAAAATGAAGTCTATTTCTCTTTCGAATAACTAAGTCAAGCGTAGAATCGATGTCATTGCAGCAGACATAAAGTCAAAAATAATTACCAAAGTAAAATTATCGCCATTTTTGCCATTAGTTGCGATGAATCCACCGACATTGCTAATTGTGCACTGTTAATAGTTTATGTTCGTTACATAGGCGGAGATATCATTCAAGAAGAGATTTTGTAGTCCCAATCTTTGACACTACATCTGAAGATATATTTAATTCGATAACAAATTTTGTTGAGAAAGTGATTTGGATTGGAAGAAACTCATTGGACTTTGCACAGATGACGCACCTGCAATGGTAGGTGTACGATCGGGTTTAGCTAAAAAGCTCAAGGAAAAAATCCCGCAATAGTTAGTACATATTGTGTTATTCATCGGCAAGCTTTGGCTTCCAAAACATTGCCACAGAAATTACGCCAGACTTTGGACTCGGCTATAAGGATTGCAAACTATATCAAGAGCAGCGCTTTGAACAGTCGGTTATTTACTTTACTTTGCGAGGATCTCGATTCTGATCACAAAGGTCTTCAGTTCCATACAGAAGTATGCTGGCTGTTCAAAGGCAACATGTTGGCTCGCCTTTATGAATTGAAAGAAGAGGTAATTCTTTTTCTTGAGTTCAAAGAAAAACACGATTTCTTGACAAAGTTCTAAGATGACACATTTCAATGCAGGCTGGCTTATTTGACTCCTTGAATGAGCTAAACTTGAAACTTCAGGGCAGAAACAACAACATAATAAGCAATTATGATTATATTCAGGGGTTCCTATCAAAGCTTCAACTTTGGAATCAAAAAGTGCCTTCTGAAAATGTTATATCTTTTTCTCGGCTGTTCGAAGCAATTAAAAATAACATACTGGACGCAAATTTAAAAGCTGACATAAAAACTCATTTTCAAGCGCTGGAAGACGAATTTCCCTGATACTATCGAGACATCAATTCAGAGTCTCCAATATGGCACATGACAAGAAATCCATTTGTTGTCGATTTGTCACAATTACCAGAAGTTCAGGAAGAATTTCTAGAAATGAAGGCTGATTCGTCCATGAAAGATGACTTCCATCTTTTAACATTGGAGAAATTTTAGATCAAAAGATTGCCTGTTAATTCGACACTTGCCTCTCTTGCTTTACGAATACCCTTTTTCTTCAACTTACTCATGTGAGACAGGCTTATCTGCTCTCGTTTTAATTAAAACTAAATAGCGAAATCGTCTTGATAGCGACCTGATGATAGCTTTGGCAAATACAGAACCTAGAATCAACCAACTGGTACAGAACATGCAATCTCAAGTGTCTCATCAGAACCTACTCTTATTTTATTGAAGTTTTTCGATAAAAAAACATTTATTAGTTTATTTAAACTTCTAAAGTGCCTTTATTAGAATTAAAATAAAAGTCTTTGTACCTATATAATATGCGTTTTTTGTATCTATTGAAAAAGCAAAGGGGGGCATGAAAATATTATTTATAGTCCGGGGAGCTTCAACAAAAAAAAGGTTGGGAAACCCTGCTCTAGAGCACTGGAACGGTATTGACAGGTGGTGGGTAGCTCCAAGTTAACTCCGAGTAACGCAAACGAGGCACTGGAAAGCACCTTTGGCAGGCGTATGTGTCATTTATAGGGATAGAACTTACTGGTAGTTTCTGATTGTATCCATACACTTTAATCATAAGTCCTTTTTCATAGCTAGATATAGCATATGATAAGTCAGCCGTAACAGCAGGATAAGCTACTTCAGTTAAAGAATACACAAGAAAATTTATCATCATATCCAACAAGGCGTTGCTAAAACAAAAAAGTATACAAGTAATGGATTATTTCTGGTTCATTATGATGATGAGTTTATTATAATACTATACCTACGATACTTGTACAATGGTTGAATCAAATTTGAAAACATCAAACTAATTAAAATGGAAATTGACAATTAGAATAGTCGGTTAAAAGAAATATAACTTTGTAGTTAATTGCTTTTTTGTTTTATCGATGATTAGATAGAAAATAAAAAAATATTGCCAATAAGTACAGTAGAATCATGTAACAGCATGAAATTACCTTCTTGCAGATTTGACAGATAGAGGACTAATAAGATAAAGATAATAATAAGCCATCGGCAACTCGAATTTTTGATCTTGCCTATACCATATTTCATACAATGGATTATCAGATAATTGCTGAGGATATTCTGGTTGGTTTTCTTTTTTTTCCAAAATGGAAAAATCGGTAGTTATGAATGGATTCGGAGGTGGGATACTAAACTCCGGATATGGTTTGACAGATTCCCATTTTGATATCCAGCTCGCAGGTACTTCTGTAAAAGAAATATAAATTAAAATGAAGTGTGCACTATATACAAATAACTTAGGTTTGTTTTCGGACAAATGTTACTATGTAAATGAAGTACACAATTCCAAAATTTTGTTAACATACCTCTATCTGTGTATCGAGTTCCAAACCATTTTTCAGTCTGATCATATACTATATCTTTAGGCAACTTTTTTGATACTATCATAATGTTCATGCTACTCGGTTGTAGCAAATCCATTATTTCTTTAATACCCTAAAACGAGATCAAAGTAAACATTATTGGTCCATTCCTCAGACTTTATTGCCAGACAAAAATGCTTGTAAGAGAAACGATAAATATAAAACAAAATGTATTTGTCAGTAAATTCTCTACAAGGCGTAATATAAGTCTGTTTAAAAGTTGCAGACCGATGTCAATGCTGATTAAAAAGCATACTGTAAATTCACCTCAGGATCATATTCATAATATAACTCCGAACCGGTAATATAATCCTCTGGTGGATATATTTGCATATTTTCGCACAAATCTTCAACGGTATCAACTGCAGGATCTTCGCGAGCAAAACGAAAAGCTGTATCTGCTATTAATTTCATTTCATTGAATACTCTCTCTTCAGGACCAATTTGTTTCAGCATGCTCAAGTAGGAGAATACTGCAGCTATAACCTGAAATATATAAATTTAAAGCTGTTATTTAATTGCTACTACATTGAAAATGTCTGTACAACGAATGTAGATGCAAATGTTGGTAGAGTGTCAAATTTGCATATCGCTTTGAAGGTGCAAATCGTTTTTTAGAACGTGAATTGATGATCTGACTTGATGAATAGAAACCTATGGTGTGGTTCGTTCAAATAATTAAGATAATAAATAATCATGTTGGATATTTATGAGCGTCCCAATCCCCCAGCAACATTTTATAAGAGTGCCTTCTCAGGCTTGGACGAGAAAAATCTGTATTCAAATAATATTTCTCTTCGAAAAGTATTTACAATTTCATGGGAACTTAAGAATTTCTAATTTTTTTTTGCCTAACTACCTCAAGAGGAGGATTATGTTTTCTGCGACTGGATATAATGTGTGAACAAGAAATTATATGCCAGGTGCTAAGGCTTGATGGATTTTGACCTATGAGGTATTGTTGGATAGGTCTTCGCAGTGCGAGTGTCCCTAAGTAAATTAAAATTTTACAGAATCAAAGTAAGAATAATAATAATAATCTTTATTTCAACAGGTTTGCACCCAATCACAGGGACATCCTATGATAAACATGAATGAAAAACATTGTTACAGGAAATAAAAACATAAACAACATGAGTGAATTGGAACAAAAAATAAATATCTAAAAATTACAGCTCAATTCGCAAAAATAAACATTGCTGGTTAAGCACAAGATATGTTTGCTTAAAACTGGTTAAAATCCTCTGAATATTAACATTATTGTTATCGCATTCTTGACAATAAGTGTCAAACATATCACACATCCTTTCAACAGGAGACATGTCAGATATGTTGGTTCTACCTCTAGCATTGTAAAAAGTTGCATTAGAGCGAGTTGATCTCTTTGGCACCACAAAATTGATTTTGGATAATAATTCCGCGCAATCAAGTTTATTATTAAGCAGACTATGAACCACTGCAAGGTCATTCAATTATCAACCGTAAATCAATGTATCAAAATGCAGGACTTGAAGTACATTGTGTAGGAAGCCTCTTCCAGGATATATGACATAAACTTTGAAATGGATATATTTCAGGCTCTTACTCTGGTCAGATTCAATAGCTGAAATTGCATTTTGATAAATTGGTGACCAGACCAGTGCAGCATATTCCAGTTTACTACTAATAAAAGGTGTTAAATTGTTTTAAGACTGATCACATCAGTAAAACCAAACCAGTTTCTGACGCAGTATCCTAATATTTTATTTGTTGAAGAGACCATTTCACTTATATGGTCAGAGAACATCAATTTACTGTCCAATACTATCTCTTGATGACGAAAATGGCGGATTTCCGCCGAAATTTACAACTTTGAAATTTATATTTCATGGGTTACAGCTTACACGTCTGAATTGATTTTTGACATATGAGGTGTCCTCTAATTTATCATGACAGTGCGAGTGACACTTTGTATACTAAAATTTTATGAAAATCAAAATGACGGATTAAAAAAATAAATTAGAAATTTTTAATCATCGGCTACAGCTCAAACGACTTTTCAGTTACTGCAGTCGGGCTTTTTGTATTAATATTGTTTTGAATTAAATGTCCTTGTAATATTCCAAACAGGCTGAACGACATACTAGGTCATCAAATGAATGCCACAAGGCAAAGATGCACACAATTAAAAAAATACGCATTGACCGATACAACTCCAGAGGTAAATTGCGGACAACAGGTACCCGGCATCGCTCCTTAATGCGGACAGGTTTGGGTACTTATTGGTGTTCGATTTACGGATCAGTAGCAGATTTTATTAGCGCTCTATCAATTGTATGTCCAGTATTTTGCGCGATGCTCAATTGCCGCTCTTTCTTTCTTAGAAGATAGCAGTCCACGTGAACTCTGCACAAGTGACTGCAATTTGGACAGATTTATGACGGACTAGAAAGCTCATGACATATTCAACTCAATCTTGGAATGAATCCAAATTTGTTTAACGAACCATACTAGCTACTTGTATATTATAAGAGAAATGTGACAAATTTGAAAGCTAAATAGCTTTTGAGGAAATTACTACCTATTAAAATAAAAGCAAGTGCCTATCATGTCAAGTTCGCCCTAAATTTCCAGCCATTTTACAACTTTACGATATAATATTTCAATCTCATACCTCATCCACCTGTTTCAAGCCTTCTTCTGTTAACACAATGGATACCGTGTAAAGTGAGTAAATCGAATTCAACTCAGTTCCTGACTCTCCATTACCTATTGATGTAGATATAGCCCATACCCTAAACAAGGATATTTTCAAATTAGAAAATATCAACCATAAATAATATATACAATCCCAGACCATATAAATTGTCTTACGGGTAGATAAAGACTTCTGAGAAAAAATTTTTTGTATAACGACTAACGCACTACATCAGTGCAAGATCAAACAGGTAGATCACATCACTGAAGATGGTTTATTCACTAATCAGTTACCCGTACAGTTTTGCTCCTACTGAGCGGGGCCGTGGCAAGTGCTTGTTCCGGAAGTTGTTGTATCCAGTACACAACTTCTTCCTGTTCAAGTGATTGTACACGCGTTAAGGAATACCTCAGTACCGATTGCCGGATGGCGGTACAAGTCCGCCAATGGGCCACTTTAGGTCTATTTAATATCATTAACACGCAAAAAGACGGTGGTAGACAAGTAGCAGTCGAGCGAGGCGGTACCACCCGCTGGCTTTTCCCAGGGTGTCTTATGAATTCAAATTCAAATTCAAAATACATTTGTTTGCCAAAAAACAAAAACAAAAAAAAAACATTATATTTATTGTATTATAGAAAATACACACAATATTTTTGGCAAAAAGGACAAATCCTCGATCAAATGACCGTTAACACCCAGCCTTACATAAGTAGGGTGGGTGTGAAAATGCCCTGTTTCCACACCTAAGCTATACAGTCGGTTATCTTCCAAAACAAAGCAAATGAATGATGATGGATCCCTCAAGTACTAAGAATTCCGAACGTAAACTCACTCCATTCTCGGAATGTCGAGTGAAGGGTGGACTCGAGGGAACAACATCGAAGGTAAAATGTTTCACGAATATCTGCGGGATTAACATCAACATGCTGTTCATCACTATTTGCAATCCAATCTGCACCGATCAACCATCTTGGCTTCCCAAATTACGAGGTGCACACCAATCTGAGAAACAACGGGAGAGTTGTGGCTTTTGTCCGCAGCAGTCTTTCTTGCTCCAGAGATATTTCTTTGGAATCAGATCGGAAGGACATTCTGTGGCATCGCCGCAACTCCAAAACATCCCCCAGATTTAATTGCTGCCTTCATCGCTCTCCCTCGGACCATAATTGGGATGGCCTACTTGAATACCTCGTCGTCAAGATCGACTTCCTCAACATCAATCACCCCGCTTCAGAGGTAGTTCTCCTCGGTGATTTCAATGCCCATAATGAGCTTTGGTTGGGCACAAGACCGATGCAGCAGGTCGTGAAGTTGAAGCGTTCGCTCTTACTCAAGGGCTGACCCAGCTGGTGACGAGCCCTAGTTTTTCCCCCGATACATGCCAGTAGCCTGCTGGATCTCTTTCTGACCACGCATCCTGTCCCTTACAGCACTGCTGTCCTGCCCCCCTGGGTAACTCGGACCACGGTGTTCTGGAGATTTGGTTTCGGTCGGAACCCTCTGTGGCAGCAGAAACTCGCACAGGCCGCAAAATTTGGCATTACGGACATGCCGACTGGGAAAGACTCAGATACTTCTCTACCTTTCCTTGGAGAGATGTCTGTTTCACTGACGCGAATGCGTCGGCTGCCTGTTCTTCGATAACCGAAATTATCCACGTCGGAATGGAGGAGTACATCCCTCATACAGTGAAAGTGACTAAACCAACGGCTGGTTTAACAAATCGTGACACTGCTCGCCAGCCGAAGATCAAGGCACACAGAACCTTCTTACAAAACCCCACTGTAGAGAACAGACAAGCCGACGTCGAGTCCAGCATCAAATATAACGAAGCTGTTCGCAATACCAAAAACCAGCACGATATAAAAGTTAAACACAGGGTAATGTCGCAGCGCAATGAGATTGAAAAGAACTTCTCACAGAGTAGCCTACTCTCCCACCACTTATGTGCCAGGATGGAACGATTGTATCCGACTCAAAAGCCAAGGCGGAAGTGCTTGCCAAGATCTTTGCTGCCAACTCCACCATTGACGTCCCCCTCAACGCCCAAGTGCCGTCAATTCAAAGGGTTCCCTACACTATGCGGGAGGTAACATTCAGGCATAAGACCATAAGACTAGTGCTCTTGTCGCTCGAGATCAACAAATCTTCTGGTCCGGACTTGATTCCTGCCATTGTACTGAAGAGGTGTGCAAAGGAGCTTGCTCGAGTTCTTTCGCGTCTCTTCCAGATATCTTATAAATCCCGCACCTTCCCATAAAACTGGAAATTTGCTCTAGTCCAACTACAGGGGACCTCCTAGCTTACGTCACGCACATTGTGGAGTAAACTCATCCAGTCTTATGGTGAGGCTCATGCCGTTGCTCTTGATATCATGAAAGCGTTCGATCAGCTGTGACACGCTGCCCTCTTAAGCAAACTTCCATCCTATGGCTTCCCAGAAAAGCTTTGCAGATGAGTGGCTGACTTTATCTCTGGCCGCAAGATATCCGTCGTAATTGACGGGTTCTTCTCTCCATCCCACAACGTCAACGCGGGTGTTCCCCAGGGATCGGTCTTGACTCCGACACTGTTCCTCTTACATATCAAAGAACTCCTTCCCTGCACGATCAACCCAATCCACAGCTTAGCTGATGACAGCACTCTACACGCAGGAATTCAGAGTGACAAGCCGATCTCTGCCGCTGAGCTAGAAAAAAGCGACGACTTCCCCTCCGACGAGAGACCTGAAGGTTATCACTGCTTGGAAACGAAACAATCTTGTACAGTTTAATGCTTCCAAAACACAGTACTTCACCTTGACGAACAAAAAGCGTCGTAGCGCTCATCCGGTTTCGATAAATGACCCAGTCTGTCAAAGAGCAGTTCATTTCGGCTGGCCGGTGTCCAGATCACCAAGGACTTGATCGTCGATAGCGGCAGCTGCTGGGAACAAGCTGGGCGATTTGTTTAGGGCTAAGAAGTACTTTCCTCCGCATGACCTTCTAACTCTATACAAGGCCCAGATAAGGCCTAGCCTTGAGTATTGCTCACACGTTTGTGGTGCTGCCGCCCCTACTACATTATTTATGCTCCAGAGGAGGGCTGTCCGCTGATCGAAGACGCTTCTCTAACAGACAGTCTCGGGACCCTTTCGCATCGCCGAGTTCTGTCAAAGAGCCGTTCACTTCGGCTGATCGGAGTAAAGATCACCGAGGACTTGATATGGCACGAAAACATCTCGTCGATAGCGGCAGCTGCTGAGATATTTGTTTAGGGCTAAGAAGTACTTTCCTCCGCATGATCTTCTAACTCTATACAAGGCCCAGATAAGGCCTAGCCTCGAGTATTGCTCACAAGTTTGCGGTGCTGCCGCCCCTACTACATTATTTATGCTCCAGAGGAGGGCTGTCCGCTGACCGATGACGCTTCTCTAACAGACAGTCTCGGGACCCTTTCGCACCGCCCAGTTATGTCAACGGGATTTGCTCCTCAGAGCTCTCTTCCACGGTACCGCTGCGCGATGTGCCTGCCAGACAGACCCGTCTGACTTTGGGCTCCCATCCTAATCGTGTCGAACTGGCCGATATGACAGCTCCTTCGTCTCTAGGGTATCGAGAATGTGGAACAATCTACATGAGGATGCTTTTCCCAGTTCTGCCAACTTAGGCAGTTGAAAAATCGGATTGACAAAATTTCTTTGGGGTCCTCGTAGCAGCCGTGGTATCCTGGTCATTTAGGCTTCTGCCTCCGCGGCTGCTTCGGTTTAAAAAAAAATTAGCAGATACTGATATCAAGTACATAGTGTTGGTACAAGGAGTCGGCAAAACGGGTCAAAAGTGGTCTAGTTGCTATTTCACGCTACCCTGCCAATATTACTTCTACTACTACTGATACGATGACTAACGCAAAGGTTTCACGAGACGAAATTAGTTACACCACAGTATTATACTTATTTTTTACCTAAAACCGATAGCACAGTCACGCAAAAATATCACAAGTTTATAGACGTAGCACAGAATATTTTTATTAGACATTTTATTAGACATATTTAAATAAGTAAAGGCAATATGAATTCACCTATTTCTCAAGTAGGAAAGCAAGCTCTCATTGCCTTCATCTCCCATTAAATGTGAAATGTATTCGTGAGCTTTACTTTTATACTTATCTCGGAAAGACGGTAAGCACCACGTCAAATCCACCTAAAATAAATCGTGTACTTCATATTTGCAAAAATAGTAGAGTTTATTATTGAGCAAAGCAAGTCATTCAATAATTTAAAGCATTTGTAATTTTCATTCATATTCAAAAAGCCTAATACCCCCCAGAAGTCGGCGTCAAGCCGGAAACGGGGGATAGGCCAAGTCATAATAGTTTTCCGAAACATATACTTTTCAAATTATATGCTTTAAAAACGAGAAAATCTACATCCTGCGAGTGACGTAGTGACAGCGAGAGAGATAGTAACACCACTTTTATTAATTCAAGATTGTGTAGTGCCACCATGTCTGTGTACACATTACAGGAATACGCCAACATGCATCTCATTTATGGGGAATGTACATGCAATGCTAGTGCTGCAGCTACGCTTTATCGTGAGAGGTACCCAAATGATGCTCGTCATCCCGATCACAGACTTTTTGTAAATGTGCGGGACGATGCCGAAATCAAGCACATGGTGAAGGAAGAATTTCCTTTCCTCACAAGGACGTCGTACTACAAGCAGTCGAAGAAGATCCAGTGCTTCAGCACGTCGTCAAATAGAAGCAAGCACGTACAGCGAGTACAATCTCTACAACCCTGGGATTATCTTCAGAGTTGAGTTTTGTCAAACACTGTTACAGAGACACCGGGAAGATCAGCGATTTTTAGAGAAAGTTTTATGGAATGACGAGTCGACATTTGAAAAATATGGTTACATGAACCTACACAACTTACACGAGTGACATGTAGAAAATCCACATCTGACGAGACAAGAAAGATCACAGAATCGTTTTAAAGTAAAGATGTGGACCGGGATTCTATATGGGAGCATCATTGTACCCTTTGAGCTGCCTGATTTCTTGAATAGCGAAATTTATTTAGACTTTTTACAAAAACATTTACCCGATTCATTGGAAGACGTGCCCTAAGCATTTACAGAGACAATATCTTCATGCGGAATACCCGAGCACATGGATAGGGCAATCTGGCATAATTGCGTGGCCAACCCGTTCACCCGACTTAAGTCCACTCGATTTTTTTTACTGGGGAGCGGTGAAAGAAAAGTTTACTCAAAGCCAATCGAAAATTTAGCTACGGTAGCTACGGCTCAGAATAACGGAATTTGTTAATAACCGAAGATTCGCCCGTCTGAGAGCCAGATCGTTCTTAAGATGTCAAGCCTGTATTGCTGCTGAAAGAAGCCAGTTTAAGAAAATTTATTGTGAATTTAATAAATACATTCACGAATTAATAAAAGTGACGTTACTATACGTCAAAGTTAAAATTGAAATTTGTACTAATGAGAACTAAAAGATCATAACACGGCGTAAATGTGTCCACAAAAAATATAATTATAAGTAGCCGACTTGAATGTTTTATATTTTTCTCTTACAAATTGGCCTATCCACCATTTTCGGCTTGACGTCGACTTCTGGGTCACCCTGTTGGTACTGATATCAAACAAAATAATGTGATCGAATTTGCAATTTGCTGTGTAAGCTTCAGAGTAAAACACAGAAATCCAAACGAGAGTCGCTTTTATTTAAAAAAAAAAGGATCGTCAAATAACACTGATAAACACAGGATTTGTGACATAACAATATTTGGGTGTATCTTCTGTACTTGGAGACCCTTAAATCACATCTAAAAACAGATTTTTTCTATCACCCACAGATATTCGGTAACATCTACTTTTATGAATTACAATTAACATCTCATATTGCTGCATTTCTCGGCGTTTATGCGATGACATATATAATGTTAAGACCTGTCTATTCCTGTTTATTATATGCGAGCTCTATGTTTAGAGAGCATATTGCGTTTATTAGTAGACTAGTATAGTCGAAATCACGAAAGATGACGATTACGTCATCATTTTAGTCAGTAGTAAAGACAAACGACAGCGATTTGTGAATATGTTTAATGAAGTTTCAGATATGCTAGACAGAGACAAACAGAATTTTATTGTCTAAACAAACTGTATTGCTAATATGCATATATCCGACAAAGATAGACGATGTTTTCATGTTGCGATCGATCATATTTGAAAGATGAATAGTTAGGTTATGTTAAAGCAGCTTATGTTGTTGTCGAATAATACTTTGGTCTTTGGTGTTGCTGTCTTAAGGTATTCTAATCATAACTGTTTTTTCAAAACAAAAACTCCGCACTAAGATTATTATAACTCAAAACCATGAAATAAAATGAAAACAAAAATAATCAGTATAATAACCTATCTTCCCAAATCATAACATAAATTTATTGTCATTATTCCTGATATCGTGATTTTATCATCGACGTACGTCCAATGATTATTTCAGTACAATTTATGGTATGACGTAATAGTCATCTTTCGTGATTCTGACTATAGCAGCCGTTATAGTTACGTTTTCTGTGTTGAAGAGTACTGAGATGTTCTGAGTACTGTTAATTTTTGTTAAAACGGTGTGTTGTTCTTAGTTTATTGTGATCGAGACTAGCTTTATGGTCAATGCCTAGAAATTGTGTAAATAGTGCGAATAGTTCTTGTTCTGTGTGCGGAGAGCTAACTTTTAAATCCCAAAAACGTACTTTTACTCCCCTTGTGTTGAAAGCATACAAACTTTATTTTGGAATTAAAGTTGGCGACCAAGATGAACTATGCGCCCCTCATATATGTCGTAAGACTTGTGTAACGTTGTTAACAGGGTGGTTCAGAAGCGACAATCGTAAAATGCCCTTTGCGGTACCAATGGTTTGGAGAGAACCGAGAGAGCATACTTCTGATTGCTATTTTTGCCTCACAAATATTAGAGGTATTGGACCAAAATCGAAACATACTGTTAATCTACTATCAGCTTTGCGGCCCGTTAACCATAGTGATGAACTTTCTGTCCCAATTCCACCAGAATCTTTCCACCGATTCTGAAAGTGATGGTACAGAAAACTTAAAAATTTCCGATCCTTCGTTTGACCTGCCAGGATGTTCAACAGCGTCGCATTTGATTTAGTGACTTAGTTCGAGAATTAAATCTGTCAAAATCCCAGTCAAAACTTTTAGCATCAAGATTAAAAGGATGGAATCTTCTCTACGGCAACAAGACGTCACACACTGTTTCCTTCAAGAAAGGGAGTTGACACATTGCTCCGATGCTAACAATTTGTTTGAAGCGTTAGGACAGAAACATGATTCGAATGATTGGCGCCTGTTCATTGATTCCTCTTAGCTTAGTTTAAAAGCGGTATTGGTACACAACCGTCATAAATATCCATCTGTACCTATAGCACACGCAGTTCATATGAAGGAGTCATATGAAAATATGCGAGTTCTGTTAGAGCATATCCGTTATAATGAATTTGGACGGGCCATATGTGCAGATTTAAAGGTAATAGCCCTTCTTCTTGGAATGTACCTGGGATATACCAAATATTGTTGTTTTCTTTGTGAATGGGACAGTCGTGCGTGAGATCGTCATTATGAACAGGAGTGGCCTCTACGTCAGGTATTAACTCTGGGCCTCAAAAACATTGCTCATGGACCACTAGTTGCTTCGACCTTTGCATATTAAGTTGGGACTGATGAAAAATTTTGTGAAAGCTATGGATCGAAATGGAAGAGGGTTTCTGCATTTAAAACAAACATTTCCGAGACTTAGTGAGGCAAAAATTAAAGAGTGCATATTTGTGGGCCCACAAATACGGAAAATCATGAAGGATGATGTATTTGACTGTGCTCTAAATGAAACTGAATTACGAGCTTGGAATGCTTTTAAATCAGTTACTGCAAATTTTTTAGGCAATGTAAAGGCGGACAATTATAAAAGATATTGTGAGTGGACTAATTAATGCTTATAAAGGAATGGGATGAAACACGCCTCTAAAAATTCACTTTTTGGATTCTCATCTCGATTTTTTTCCGGAAAATTTAGGTGCTGTAAGTGATGAACATGGTGAACGGTTCCACCAAGACCATTTCTGCTATGGAAAAACGGTATCAAGGCAAATGGAGTATCAAGTTGCTTGCTGATTATTGCTGGACATTGTTAAGAGATACTTCAGGAGCAACATATTGCCGTAAAACATCGACAACAACATTCTGAGATTAATGTTTATTCGAGTGTTTATTAGTACTCTTATACACATATCCTTATATTTTACGAGTATAAGCAGCAAATAAAATGACTTTCTGCAAGGAAACCGTGGGTGATAGAAAAAATCGAATGCTATTTCCGGCTTCTTGGGTACGTTTTACATAATAACAACCTTGTTTTATCCATGTCACAAAAAATTATTTTGAGTTTGTTCACCAGTGTAATTAAGCAAGGTACGACTTCTGTGTTTATTCTGAAATTAGTCCAACATATTAAGCTATTCGATCTCATGAGGATGAGCACATATACAAGATCAAATAAAATTACCTGACAGAGATCTTTCATAGGTTTCACATAGTATATCCTAGTGAAATATGGTGTTTTAAATATACTTGTGCTAAATTGACTAAGGTCTTCTGGCGGTAGATTGTTATTAGGTACGTTGGAGAAACATTCCACAATATACTGTTCTAACGTTTGCATGGGTAACCTAGCCTTAAACAAATCATCTGTTTAAATGAATATTGCCACTTTATTTAATATTTTCCTAGTTATTATATTTTATTAGAATTATTATCAGCCGGTAATCCAACATTTTGGAACTGTTATTTGACTAGTATGTTGATCTTTACTGAATCAATTACTACTTTATTCTATATTACAGGAGTCCTTAAGGCCGTCATTCACGATCGTTAAAATAAATAAAAATAAATATTCGAACAGATACTATATATTTCTACAGGGTGTCCCAATATTCCGTACCACGCGTATTTTTAGTCGCAAAATAAGTCGATTAGACATGATTTACCTCTATGCAAAAAGGCTTCGTTTGTCCGTTAGAAGGCGTCAAAGTTTTCTTTTTGAAACACATCTTTCAAGATATTTTTTGAACTGATAGCCCGATTTGAATGAAATATGGACACATATATTTTGCTAGACGTAATAATATTTGATTCTAAAACTCTAAAAGGTTCGAAGAGGGTGAAAACTACCCCCACCCCTAGATAAATTATAGCAGAATGTTTTGGCAACTTTTTTCGAAAGCTGTGCGAGTCGGCCTGTTTTTGTAAGAGACCAAATATGAATGGATCTTTAAAATAAAAAAAAAACGTGTTAAAAATTCAGATTCGTTGGGAGAGTTGCGAGAGATGTCTGCTATAATGTATGTAACGGTGGGGGTAGTTTTCACCATTCTCTAACCCTATCGGTTTTTTATAACATTTAAATATTAGAACGACTAACAAAACACATGTGTTCCAAAACTTCATTCAAATCGGACTACCGGTTCCAAGAATATCTGTAAAAATGTTTTAAAAAGAAAACTGACACTCTAACGGAAAAAGCACTTTTGAATAGAAGTTAATCATGTACAACCGATATTATGAGTCTAAAAATGCGTGGTTCTTCTATGTCCACAGAATATTGGGACACCTGTATACTTATGCTTGGCATTTCATGTGATTCAGATATGTGGCACTTGTTTAGTGTGAAACGCCAACAATATATACTTTTCATAAAGCTCGTCGTGGAGATGTTTCAATTATAATACACAAGAAGCAATAGAGAATAAAATGAAATAATCACCTGTACAGCCAAAGTCATGCGATGCGCCGAATAATGTCGTCGTCTAAACTCGTGCACACCTTCATACAATTTGTCATCAGAAATACTGTCCCTTAGGGTGACCAAATTACCCCAGGCGAACGAATTTACAGGAGAGTCTTCCTGAGATAAACTACAAAGCAGTTGTTCTTTTCTTGAAGAGTCCGATGGCAGAGCCATTTGAAATTCTGATAGAAAGTAATATTCACATTATTAGAGGTCTTCTTGTTTTGAGATATCAGTACAGTTTAATATGGGAGTATTAAGATTTATTGATGGTTAAGTCCAAGAGTGGATCAGTTGCACAAAAATGGATAAATGATGTTTTGCTAATAATAATTGTAAGGCAACCATAATCTTTCCTGTTCCTGAAAAATATAAATATTGTCAAAAATAAGAGGAAAATATATAATCTACCACTTAAACTCAAATATGGTTCTTTTCACGGTTTTTAGCTGTTACGTGTCATACAGGGTCTGCCAAAGGAACCTGATGAGTTTCAATATGAAACTACAAATGTATCTTTCAAGATATTTATTTTCATATATAAGTAATCGAAAGTGGATTACATGCCATTTTATGTATGGAAAATAACTTCGGTCAAATGATGTCCTTCACTGCGGACACACTCTTCCAAACGGTTTCGCACATTCCCCATTACGCGCTGTACCATACTCATCGGAATCGCGCTAATTTCATTGCGAATATTTTCCTTCAATTCTTCAATGGTCATTGGGCTCGTTAAATATACCTTGCTTTTGAGATAACCCCATAACCAATAGTCACAAGCCGTGAGATCGGGAGACCTTGCCGGCCAAAGAACATCTCCATTCCGCGAAATGACTCTTCCTGGAAACACTTCTCGCAGTCGAACCATTGTTGCTCGTGCTGTATGCGCTGTGGCGCCATCTTGCTGAAACCACACAGTATTTAAATCTATGTTCCGTCGACGAAGCTCTGGTTCCAAAAATGTGTTTAACATTTCCAGATAACGTTGCGAATTGACCGTGACAGAATTTCCAGCATCGTCCTCAAAAAAATAGGGTCCAATTATGCCGAATCGCGACACTCCGCACCAAACAGTAACCTTGCGACTATGAAGGGGTCGCTGGTGAAGTTCTCTCGGGTTTTCTGCACACCAGTAGCGAAAATTCTGCTTATTTACGTAGCCTGATAACTCGAAATGCGCCTCATCAGACATAATTAAGCCACCTAAAGCGTTTTCATCCAAAAGTTCCAGAAGCTGGTTGCTTGCAGTCAAACGGTTCACAAAGTCTTCAGCTGTCAGTTCTTGAACCATCGCTAATTTGTAAGGGTGATAATGTAAATCTTTATGCAAAATACGCCGCACTGTTGTTTCTGAAAGCCTTCGACTAATTGCTTGTAGGCTAGCTGAACGACGTGGACTTTGCTGCACCGCTGTTCGCACCCTCTCAATATTGGCTGGAGTCCGAACTGTTCGACGCATTCCTGGTGGCTTAGCTTTCATTGCTGATGCAGATCGACGAAAATTTTTGACCCACAACTCAATTGTGTTGCGGCATGGAACAGAACCATGACGTCCGACATTGAAATGTGTACGAAATAGACGCTGTGTAATGATCACCGAGTCGACAACAAATGCGCGATATTCACTTGTCCACAGCTCCATGACTACTGAAATGGCATCTACTACCGATGTCTTGCCCACTGTAACCGATGTTCTACGTCAAAAAACAGCTTCGTACTATCCATTCTGAAAACGTCAGGTTCCTTTGGTGGACCCTGTACAAAACAAGTAAACATATTGATCAACTGTACCATGTGCCCAGCTTAACTTCCCTAAGAAAAATTGTACATTGCGCACAAAAAGGAGGAGGTACTAACGGTGCAACCGCTAAATGATCTTTCCATCATATATAGCAACCGCTTTGCCTTAGAGGTTATGTTCTGAATGTGCTCCGACCAGGTGAGCCGGCCATTAACTGTCAGACCAAGATCTGTGTGATGAAGAACAGTCTCTAAGGTATGTTTGCCAATCTTATAAGTAAAGTTAGGATTATTCTTTCCCAGGTGGAGAACGTAGCATTTCGATAGATTTAAAGGCAGGAGCCAAAGTTCTGACCACTTTCTGATCAGCTTGAGGTCTTCTTGAAGCACAGATGAGTTCATGACAGTGTTATAGACTTTAGTATCATCTGCATAGATGGAACACATAGAATAAAGTCGGGTGGGAAGGTCGCTTGTATAAAGAAGAAAAAGTATTGGCCCTAGCACAGATCCTTGTGGAACTCCACTAGTAACACGATGGCTAGAAGAATAGGCGTCTCCAACACGGACGGAGAAAGATCTGTCTAACAAAAAAGCTTCAATCCATAACAACAAATTTCCCCTGATTCCAAGATGTTCAAGCTTGTGCAGGAGCCTTTTATGCGGAACTCGATCGAAAGCTCTGGAAAAAGCCAGAAAAACCACGTCGACCGGTTCATTTGCGTCTAAAGATCTGGTCCAATTGTCAATGCAGTGTAACATGTTGGTGATAATTGATCTACCAGAAATAAAACCATGTTGGTTGCTAGGCAGCAGGTTGTTCTTGAACGCAAATGTCATAAGTTGTTCCTGGACGATATTTTCGGCTATTTTCGCAGCTATAGGCACAAGACTGATAGGACGGTAGTTTTTCGCAGATGTTTTATCTCCTTTTTTGTATATAGGTGTCACAGATGCATTACGCCAACAGGAAGAAAGGATGTGATTTTGAATCGAGGAGTTGAATATAATGCACAGGGGGTATGCGAGAGCTGAAGCACAGGACTTCATAACGGCAGAAGTAATCCCATCCTTTCCAGGGGACGAACAAGTTTTCAGTTTAGTAAGGTGCCTTTCAATGTCCTGAGGTTGAAAATCTATGCTACAGATGGTCGCTAGGCATCTATGAGGGCTGGATAAGTTCGGAAGAGTACCATCACCATCAGGTTCATTCACAAAGTCTTCACTGAAAGCATCGGCAAGAAGATTGGCAGATTTTTCGGCATCAGTATGTAGGTGGCCATTGGGATCACGGATTTGTGGGGAAGAAACCTTAGAGTTCAGGGTGGATCTCAAGTATCTAAACAACTTCTTCTTATCTTTCGATAATACAAGATTTTGCTCATAATTGCGCTTGGCGTTTTTCAAGTTCTTCGAAAGGATGTTAGAGAAAGATCGATGAGATACATAATCCTGTTGTAGTCTACTTCTTTGGAATCTTTGCCATAACGCTTTTTTATGCCTCAACATCCTTGAGAGGTTATGGTTAATCCAAGGCTTTCTTGGGTGACTGAATATCTTCTTTGTGGTCGTATGCCTAGTGACTTCCAGTTGGATTCGACGAGAGAATATATCCCACATATCTTCAGTGCTACGTTGTGCAAGCAGGTTGGACCAGTTTATTTCAGACAATGCTCGATTGAGAGCACTGTAGTTTAATAGCTTCACAGTTTTGAAATGTCTACGTGATGGAGTTTGTACATAGAATTGAAGTGAGGTCAATAAGGTACAGTGATCCGACTTGCCAAAAGGAGGTAGGTAGTCTAGACTGGAAACAAAGTCAGGATCATTTACAAATATCAGGTCGAGAGTTCTGGGAGTTTGGCCTTCTCTGAATCTCGTCGAATGATCTACGAGTTGGAGGATGTTCGACTTACGCATTAAATCAATATAAGGGGCAGAAGGAGAGTTGCATTCTGGTAATGTTGTCATGGGCCAGCTGATGTCACGTAAGTTGAAATCACCAGTTAACAGAATGTTTGAATTCTTGGTTAGAAGTTCTTCGATGAATTTACACAAATAAACATCACCAGCACAGGGACGCGGTCTGTAGATACAGGCTAATACAAAACTGAAGTTTGGCCGTGTTAGTTCCAAAAAGAGACTGTCGATACCATCGAAGCTCTTGGAAGTAGTATTTATTGTGAAATTGTCAGCAAATTCGGTACGTACATAAACACAGACCCCACAATACCCCGGCGTGCGAGGGGAATCTACCCTATACAAACAGTAACCAGGCAAATTAACAACATAGTCAGGTATATTAGGGCTGAGCCAGGTTTCTGTCAGACAAAGAAACGAATGTTTGGTTCCATCAACAAATGCTTGCACTTCGAGAAGTTTAGATACCAGTGACTGAATGTTTGTGTAGCACACCGACACCTCGGTTAGCAGTTTTTTGATACAGAAGATTGCTGTGCGACAATATTGACAATGGATGGTCTACCCTTAACATATTTAACCGTGATATTGCGTTCTCCAGCCGTTAGCCTTCGTTTCAACTCCTCACGTAGTTGCTGCAGCTCATGCATTTGTGACGGTGTTTTGTCGTCCGAAATTTTAACGGAGTTATAGGTAGAGTGGCTTAAAATATCATTCTTCTTGCGTAGAATATTCTTAGCTATTATAGGCGATGCAAAGCCAAAATACACCACATTTAATACAGACTGTCGACTGGTCGTATTTTCCGGCATTGCAGTTTTATATCCAATATAAACAAAGGTAAACCCAAATTCTTACGCTCACCACAAGCATGTTGACAGAGTGACATGTATAAATGTGGGAAACACAGAAAATTTTCAAAACGGAAAGACAAAACTAAAAACGTATGTCTGTCAGCTTACACATACAAACCCCCGAGCATGGAGGCCAATTGCAGATTGATGTGCAAGGAAAATAATCGTATGTGAAAAGAACTATACATAGTTACTGGTAATTCATCGATTACCTTCCAGGGCACGATACGAGGTGTCAAATTTTAAAAATTTCGCTCTTTATGTGTGGTCAAAGATTTTTGTGGTTTTTTAATTTTTTTCAACAGTCTCCCGGAATTGGGCGTTTATTGAGAGTATATTATTGAAAAACTATGCAAGAAATGCATGAAAATGTGATAGAATTTCGTAGTTTATATTTAAATTACGCTAATACATCCATAAAAGCTGCAAAAATACTATAGACAATGAAATAAAATCCGAAAAACAGGAGCTAGAAAGTGAATGCTGAACAAAATTCGCTCCAATTGAGCGTAAATTTTGAAAAAATTAACGCACTGATTTGATTACAAATATAAAAATATCGTTTAGTTTTTTTATCCTTTCCAGGACCAAAGCCCCGATGGCACGACAACCTCGAGGGCTTATAGTGGCTTGCGCCTCGAGTTTTCCTGCCGGTACTATTTTAAACTCCCTCGGTTCTAGTTTTGGTTTCTCGAAGAGTTGATGTCTTCGGTGATCCAGCGTCACATAAGACATGTAGATCTGGTTCTGCTTCTTTTCCACCGTGTCTGCAGCTACGGTCTTCATCGTACAGCGTACTTTGCTCAGATGTTCTTTCAGGTCATTGTGACCTGTTAGAAGCACTGCACGGAGTTGGTTTCTACTCATTGAGAGCAGTTCCGCAGTGTTGTTTGAATATGTTACCACAATGAATTCTTTCCCATGCCTTTAGTTAATGGACTACTATTTGACATAAACTTGTTTAATTCGGTGTGTGTCAGAAATTAAACTCTTTCATACTGATGTTTAGTAAATTTTTGGAAAGCTGACTAAACGGGCAAGTTTTCCTAACAATTTGTAAGCTCAATGTACTTGCAATGTTTATAGCTGGAAATAGTTTTGTTCTAAGGAAAGCTGAAAACGAAAACTTTTTATTAGATTTTATTTTATTATGCACCTTTTATGATAGTATTAGCTTAAATTATGTATCAATTACGAAAATCAAATTAATTCTCACGCATTTCCTAGATGGTTTTTTTCCGTTACCTGATAATATAATGCAACTATGAGTATTTGTTAATTTAACATTTGGGAAGATTACCTGATTCAATAGCTTCTCTTTCCCTAGTCATAGCCTCTCTTTTCATTAAAGGAGCTATGAAAAACTGAGCAAATTTGTCCAAAGCTTCATGCAAATGTTTTTCTAGGCACTCAAAGTAGAAGCAAGTAGTTTCTGCATCTGTGGAAGCATTATCACTACCACCTCCTTTCTAAAAAAACAAGTTGTGTATTAAAAATTTTCAATAAAATGCTGTGAAAAGTTGATAATATAAAACTTATTTTTTTCATATACTTATCTAATGATTGCAGTAAGCTTTACTATTATGTTCTATTAACTTTACCTTTATGAAAGAGTCAAAATCATTTTCTGATGGGAATTTTTCACTTCCCATAAAAACCATATGCTCTAAGAAATGAGCCATTCCAGGAACATCTTTTGGATCACTGAAACTACCAACACCTATGCACAATCCTGCAGCTGCCTAAAAATAATAAAGGTGATGAAGTAGGTGCATTACTGAGATATTGGAAGATAAATTACCCTATCATACATTCCCATATAAACATAATATTGTTTATAAGATTATACACAGCAATATTTTATTATGAATCAATCAACAATTACTCAGGTTAATAAACACCATAAAATAATATATAAATAAACTAGAACTAATAATTTGAATGCAAGATCCAGACAAACACAAATTTTAGGCTAAATTGAGTTAACGGTTATACCCCTATTTTTGCGTGGAAATCTGCACCATCCAATGCACAAAAAACAAACTGCTTTATAATGGGAGAAGTAATATAGAGCCACATTCTTGTGCAAGTGTTTTTCTTCCAAGAATGCACTGTAATCAGCTCTTTGGTTGGAGTGTACAACTATTAGTAAAAAAATGCAATAGATTCACCATTTTTTGTTCAATATCACCCTTAGGTCCTCCATGTTCTTCTGACTGTTCTGATCCATCGCTCAAATCTGATTCCTCATCAGATGTAACAAAACTTGAGTCACTTTCAGTCTCTGTATCCTCGAAAATTTCCTCTATTGGACTTTTGTCAGATATCAAACAAACTGTAAGATTATTTTCTAATCTTATTACCCTACAATGAAAATCCCAATAATTTTATACTCAGCTCATTACCTTATTTAACGGTACACTTAACTATATTATATATATATATATATATATATATATGGGTATTCCAAAAAATAGTGATAATCGAAGGCCCAGGGGTAGAGCACCCTACGGGGAGTCCGAACCAGCTCTATGTATATGATCCGATTTTTTTTTATGATTTCTTAGATAAGTGAGATATATACATGTACCTACTTCTTTCCTTATTAGTTAGCTAAAACTTTAGGCTTAATTACCATAATTTAAATCACTATATTGATACATTTCAAAATTAGAAAAAATACACGAAACATAACAAATAAATGTGAAAGTCCAACAACTTTGTACGTTTTTAAAAAATAGATTAAGCAGGTTTTCCCTATTATTAGTATCTTAAAAACCTCTATAATTTATCAGGTGTTAACTATAAAAATTTCATTGACATAGAGTTACTACATGCTACCTTAAATTTGGTTCAAATAGAACAAAACCTAAAATTTGATAACGCACTTTTCAATAGAAATTGTCAATTACAAGAACAACAATTCTAAAAACAGCAGCAACATTTTAAAAATATTTCCTATCTTTGGTGAACAATACTTGCGTCCTTCGACACGCGGTATCTACACCGCCGAACAGTTGGGTGTTAGAAAGAGACAACATGGCTCAGTGAGCTAGGGCTTGAGCGAGATAGGGGTAATTTCGAGTTACTTTCTTTTATATACAGGGTGGCCGATATGTAACTGACTGGTTTGTATCTTGAATATTTGTGAAATAAAATACGTCCATTTTTTTCATCTTAATCTTTTATTGAAACTAACAAATTATGTATAAAAAAATAGTATTAGACAAATGTCGCGCAAACCTGAGCCCTCTTGATTACATTTTCCATCACAATTAAACGTCCTGGAAATATTGATCGCAAAAAAAATATTTGCCTTCCTAGCTGTGTGACAAGTTGCTCCGTCCTGCTGGAGTCACATGTTTTGCAGGTTAAATTGTTGTATTTGAGGAGCCAGAAAGTTTTGCACCATATCACGGTAGCGCTCGCTAGTGACAGCAAGAGAATTACCTGTGCAGCGTCTTCAAAAAAGTAATACCATACCAAATACCGCACCAAACTGTGACTCGACGAGGATGTAGTGGCCATTGATGGATGACACGAGGGTTCTCTAACGCCCAGATATGACAATTCTGCTTATTAAAAAATCCGTTTATATCGGAGTGGACTTCATCGTTCATTATCAGTTGTCAGTAAAAATCGTTATTTTGGGTATTAAGCTGCAATATTGCATGACTGTGTTGTCGGCGACTTTCATAGTCACTAGGCTGTAGTTATTGGGTTAATTGAATTTTTTAAAATAGTGCATAATGACGTGCGACGAATACGCAGTTCTTGAGAACGATGTCTGGTAGACGTCTCACGGCGCTCCGCTACATTTTCACGAACTCTCTCGATATTTTGCGGAGTACGAACAGTTCGAACACTTTAACTTCATCTGTTTGTTCACATTTCGACCGAAATCTTGTAGCTTCCGAATCGTTGCAACAATCGACTCATTACTTAAGGAAAACGTCTTAACAATATGGACGCGTTGTGGGACCGTGTAGCCCTCTATGTTGAGTTGGACTCATATGCTCATATATTGCCCACCCTATATATACAGAAGCAGCCGCGCAACCAGAAGCCTAAATGTCCTCTTGTAGATTGTTCCACAATCTCGACATCCTCGGGACAAAGGAACGGTCGTATCGGCCAGTTTTGGATGTACGAAGTTCGACACGGTTAGGATGGAAGGCCAACGTCAAGCGGGTCTGTCTGGCAGGCACATCGCGCGGCGGTATCATGGAAGAGAGCTCTGAGGAGCAGAGCCCGTTGGTGTAGCGGTAGAAGAGAGCTAGATCGCCGACGGTCCGCCGGTGCGTAGAGGCGCCGAGACTGTATGTTAGAGAAGAGTCATCGATCAGTCGAACAGCCCTCCTCTGGACCGCATCGAGCATAAATAATGGAGTCGGGGCAGCAGCACCCCAAACGTGTGAGCAAAATACTCGAGGCTAGGTCTTATCCTCGGTGACCTGGACTCCGACCAGCCGAAATGAACGGCTCTTTGGCAGAACTCGGCGATCCATCGAAACCGGATGAGCGCTAGGACGCTTTGTGTTCGTCAAGGTACAGTACTGTGTTTTGGAAGCATTAAACTGTACAAAAGCAGTAATAACTTCCAGGTCTCTCGTCAGAGAGGAAGTTACCGCTATTCTTCTTTTTTCCAGCTCACCGGAAGAGATCGACTTGTGGCTCTGAATTCCTGTATGTGAAGTGCTGTCATCAGCAAAGCTGTGCATTGGGTTGATCGTACAGGAAAGGAGATCGCTGATATGTAAGAGGAACAGCGTCGGAGCCCTGGGGAACATCCGCGTTGAGAGAGAAAGTTAGCCACCCGTCTGCAAAGCTTCTCTGGGAGTCCACAGGATGGAAGTTTGCATAAGAGGGCAGCGTGCCGCAGCTGATCGAACGCTTTTGTGATATCAAAATCAACGACATGAGCCTCATCACAGACTGGATGAATTTACTCCACAATTGCGTGATGTAAGCTAGGAGATCCCTTGCGGATCTCTGGTGCCGGAAACCATATTGCCTGTCTCTAATCAAGCCGTGACGTTCGAGGTAATGCACCTCTCTATAACCTTACTTATATCAGAAAGCAGATCTATAGGCCTGTAGTTGCAAGGGTCAGTCTTAGATCCTTTTTGTTGGATCGGTTCGACACGAGCAAATTTCCAGTTTTCTGGGAAGGTGTCAGATTCATAAGATATCTGGAAGAGTCGCGAAAGGACTGGAGCAAGCTCCGCTGTACACCTCTTCAATACAACGGCAGGAATCAAGTCCGGATCAGAAGCTTTGTTGGTGTCGAGCGATAAGAGCACCCGTCTTACGGCCTTATGCCTGAATGTTACTTCCCGCATAGTGTAGGGAACCCTTGAATCAACTACACTTGGGCGTTGGGTGAACGCCCATGGTGGAGATGGCAGCAAAGATCTTGACAAGCACTTTCGCCTTAATAGAGTCGGTGCCCTGTAAGAAGTTCCTTTCAATCTGCTATCCCAGCGTCCAGAAAGACCAACTGCCATTGAGCTGCGACATTACTCTGTGCCTAAGTTTTATACCGTGCTGGACTTTGGCATTGCGAACCGCGTCGTTATATTTGTTTCTGGACTCGACGTCGGCTTGTCTGTTCTTTACATTGGTGTTTTGTAAGAGGGTTCTGCGTGCCTTGATCTTCTGCTGGCGAACAGTGATTCACGATGGAGCCTGGTTTAGGCACTTTCATTGTACGAGGGATGTATACGTCCATCCACACGAGGATAATTTCGATTATCGATGAATAGACAGCCGACGCATCCGCGTCATCGAATTAGTCTCTCCAAGGAAAGGTGGAGAAGAAGTCTGTGAGCACCTCCCGGCCGGCACGTCCGTAATGACGAATTTTCCGGCCTGGGAGAGTTTCTGCCGCCACAGCGGGTTCTGAACGAAACCTAACCTTCACAACATAGTGGTCTAAGTTACCCAGGGGAAACAGGACAGCAGTGCTGTAAACAGGATGCGTGGTCAGAAAGACATCCAGCAGGCTACTGGCATGTGACGAAATGCGGGAAAAAAAGTAGGTAGGAGTCAGCCATTGGGCCTTGTTTGGGCCAACCAAAGCTCATTATGGACATTGAAATTACCGAGGAGAACTACCTCTGAAGCGGGGTGATTGATGTTCAGGAAGTCAATGTTGACAGCGAGGTATTCAAATAGGTCATCCCAGATTTGCTCCGAGGGAGAGCGATAAAGACAAATGAATTTGTTTTGGAGCTGAGGCGAAGCCACATAATGTGGTAGAAATACGCAAACTGTTCTACAAACACTTACACCAAAGTCTTGAAAAAGGTTAAGTGTGTCACATCAGTGATGCAGATCTGAACTACGCCCTTCACCAAACTCCCTGTATAAAAGTTTATTTGTTGATGTTTGGCGAATAAAGACTTTTATCATTATTATTATACTAAATAGCTGAGTTATTAGGTTCCGAAAGAATTTATGATATCAGATGCGGTCCTGCCTCCAGCAAATGTTTAGGCAAAAAGACATGCATGAGGATCTAACCCGAAATGGCAGACCCTTAGAGCAATAACGAACTTGCACATTTTGATATTCACGGTATTCAAGGTACTGCAGGTGCTTCGCGAGTGTATTCGGATTGTTTCCCTGGACGTTTTCGTCACGCGTCCCGTACGGTTGTTTATCTCGTACAAAGACCGTAGGTAGGAACATCAAGGTGGCGACCAACATGTGGGGCCTGCATGTCATGAACTTCCACGAGTAATCTACATTCTTAGGATGTCCCTCGTATAAGGAGAGCGCTTAGTTAAGAGATCCAGCTGGGTGCTCCGTCCCTTTCTAGCGCATTGGTATGCCCGTCGGCCTCCCTTAGAAAACGAAGGGGTACAAAGTAAAAAATACTACCAGGGGACTCGGTGGATGACTGCGTTCACTGTCGAATTTGGGGTTGATTTTGAGAGCACGGGGTGATCTTATTGCATCACTGTACCTCCACTTTGATGCAGATATGTTGGTTTTGGATCGTTTTTCAGGGTTTTTAGGTGGAATTTCAAATATTAGCGAAATTTTTCAAATAAACGTCTCTGGAGCAGGAAAAACTATTGCGGACAAAAGCCACAACTACCTCGTTCCTTCTCAGATTGGAATGCACCTCGTAATTTGGGAAACTAAGATGATTAGTAGGAGCAGACTCTGATATTTTTGTCTCCTCCAAAAAAAGCATAGCGGGACGGCTGAATTGCAAGTAGTGATGAACAGCATCAATGTTGCAGGTGTTTGTAGAAATAAATTATCATCAATGTTGTTCCTTCAAGTCCACCCTCCACCCGGACATTCCGAGAGTGTAGCGAGTTTACGTCCGAAATTCTTAGTAGTCGAGGAAT